AGCCGCCCAAGCGTGTGGCAAAGCCAAAGCTGGCGCGGCACAGGCCCAGCGAGCCCGAAATGTGGACTTCGACGCCGGTGAAGGGTGCGCAGGGCGAGACGCCCGCCAGCCAGGCGGCCAATTTTGCCAACTTTCCAGCTCAGCAAGAGCAGCTGCAGCCGGCCCAGCAGCAGCAGCAGCTAGATGAGTTCAATGAGCCCATCTTTAATCCCTTTATCGAGACGCCTGCGAAGGAGCAGCAGCAGCAGCAGCATTTGGAGGAGCAGCGCGATCTCTTTGGCTCCGAGCCATTTCCGCAGGTAATACGCAAATGTGTTGTTGTCACGCCCGACTATCCCAGTCACAATCCCAACAACAACAACAACAATGTGATCAAAGTGAATGCTGCTCCCGTTGTGACCATCAATCATTCGATTATAATCAATAAAACGCCCGAACCGCTGACCATCCATCACAAACCCAACTGCTCCAGCAGCACCACCAGCAGCAGCTCCACATCTATCACAACCTCCTCCAACACGGCCACCGCCACGAACAGCAGCTGCGTCTATGTGAATGTGCCCGCCACGAACAGCTCCGCCTGCAGCATTTCCTTGCCCGCAATGAGCGCACAAATCCCGCCAACACCGACTCCGCCGCCAGCAGCACACTTGCAGCCACTGCTGCCCATTGCCGATAATGGTTTTGTCCAAATCTCTCAAGAACGCTGCTCGGACTTCACGCCCGACGACGAGGAGGAGCCCGTGGTGTTGCGCGCTGCCGACCTGGTGGCAGACGGCGAGGCAGCGTCCACCATTAAACCGAAGAAGGAAAAGTCCCATTTGGCTGTGAGAGCATTGCCGGCCAAGCTAACCCAAAAGGTCAAGGGTCATGCCTATAAAAAGGTCAGCGCCGCCGCACTGGGCTCCACATCATCCCTCAGCTCCGGCAGCAAGCAGAAACATCAACGCCTCCAATATCAATCCCACGACGATGATGACGATGACGATGTCAAAGTCTCCAACGCCGGCCAGGATGAGAATCGGGGCAACACTCGCAATTCGCAATTTCAATCCAATACCATACAGAACTCGGCCAAGACGGGCTTCAGCAACATGAGCTTTGAGGATTTCCCATCGGATCAGGAAATCGATCGCATGTCCAAAACGATTCCATTCGAGGTCGTCCGCAAGGAGAAAATGCTGCTCGAGGCCGAAAAGAAATTTGGTTCGCTCAAGCGACGCAACAATCTCTTCTCCTAAGTGAGAGCGAGAGCGAAAGATAGAGCAGGAGAGAGCGACAGAGACCGGGCCCACCCGGTTACAGTCGTGGCTGTGCTTATCGGCACGCTGTTATCAGTGCGCGTGGAAAATTCCTATAAAAAAAAAATAAAACAGAGTGTAGACTGAGATAATGTTTTAAAAATTGGCATTGGCTTCTACTTTTCTCTCAGTGTGCGTATTTACTCTATTTTTTATTTGATTTTGCTATAATTATGCGTTTTTTATACTTTTATCAGCAGCCGCCACAGTTACAAACACAAAGACACACTCACACACACACAAGCAATGAACTTCCAAGCACGTAGAGATATACGCATATACATATACATATATATAGAACATATATATACATCGTTCCAAGCGCAGATCATGTATTTTTTGAGCATAGTATTTCTCTGGCCATTTTTTAAAACCAGAGCTCAAAACTCCGATAAAAAAAAAACAAAAAATAATAATACAGCAGCTAACCTAAAAATTGCAGAAGATATATAACTAATATTATAGCTGTTATTTAGTGCAAAAAATAAACTGTAAATTAGTTGTAGCACATTTGATCAGATGTTGCAAATGAATTATATAGAATTTATACGATTGCGTAAGTTTACCAAAGTTACATTTATTTGTTTATCGCATTTTCCAATTGATTTGCTTTATCATGCTTTATCATATATGCACACTATTATTTATTTATACTTATATGCATACATATACATATATATATACAAAACATCAATGTGATTATAATACCCTAACATCCAAAAAAAAAAAAAAAAAAAAAACGATCAATTAAACAACAAGAAAATATTTACTAACAAAGCCGTTTGAATATGGCCACAAATATTTCAATGAAATTCGTACTCACTTTGTTTATGAATATGTATTATTATCGACTATATAAATTATCTATATCTATTTATATATATATATATACATATATATTATACTCGGCGAATAAACATGTTTCACAATAAATAAATGAGTAAAGCTCTGCATCTTATTTGGGCAGCCACTGTAAATGTATGCCGTATTGTTTTGTTGGACGTTGCTGTTTCCATTTGTACCTTCAAAACGACGACGACAACAACAACAACAAGTGTAAACAGTAATCAGCTGTGCGGCGGCAAGCATGTGTGCGTGTGTATGCGTGTAAGAATGAATGGGAATGCGAGAAAATATAAAAAAAATACCGTACAACCGTAGAAAAGTTGCCAACAACGTTGAATAAACTTCGAAAAAAAAAACAACAAGCGAGCGTCGAGCAAAACAACAAAACATAAATCAAGATATCAGCAAAATTCACAATATCACGTACACCCAAAAGTAGGTAGAACCGTGGCGAATCACGGAATCCAAATCGCGTTTATAAATTATATACATATACATATATTATTTATATGCAGTCGCAGCTCTCACGTAGCCCAAATTGCAAGATGCTGCCCGCCTTTACCGGCAACTGGAACCAGGTGAAGGAGAAGCCGCGCATTTTGGTCAAATGCGGCGGCTTCTCGAGCCAATTGGCGCGCAACGTACAGGAAAAGGTTGACGGCGATCCGCTGTGGGGCTCGCGATTCGATGCCACCCAACCGGCTGCCGTGGTCAAAACCCATTTGGACTTTCTGCGCAACGGCGCCGACATCATACTGACCAACACGTACCAGTCGAGCGTGGAGGGCTTCATGAAGCATCTAGGCAAGTCGCGCGAGGAGAGCATCGAGCTGATTGCCAAGAGCGTGCATCTGGCGCGTCAGGCCAAGTCGCAGCACCTGGGCGAATTGGCCACCAGCAATGGCAACATTGCGCCCGACATGCCCTGGATAATGGCCTCAATCGGACCCTATGGTGCCCATCTGCACGATGGCTCCGAGTACGCCGGCAGCTATGCGAACCTGGTCAACTTCACCCAGCTGCAGCAATGGCACACGGTGCGCATCGACACCTGTCTGAGTGCGGGCGTCGATGGCCTGGCCGTGGAGACGCTGCCCTGCCAGCTGGAGGCCTTGGCCGTCACGGAGCTGATACTCAGCAGATATGCCACGGCACGCTTCTGGGTGTCCTTTCAGTGCAAGGTGAGAAACAACTCACTGTTGTATTAGAACTCCTTTTAAATCGAATTTCTTTGCAGGATGCTAGCAGCCTGGCACATGGCGAATCGTTTGCCCAGGCCGCCCTGGCCGTTTGGCGTCTGGTGCAGGAGTTCAAGGCGCAGTCCCGCCTGCTGGGCATCGGTGTGAACTGCGTGAATCCCAGCTATGTGACGCCGCTCCTGAAATCCCTGCTGGCCATCACGCCGCCGGACGAGAAAATACCGCTGGTCGTCTACAGCAATCGCGGCGAGATCTACGACAGCGACCGCGGCGAGTGGACGGGCAACGGCATTAATGTGACTGGATTTGTGCCCGAATGGCTCCAGCTGGGCGCACGCATCATTGGCGGCTGCTGTCGCGTCTATCCGGACGACATACTTGAAATACGCAACACGATTGACAAGATCGCACAGCAGCCCGATTCGCCAATTCAAACGTCCCTAGTTTCTTGTTAATTATAGTGTGCACGGCGTGCGTGCGTCTGTATATTAATTTCATTCATCTCGGCCTAGACCTATATATATATATAGTATATATATATTATGCTAAAATATAAGTGTTTCTAACTGTACGAGAGTCGAGTTCAAAATTCGCCAGATTCAGCAGATTAATGTCACCAAGCACACGGTTTTATATAAATAGATGTTATATTTGAATTATTCGCTTGCAAAGGGTATCATTATCGTATAAAGATTCCACGAGCTACACATACATATATATATATATATATAGTATACTATAGCATTGACCATATGTCGCTTACTATGCCAAAAAAAAAAAAGTTGCGCAGCTTTCAAGCCAGCTCTTATAAACTTGACCTAGATCCCAGATCTGGATCGAAACACTATATTATCGTATCACTATATTATATGGCTATATTATAAAGCTGTCGTAGCAACTATCGATTTAAAATTTAGTTCATGCTTAACACACAATAACTTATCTTTTACAAGCTTGATTATGCTGCACATGATCGGAATCTTATCTACAAGGGATAGCTATATTATATATGTATATATACCCATTATATATATATACCCATAGGAACAATTTGTAAGTTCTTAGTCTATATAGCTTCATGTCAAGTATATCTTATAGCATAGAAACGATAGATCAAAAAAATATCTTATCCCAACTTGGCATAGGAATAGGGTATTTAAACTTCGGCACGCCGCGGTTAACTACTTTGTTCCGTTTCAAGTACACTTGGGAATGGCTTAAGCCATATGTCCGGCTGTCGGTTCACACGATTGGGCCAAGGGTTATCAAGGCAGACAACGCCGACTCCAGACATCAGGCGGCGAGATCTGGACATGGTTAGCACCTAAATCGATAGTTCTCCTATGATATCATTATTTAACCAGCAAGTGATGTTATTCAAAGCACAAGCTGCAATTGATGCCGGCTGGTGAATGCCCCCCAATTGGATGGATGGTATTGCATCAGATACTTTCGGTTCCGTCGGTTCAATCTGTGTCTGCCTGGCAGCTGGACGTCGAATCTTATCACTAGGCCGGGCGAACGAGCCGTTGGTTTGTTTTGTTTGGTTTTGGTTTTGTTTTGTTCAAGTTTTGCCTTTGTAGATTTGTTTTTTTGTTTCGTGTTGTCGTGTTGATAAGCACATCGCTATAAAAGCAACCAGACGGCATTGTAAACCACTTAAACGCGCATAGAACGTCCACGGCACATAATATCAGCACCAGACTGAACGGAATTTAATAATATTTTGTTTTCCAAGCACACACAACACGTTGTCGTCTCGCACAAATCAAAACAATTTAATCAATTACAACATCTATTTATAAGCTTTCAAGGTGAGTCTTCACAAAGTCGTGCCTAGAGAGGAGCGCGTGCTCGTGTCTGCTATCGTGTAGAGTGTATGCACGACGTGAGCGTGCTTAAAAAATAAATAATAAAATATGAGGCATATGGAATAAAAGTCGAGCTTAAAAAAATATTATATTGCAATTAAAAATTTTAATAATTAATAGTTTATGAATATTTAGTAAAGAAAAACCATTCAAAAATAAAAATAAAAAAGGAGGAATGTAGCCGACTAGTTAATACTCTGCTAACAATTTAATAAGAGCCGAAAGCTGGTCAAAAATAGCTTTTCCGAATGTGAAGATCGTGACTCTAAAACAAATTCAGCGCTGAAAATGTGTTTTATAGATCTTTAGGCTTTACGAGGGCTTTCATGGGCTACAGCCACGCCCACATAGAGAGTATTAAAAGTATTGAAAAGTCGTGTTTATTTCGTGCTCGTGTTAGACAAACGCGACACGCGCCTAACTCTACTCGTGAGTGCACCAAAAATCTTCCACAACAGAGATTTGGGTGTTAAATTAAGTTAAGTTCATTGAACTCTGCCCGCAATGGTGTTTAAAAAACAAAGCAAGGTTATCGGGTGAATAGTTTGAACTACAATGTATTGCCATAATTGTTTGTATAATCAGTGAGAAGCACAAACAAGTCGTGCCTTTAGGCAGGTGTCCAGCTTCGCACTTGTGCCCAGCTGTGCTGTGCTCCGCTGATAAGCGCAATTACAGCGATGTAAAGCTGTGCGCTTCTCCTATCTGGGTCGGCTATTATTATATGTATATATGGAATAACCCGCCATCAAAACTGGCCCCTTCCCTCCCCACAGAATATTCATTTAATCATGGGTTCGACGCGTTTGCTGGTGAAAGATGGCGGCTTCGGCACACAGATGACCGTGCATGTGGGAGACTCGGTGGACGGGGATCCGCTCTGGAGTGCTCGGTTCAATGCCACAAATCCGACAGCTGTCATAAATACACACTTGGACTTTTTGCAGAGTAAGTGCCAAATGCCAATTATTTTACTTGACAACAAACTAATTGAACGCCACTCGCCGATAGATGGCGCTGATATGATATTGACCAACACCTATCAGACGAGTGTCGAGGGCTACATGGAGTACCTGGAGCTGGACGAGCAGGAGAGCATCGAGCTGATCAAGAATACGGTGCGACTGGCGCACATTGCCAAAGAGAAGTACCTGACGGAATGCTATGAGGCACAGCTGGCGGTGCCCGAAGGTAAGTTACGAAATTCCTTCCATTCCAAGAATTGTTCGTAATTCCATAGAGAACATTTCACGCTTAGATCATTTGATCCTTTGGATCCTTTAAAAGTGAATGCCTAGAACAGAGAAAGCTTTGTGAATCACATTTGAATTGGGAACGAATCTTTTCTCTAAGTTTACTTGTTTACATTAATTTACTTGCCTAATCGCTGAACCTTGGACTCTGCTTTTGCAGGTTTCCCGCTGATTATTGCCTCGATCGGACCGTTTGGCGCACATCTGCACGATGGCTCCGAGTACACCGGCAGCTATGCGGACTATGTGGAGGCGAAGACCATAACGGATTGGCATCGCGTTCGCATCGAGGCGTGCCTGGAGGCGGGCGTCGATGCGCTGGCCATAGAGACGATACCCTGTCAAATGGAGGCCGAGGCGCTGGTTGAAATGCTCTGCGATGATTATCCCGAGGTCAAATTCTGGATTGCCTTCCAGTGCAAGGACGAGAACACGCTGGCGCATGGCGAAGAATTCGCCGAGGCAGCTAATGCTATTTGGGATATACTGCGCGAACGCAAGGCGCTGGACAAGTGCCTGGCATTGGGCGTGAACTGTGTGCATCCCAAGTTTGTGACGCCGCTGTTCAAGAGCTTGAATGGCGAGCGCAGTGCCGACGAGCAGATACCCTTGGTTGTCTATCCGAATAGCGGCGAGGTCTACGATGTGGCCACGGGCTGGCAGGGACGGGAGCATTGTGTGCCGCTCGAGAACTATGTGCCGGAGTGGTCACAGTTGGGTGCCAAAATCATTGGCGGCTGCTGCAGAACCTACGCGCGTGACATTCGACGCATTAGCGAGGCCGTGCACGCCGTAAACAAACTCAAGAAAGTTGCCTGAGATCCCGGAAAATGGATCGGTGGATCTCTCTGTTTAGAACAAAATGCATTTGATGTAGGTATTCAATGAATTTAGGTATTTAGAATGTAAGTAAAAAGTGTATCAAAACTTTTGTACAAAATGTCACACAACAATAAATAAACTAAACTTTTACTCTAAGAAATTCAAGTTTAACATTTTCGACCATGACCAGATCAGTGTAACGGCGCCAGAAATATCGAAATTGATCGAAAACGCATGTTATCGCCATTCACAGCGAAGTTGAGTGTCGATTGCATCAAGTTGGCAGCACCGCTCGAATGACATTCGCAAAAACGCCGCGACCAGGAACAAGCTTGCGAAAAGTTGTAATAAAATTAAATTATTAAATTAATTGGTATTCAGGAAAGCCGAACACACACACACTAGAACAATGTTGATTAAAGTGAAGGTAAGCCTTAATTTGGAATATATATTATCATGCTAAAGCGGCTGGTATAAGGCCCCGCCAACCATGCGTCAGCTTTGGCGCACAACAATAAAAAACGGACTGCAATCGAAATTTGCCAATAATTATATTTTTTGTTATAACAGACACTGACGGGCAAGGAAATAGAAATTGACATTGAACCCACAGATAAGGTTGATCGCATCAAGGAGCGTGTCGAGGAAAAAGAAGGCATACCACCGCAACAACAACGTCTCATATTCTCCGGCAAACAAATGTGCGTCACACAGCTGAAGACAAACTAAATTAAGAATTTGGCAATTAATTCTTTTTTGTTGTTTTTGAATAGGAACGATGACAAAACGGCGGCGGATTATAAAGTGCAGGGCGGCTCAGTGTTACATTTGGTGCTGGCTTTGCGTGGCGGCGTAAATCAACTAAACAAAAATTAGACTGGCGCCGGCGTGTTGAACTCGTCTTAGTAAATTGGTAACCCCATTAAGTCATTTTCTACAAAGCACTTTCATGTTACTCAAATAAAAGCCGTCAACGGTATTTACATATATACGAAAATACATATATTTTGTTTCCCCTACAAAGTTTGGTTGAAATGCATAACTCAACTGCGGCGCACATAACGTCCGACTAGCAAATGATTCTTTGGCGTACACTGTTCCGGCTTGAGGCGTGTGAGTATCACCTGGTAGCCGGCCTCCTCCGCCTGCAGCTTACGATCTGTGTCCACAATACACATGCAGTGCAGTCCCTGCAACGTTGTCTCCGGCTTGCAATTGCTGGTGCCCAACTCGTGAGCCTGATCCGCCGTGTGAGCTATGTACAAATAGTCCCGCGTATCGAGCACCTCGCGGAAGCGTGCACTCAGCGGATAGGCAATGTGTGGCATGGGCTGCAGCGAGCCATAACAGCAGGGGCAGCACACAAAACACGCATTCACCCGCTGGCACTGCTGCAGCACAATGTCTGTGGCTGTGCCGCAGGCGTGCAGCGAGGCGCCTATATCGAAGCGGCCCATAAAATAATCAATATTGCACTGATAGAAGACGCAGTTGTTCAGCTTAAGCTCGGCCGCACGCTTTTGAGCGTGCGCCAGCGAAAACGCCTTGTTCTCCAACACAATCACTGTGCACTGGGGCAGCTTGAGGGCTAGGAGTATGGCCAGATGGCCGGTGCCGCTGCAGAAGTCAACAATGCGATCGCCGGGCTGTGCCAGTGAGACGACCGCATTTGCCATATTTTCCAGCTGCTGACGCTTGCGCTCCAGACGCTCGGCCGGCAACGCTGAGCTCTTGGCATGCGTGGGCTCAATGACCTGCCAATCGATCAACTGCTGGCCATAAGAATGATCTGAGTCGGCGCTAAATTGCAGCTGCAGTGGCGTCAGCTTGGCCAACGCCGCCTCCACTTCTGCCTGGCTGGTGTATATGCGATTACGCGGCCGATAACGCTTCGGATCGGCTTTGTACAGGCTGGCCTCCTCGCAGTCGGGTATGCTGAGCAATTGTGTGTTCTCCGCCGGCGCCACCAGCATGGGCACATACAACTCGTGCAGGATGCGTGCACAATTTGTGTCGAAGCTGTCGATCTGCAAGAAAATTGAATTATCTTCAAATAGATGCAATTAAATGTTATCCTACGCACCTCACTGAACCAGGTGCTGGTGAGCGGAAAATGCGGCAGCATCTGGGCGCAATGCTGAAAGACTAGACGCAGCAGCGGATAGAGTATAAGATCGGCGATTGTAAAGCTAATGCCCTCGGCGAAGCGATGTTCGATCAACAGCTGCTCCTTGGGTATGCTGCATTCGATGAGCACACGCTCCTTGCGCTTCACTGGAACACCGTATTCTGTTTGATTTGCCTGCTCTCTGGCCAGCTTGTAGATGTTGTGCATCCGCACCGGCTGGTTCATGTGCTGCTCAAAGCGCACCACTTCGACGGGCACCTCGCGCAACTGCAGCTCTTCACCTTGCAGCTGGCTCACCAGATTAACCATATCCACTTCACAGAAGCGTGTCCATATGGAGGCCTCAGCTGGCGCCAATAGGCAGCTGCCCTTGAAGCCCAACAGTTGGCGTAAATGCTCACTGGGTTGGCGTGCAATGAGCTCCCGGCAAACGGCACAGGTGCCCGCAATGAAGATGTTTCCATCACGCTCATAGATGGGCAGACGTAGATCCCGGAGGGCGGGCAGGGTGGCGGCCTCGCGGCATGTGATATGCTCATCGGTTAGTTCGCGTCGCAGCTGAGAAGTACGTAAAGCTATTTTGCCAGCACTTATTTTACTGGCCACAAAGTTGACCTTAATGTTTTGGGGCTCCTTAAGGTAGCGATATGTGTAGAGCGCTAGGAACGAAGGCACGCTGGTGTATATGGTTGTTTCGGCATTTTGAGTGCTTAGCTCAATCTCCACATACAGTTGATCCATAGTTTAATTAATTTAACTAAGCATTTAACTAAGGAGAATTAAATTAAAACACAAAATCAATTCAAACACAAAACCAAAAATTAAAAATTAAATCAAAGTGCGTTTGAGGTTATGTGCAAAATAAATAAAAACAGCTGTTTGCAACGGCACAAGAAGCAGCTAACTGCCATTCACCTGTCCGCGGGCGTTGGAATTTTTTGAATTGTTTTTCGATTGATTTCGCTATGGCTTTGCTAATTAGCTTTTTATTTTGTTTTTGTTGTGCGCGCACTTAAATAAGATTTTTTTTTATTGCGCTGCTAAATACACAAATTATGAATTGTGCAACAACTGAATGCAAGCACCTCACGCGTTTCTATAAATTCAAAGCCAGCGCTTGGGCTGCGCTCACCGTTGTATCGAGCCAAAAAGTAAACGTTAGTTTAATTTGACCAGTTGTACGAAACAGGTGCGTGTTTTGCCTGCCGAAACGTAAATTATAAGCTCATACTTGAAACTTCTACATTGTTGCTAACTAATTTCCATAATTAACAATCAGCTGTGCTTATTGACATGTGCGTGCGTGCGTGTGTTGTGTTTGTTGTACGTATGTATGTATATATGTGCGTCTGTTCATATGTATGTGCGCCTGCCCAGTGGCAAATGCAGCGCACTGCAAGTGCAAGTGCTACAATGCGGCGTATGAGCAACAAAACTGCATTAGAGTCAAGGTCAGCGGCTGGCTCGCTCATTCATTCAATTTTTAAAGCGGGAATGGGAAAACTTTAACAATTATTATATAATTGTTCACACATAGAAATGCATATATAATCTCTCTCTCTCTCTGTATTTCCCATTCATTCAAGCAGCACTTAAAATGCGCATTACTCCCTCTACACTAAAAAAAAAAAAAAATGGAAAAAATGGAAAGTGTTCTAGTTGGGAGTGTCCGATTAGAAGGTACCCTGTATCCAGCTGTTCCTTTATACAAGGCAGCTGATTTTTGAATTATCCCATAAAATTTATTTGTTAAAATTTTTTTTTAATTTCCAATTATTACTGAACTTTCAGGGCGTAAAGCTGGCATTCAAATATGTGATGATATTTTTGATCAATAATGCATAGATAAACACGTTATAGGATCAAAGATAGCCGCTGCTTCTGACTCTTTCTGCTTCATTTCAATAGTTACAGGGTATGGAAAGCAATTAAATAAACATATTGCACAATTGTTTGTTCTATTCAACTTGTAGGCTAGTTTATTTTACAGCTCAATTGAGTTTGTTTTGTCTCGCAATTGCCAGCTCTTGATAGTTGATTATTTATACTATCTGAATATAGCAACTAGAGCGTCCTAATCGCTTGCAAGCCAATCTATGCGATTTGTGAATGTATATATAAATGTAGGGTATTCATATGTAGAGTACATTGATTAACGTTGAGTTCATTTAATTGGGTGCGATCACGACTTAAAGTTTGTTTATTTTGCGACCCGGTTGAGCAATGTTGATAAACAAAACAAGAAAGCAGCAAAAAAAAGAGAGGGTATTAAAAATAGGAGTCCCAGGGCCAAGGAGAGGGGAGCAGGGAGCCGGGTAACAATGTAGCCACGTCGCAATCAAATTGTAAACATTAAGAGGTTATAAAAAATTAAATAAATAACAATAATTAGCTGGGTAAATGAAACAGGCGCAACACACACACACACACACGCACGCAGACGCAGACACAAACACACACACACACACACACTGTACAGTAAGATATGAAGAAGATGTTTACGTCGACGACGACGCCGACGCCGACGACGAACTCGTTTCAATTGAAGCGCTGCGTCCCCGTCGTCCCGCAGTCTGCTCTGAAATTCAATTCATTTCGCTTCTGAGCGCAAAACCGAGCACATTTCGATCGTGCCAACATCATCGCGTGTATTCTGATCTGTTGCTATATACTACTTCTTTTCTAATACTCTGTTCACAAAGTGTTTAAAGGTATATTAGCTGTGTGCAATTGGAATCTCCACTTTTACATTAATATTCGTTTATCTCGCATCAAATAAAAATCTTCCAAAATTTCAACGTCCAGTTTTACAGAATTTCTCTTTCGATCAAACTAAATATATTCTGATGATGTGCTCCAAAGATGGAACGTAATCGCATAAATAAAAATTTGCTATAGTCACAGTTTTAAGCTCCGCCTTACAGTTTTGGAGTCACTAATCATTATCCTTTTTGTCCTGGTTTACACTGTAAACAGAGTATTCTGATGACTTCTATTGCACCCAGAAGAAAAATCAGTGTAATCTAAAAGCACATTTTGAGAGTCACTGCCTTACAGTTTTAGAGCCTTTCTTTCTTGTTTTTTAAGTAAAGACTTTTCGTCCTGCTTCTACACTGTGAACAGCGTATTCTGCAGTCAACGCCAACCGACTGCCACGTTCTGAAATACTTTTTATTTTTTCATTGCATTCCGATAAAGTCAACAACAACAACAACAATAGCTACCCAAAATGGAGCAATGGAACAATGTGGAGCTGACGAGCATTACCAAAAAGTCGTACACACTGAATCACGACTACGATGGCGCCGAAAGGCTTAACAAGGCAAACGAGACGGCGGGCACGGAGGCCACGCCAACCGCCACGGCAACAAATGGCAATGGAAATGGTAATGGTAATGGCAATGGCAACGGCAACAATCCGCCGGAGAGCAATGTTGTGCTGCAGCCCGGCTCGGATATCAAGCCCAAAATGCAGCCGGAGCATGTGGAGCCGCTGGTGCGACGTCTCTACGGGATTACCATCAGCGAGCTGAAGGAGCTCAATGCCTACGATGATCGCAACTACTTGATACAGGAAGATTGGTGAGTGGCAAAAAGGGAGAATCTGTTTTCGGCACGCCGAATATTAAATACCCTTGCAAAAACCCCGTTTCCGATCGATTGTTCCTAGAGGAGCTTAAGGGACATTTTAGCTAAGCTACGAACCAGCCGAAAAGATGTCGCTGGTTCGGTTCACGATTCCAGCCAATTGCCTGTCTTTCTATTCGGTTCTTGAACCCAGGTTGATCACAGGTTTTGGTTCATATATAATCAAAATTTTAGTTTTCATTCCATTTTCAATTTTTAACTGCCCGCTGTACTGAAAGTATCGCAACTCGTAAATATTTTCATATACAAATTGCGCGCTATATTCGATCCCCGCCCAAAAATGGGATTTACCAAAGCTGGTTGGATAAATGCTTTATTGGGCCTACCTCATAAGTTTTTAAGTTTTTAGCCAAACCTGTTTTGAAAAGGCAACCAAAAAAATAACTTTAATATTTTTGAACTGTGTATCTCCAGTTCTCTAGTTCTCAAAACCTTAGAGATACGAGAGTTTACATGTCAAATTTGATGTCTCTAAAGAGACGTAGAATCGGAGGATTCCTAATATGGAGAAAATTGCGGAGGTCTCATCCAAACAATCTCTCAGATAGGTTTATATAATCACCCTATCTTTGTATATTTTTTACTAGTTCTCAAAACCTTAGAGATATACTCTCGAGAGATATATACAAGAGTTTACATGTCAAATTTGATGTATCTTGCTCTAAGAAAAAAGGATTAATATATCGATTCTTATCGATTCTATGATCAATGTTAGTTATCAAAGATTTCAAAGAAGGACCTGCATTCAAAATGTCGCTAGTTCTTCTGATTTCCGAGATCGATCCGTTCAAACATACGGCAGGAAAGGCAACGACTATTGATGCTACGTAAGAATAGATGAAGTTTATGTGGACCTGGCTAGCTTAGCTATTGATGCTGATTAAAAATATATCTACTCTATGTGGTCCGAGAGGCTCTTTGGGATCGGAGCAACCTGCTCTTACAAAATATATCGTCACAAAACTATAATATACTCGGGTAGAGTATACAAAAGATAAATGTTTGCTCTAAGCGCCGAAGGGGGGTACCTATACACACACACGCACACACATTTGAGTTTATTTATAGCTATATTAATTAAAGTTAGTTAGTCGTGCGGGGGACATTTGAGCTTGACGCAGTTGCGGCATCTGTTATTGTTGTTGTTGTTGTTGGCGGTCACCTTGAGAGCAGCCTCTTTTGTTATCTGGAGAGGGGCTAACATTTGGCTGGGCGCATCTCTTCCAGATCATATGACAGCTCACTTTATTTTCCAACAGCCCGTATCTGACTGCAGACCCTAACCTTAGGTAACCCAGCCAATTGTAGCTAATATTCTCAGGGAGTCAAAGATTTAAAGCCCTTCAAGTTATCCGATTGGGCTGTGGCATATAAATATATCTATGCCAGGTTTCATTAAGATAGCTTGACAGACAATTGAGACATTATTTATTTACTACCCGATTCATCTAATAATTGTCTTTTATTTTAGTTGATATTTAAAATTAGGCAGTATTATGCATGCACAGCCTTAGTCGTTAAATAGTTAATTAATAAATATTTTAAACATATTGCCAACAATTACCTAAAAAAAAAAAACAGAAAACTTAACTCAATGGCAGCTTAAGTAAAAAAAAAAAATAAGAAACTTAAGTCTATGGCAGCTTATTTAAGAACACTTCGTTTTTGAAATCCAAACGCGCTCAGCTTGGTTTGATTGTCGCCGAGTGAGGCGGACTTTGTCTTCGTGTTGGCGCGTTTGCTCGACTTTGGCTTGGACAGACCCACGCGACGGGCACTTGCCGCCAGTTGGGGCAGTAGTTGGGGTTTTGCGGGCAGCGGAGCCTCCTGACTGCTCGGCAGCGTGGCGCTTTGTGAGCTGGTGTCCTCATCCGAGCAGGAGGAGGATAGCAAAACGATGTCAGCGTTGTTATTGTTGTTGTTCTTATCGTTTGCAGCTGCTGCACTTGCGGTGGACTCCAGTTCCAGTTCCAGTTCCAGTTCCTGTTGTTTGTCTGCTTCGGCAGCTGCCTTTGGCTGTTCCTTTGTCTCTGGCTCTGGGGTTTGCGCGCTGAAGAAGCGACTGCGCACCTCCACCTGCGGCTGCTCCTCGGCAAAAATGCTGCGCTTCAGCGCCTTCACATGCCTCTCCTCAGGCCTGGTTGGCTCTTCGGCTGATCTCATCGGACTCACTAAACGCAGCAGTGATGGATTTTCACACACTGCCGTCGGATGTTGCGTTGTCTCCCTAGCAAACGGATTGTGGCGACTTTTGCTCTGCGCAGGCGATTGCGGCGGCGTCGAGTTGCTGCTGCTTCTGCTCGGACTGCGTTTGCGCTTGCCCTTGAAGCTGTACAAGCTGAACAGCTCGGCCTCTGTCTGCTTTGCCTGCTCCTGGCGCTGATTGGCCTCAATCTCCGACTGTATGTTCTGGCCAACGAAGTCCACCTTCTTGAAGAAGAGCGCGCAAGTTTTGGGTTTTGGCTGCGTCTTTAGCTCTGCTTCGTGTGTATTGTTGGAATGCGCTTGCCAAATACTTTTGTGCTTGGTGCGTTTAATGTGCTTTGCTGTCGCTGTCTTCGACTCAGTCGCTTTGTCCGGATGCCAATTGTCCAAGCTCTTGAGCGTAAAGGGATTCAGATTGCCCAAGGCCAGATGGAGTGCCTTTTCGCTATCCGCCAGCAATGAACCCGCATTGCTGCAGTGGCCTTCATCGGTTTCATGATCCTCAAGGGCACTCAGTCTTTCCATGCGTCGCTCCAGCGGATTGTAGATGTACATGTGCTTGAAAGTGGCCTCCGCCTTCATGAAATTCTCTATGTAAGCATCGTCCACCTGTCGTATATTCAAGAACTACAATCTGAAACAAGTCTCATTTGTTGCCCCGCACTCACCTCCAGATTACGCATGTTGAGATATTGTGGGATTTTCTTCAATGCTATGCGCATGTCGTCCTGTTCCGTTTTGAGCATAAACTTACATGCCTTGGCTAAGCCAATGCCCGGCAACGAGTCCAGATAGTCGCAGCCGGACAATATGCACATGCGCCGAAATTTATCGAACTTATAGCGCTCCTTCGTACAGCCCATGGCTAGGTGGAACTTCTCTGCCTCGACTAGCAGGCCGGCACCATTCAGGTCCAACTTAAAGATTATTTTCTGTGCACCGAATAGCGTCAGATCCGAGTCTTCTGTAACTATATACTGTGCAATGCCCGCCTTGTTAAGCCAGGCCATTTGTGCGTCCGCCTCGTAGGGCGCCACAATGCAGTCAATGTGTCGCACGCGGCACTCCTGGATGAGACGCAGCGCCATCTCGTGTGTGACATCCACGCAACGCCGCATTTGGGAGCGCGCCTCCTCGGTACGACCCAGTCGCAACAGTTCCATGGCGCGTTTTTTGCTTTGCTGGCGCGATTCGCGGCGCCGCTGTTCGGTGAGCGCCTTGGCCGGCAAATGTTGGCCATCGAACACCAAAATGGGCTTAATATTGTAGGAGAGCAGCATGAGCACATATTTCAGGCAATACTGCACATACAGATCCGTATCCTCGCCGCGGGCCAGTTTCTCGGCGCAGCTGAAGACACCTTTGTGTAGCCAGCAGTAGGTGTCCACGGCAACGGTGCTGCCGCTCAATTCCTTTAAGTGCACCTTGGCCGACGCCTTCTCCAGAAAAGGTATCAGCCCGGTTATGCCCATCACAAACGCTTAATTACTAATATTAAATTGAATGTAAACAAATCACAGCTCCAGAAGCAACAAAATCAACCCCAATGATTCCCGCCAAAAAAAAAAACTCATGCTTCTTCATGTCCGCTGCCATTCACCACGAATTCAGCTCAATTGGCGCCATATTTACCACCTTTACCAGCACTGCAAATTATTTTATTTTAAAAAGTTTGAAACGTATTTTGTTTATCTTTAATTTTATATATTTTAGCAATGTTAAGAATCCGCTGATTGTAACGCACAGCGTTCATGGTTATGTGCTGAAAATTCTGAACGCCTTGGATTCAAAAAAGGAGGAATTTGTGGACGCCCAAAATCAACTGCTGCTCTACTTGGGTTAATATAAAATTAAAAAAAAAAAACATATTGACACAACTGTTTTATTAACCATATATATGTTTTATATACACTGCAGCCAAACAGCACGTGCATTGTCCCCGACCCATTGCCAATGCACGTGGCAAATATTATTCTGTGGAACAGATCAGCGGCAATACACATGTGGTACGCTTATTGGAGTTTATTCCGGGCAAAATGTTCCATGAAGTGCCATTGACCAAAAATTTGCTCTATCAGAGCGGCGAATATTTGGCCAAGTTGGATCGTGCGCTAAAAAACTTCACGCACAAGGCCTACGATACCCATAAGACGCTCTGGATGCTGCAGTCGGTGCCACAGTTACGCGATTTTCTCTACGCTCTCGAGGATCACCAGCGCAAGGCGCTGTGTGAGGAAATCATCGATGCATTCGAGTCAAAGGTGCTGAGCGTGCTGTCCACGATGGAGCTGCAGATCATACACGGCGATTACAATGAGCAGAATATCGTAGTTAATGCGCCGACGGCAGACGCCGAGCGTCCAGATGCGTATCGGGTCTCGGGAGTCATCGATTTTGGCGACACCAGCCGTTCGCCACTGATCTTCGAGCTGGGCATTGCCATGAGCTACATGATGTTGCAAGCCAAGGATTTGGCCAGTGGCGGCATCTTTCTAGCCGGTTATACGAGCATCCAGTCAATTAGCGCCGCGGATCGTGACTATCTCAAGTATTGTGTGGCCGCACGCCTCGCCCAGAGTCTCATCATGGGCGCCTACACGCACACGCTGCATCCGAGCAATGATTATGTGCTGGTCACCCAGGCGCAGGGTTGGGTGCTCCTCGAGCAGCTCTGGCGCGAGAGCATGGACACCATTGATGACCTATGGGCGACTACAGCACACCAGTATCTCACACAGAGCACCAAATAGGCCCACACCTAATCCTTCCGTCCGCAACTAAACTTTGGTCAATTAGTATTTTCAATTATGAGCGAAAAAAAAAAACAAAAAACAAATTGTCCAAGTTGATTTATTGAAAATTTCGCATTTTACTTTATTTGTATGTATGTATTATTATTATATAAACTTTCATAATTTACATTAAAACTTGTTAAACAGTTAAATGTATAAATACATTTTATGTGGTGTTAATAGTTTCTGGGAAGATTTGCTTTTGTTAACGTGTTTCTAGCGCTTTATTGCAATTTATTTACTGGAGCTGCGGCTAATTTATCTAATTAACAGCTACGTAAATTACAATATAATTACAAAATTGCAAGGCAAATGTTATTTGCAATATACAAGCGCATCGAAGTAATTGCTGTGTACAAATTTATTGAATAAAAAATATATATTGCTAGTTTTAATTATATGTATATATAGAGATATATGCTATATATTCACGCGTCTACTTAGGCTAGTTAGTTTAGGTTCTTAAGAGCTAAAATTTACAGGGTATGTGCCTGCATGCCAAAACGACTTGCCTGCGAACGTTGCACTCGGCGAGATATACAGATATATATACATATTCATATATATATATCTGCTATTATCGTGCCACAAATCAAATATATTAAGACATTTTACCTGAAATGCTTTTCTCTTTTTATTGCTTGTAAATCGTTTATATTGTTGTTCTCTTCTCTCAAAATGAAACAAAAATCTGTATTGTTTTCCAAATTATAATTAAACAAAAATATGTATAATATGTATTTGTTTGCATACCATGGCTTTCAAAAATGCAGACAAACTGTTTGTTTTATTCTAACTAGCAAAACTAGTTAAATGACGATCAGACTTCGATATATGTTCAAACAACACAACACATAATAAAATCTATCAAATTTTTTAGTACACACAAGCTTCTAGCACACACAAATATATACCTGAGTAACTACACACACACACACACACACACACACACACAACAGTCTGCATTTGTTGAAGAGCCACGGATCCTTATAACAAATTATAAATACACGCGGTTTTGCACAAAGTAATGCACAGTTATAATAGAAGAAGAAAAAAATTGGGTTTTCTTAAATAAATCATATACATAGGATTTTCAGCAAAAAACGCTTTTGAAGTCTACAATTTTCATTTTGTTAAAGCCAAAGCAAACTTTTCTGCGGTTGTTTTCTTTTCTTTTTGCTCTTATCAATTCAGAATAAAGCTGAGATGTTTTGTTTTTGACTGTATATATAAATATTTAACATAAGTTTTGTTTACGTCCTTTGAAGCAAGCTCAAACTGAACGTTCGAGCTTGTTCCACACTTTAAAGTCTCTAGAAACTAACGACTGTTATTTATTATTGTTACAAATTAAATTTAATAAAAAAAAAAGGGGGTTTAAAAAAAAATTAGATATAGATATATATATGTATATATAAATATATATCAGCACTATGCAACGTCAATGTGTGGGCTTTAGCAGGTGTGATGTGGCATGTGGCATGCGGCATGCGGCATCTGCTGCTGCTGTTGCGAGCCTAACGTCGCCGCTGACGTTTGCGTCGCTTGAGGAACACATACGATGAATTCATCTCCTGATGTCGCGCCTCGGCGGCCGTTGTGGGCAGCTTTTTGCTGCCCAACGTCGCGACGGGCGCTGCCTGCGCCTTGGTTCGGGCATCCGCTGTCGGCGCATGCACCGCATCCAGCCAGGGCAGCGAGAAGTGTTCGCTTTCCGGTTTCAGGTTAATCATATCCTCACCAAACGCCTGGACAGGCACTTCGGTAACGAACTGTATGCCCTCAATATCCTCGGGCAGCGGATAGAAGGTGGACGTTGGCAGTGGATCGAGCGGTATTAACACCTCATCCTGATTGTGACGCAAACGCAACGCCTCGCTGCGCATCTGTTCCCGTAAGTAGCGTGCATCGCGCTTCTTGCGCTCAATCTCATCCCGCACATACTTCTCGTGGCGACGCACAAAGTCCGCATCGCTGAGCGACTCTATGCCCTTGGGATTCGCAGAGCGTGGTATATGCACCACCTTCCATTTGGGTATCTCCAGACTGGGATTGTCGGCGAGCAGCTCATCGGCCTCCTCCAGAAAGAATTCATTGTCACAATGAAACTCTTGATCCTCCCAGGACCGTGTCGTATATGGCTGCAGCGATGTGCGGAACTTCGAGTTGTTTCTGATGCTGCTCGAGCGCTTGTAGATGTCGCTAGTTTCGCTAGTTTCGCTAGTGTTGGTGTTGTTGGTGTTGCTGCTGCTGTTGTTGTTGCTGCTGCTGCTATTGCTGCTGCTGCCGACGCTGCTAATGGACTGCGGCGTCAGCGGCGTTTGTATGATTGTTACTGATGTTACGGATGTAACTTTTGTTAATGTTGTACTGTTGTTGTTGCTGTTGCTGCTGTTATTGTTGTTGTTGTTGTTGTTGTTCACCAGCTTCAACTTGGGCGACGCAACATTTGTTGGTGAGGGCGCGGGTGTTATTGTGGCGCTCGTCTGCGCTATGGGTGGATATATTAGGCTGGTATTGCCGCTCGTCTGCATTGGTGACTTCTTGAGCCGCACCAGCGGCAATTGTTGCTGTTGGTTTTGCAGTCGTTGTTGCTGCTTTTGCAGATGTTCGTGTAGTTTGCGCATCGTCTCCTCTTCAATGTTGGGTTCCACTGCTTGCGCCGCTCTTTGTTTTTTCTCCTGCTTTTCACGTTTTTTACGCTCCCTTTCCAGTTGCTTCTTCTGTTTCCGTTCCCGTGCCTGTTCTAGCTGCTGTTTTGGCTTCTTGACGCGTGCACGCTCGACGTTTTGTTTACGCTCGGCATGTTTTTTACGCTCCTTTTTATTTGCGCGCTTTTTCAGCAGCTCCTTTTTCTGTTCACGCTTCTTCGGTCGTTTTCGCTCCACCTGCTGATCACGCTCCACCTGCTGATCCTGCTCCAGCTTCTTTTTACGCTTCTTTAGCTGTTTCCGCTTCCGCTTCTGTTGCCTTTCCAGCTTCTGTTCCCGTCCCAGCTGCTCTTCGCGTTCCAGCTGTTGCTTGTGCTCTAGCTGCTGTTCCCGCTCCAGCTGCTCCTCGCGCTCCTTTTGCTGCTCGCTTTCCAGCTGCTGTTCACGCTCCCGCTCCCGCTGCTGTTCCAGTTCATGCTCCAGCTGCTCTTCCCGCTCACGCTCCCGCTGCTCTTCCAGCTCACGTTCTTGCTGCTCTTCCAGCTCACGCTCTTGCTGCTCTTCCAGCTCACGCTCTTGCTGCTCTTCCAGCTCACGCTCTTGCTGCTCTTCCAGCTCACGCTCTTGCTGCTCTTCCAGCTCACGCTCTTTCTGCTCTTCCAGATCACGCTCTTGCTGCTCTTCCAGCTCACGCTCTTTCTGCTCTTCCAGCTTACGATCTCGCTCCCTCTGCTCTTCCAGCTCACGTTCTCGCTCCCTCTGCTCTTCAAGTTCACGCTCTCGCTCTCTTTGCTCTTCCACCTCACGCTCTCGCTCCCTTTGCTGTTTCTGCTCACGCTCCCGCTCCCGCTCCCTCTGCTGTTCCTGCTCCCTCTCTTGTTGCCTTTCCAGCTCCCGTTGCTGCAGCGTTGGCTTGGCCAATATCGCTTTATCATTTGCTGTTGCTGCATTCTGTGTCCCCGTTGGCGGCTGCTTCGCTGATTTAGCTGAATTTCGCTCCTTCTTTGTGGCTTCCATTTGCGACTTGGTTGCCTGATGATTGGCTACAGCTTTAGACGGCGTCGCTGGCAACCTTAATTTGCGTGGCTTTGTTGCTATTTCGTCCACATTTGATTTTATGGACGCCCCTTGCATGTTTGGTTCCCTTAGTGCATTTTGCAGCTTTGTGTGGATCGGTTCATCACATTTTTGCACTTGGAATAACGAATTATCAATATCGTCATCTGTGAATTGTGATTGTTGTTGAGGGGGAGGCGTTGCAATGTGGTTTTGCTGCTGATCTTCCAGCTCCATCTGGCTGTCCAACTCTGCGTGCCACTGAAAAAGAAGAGGGAATAGCGTTTTAGGAATGGAAATTCTTTTGTGGCTATAGCAAAAGCTTACCAGTCGCTGTTCCTCCGCATCCGCTTCGTGCTGCCAGAGATTGTCCGCATCGCAATTGTTAACAATTTCCTGCTCCATCTCGACCTCCTCTTCGTACATGTGGCCATTGTTAATGTTATCATTATCTTCGGCAGTCTCTTCGGCGCCCAGCTCCTCCTCGGCGCCAATAATTGTTTCAGTCACTATTTCCATTTCATGCGTATCAAGCGCATCGTGATAGATATGCTCCTCCTCCTCGTCCACTTCCACCTCCAGCTCTTCCTCCTCTACATCTCCAAGGTCCATGTGTGTGTGTAACTCATCATCGTCTAGCTGCAATTGCAATTGCTCCTGCTGCTGTTTCTCTCTTTCCTCTTCCTGCTGCTGTACCTCCTCCTCCTCCTGTTGTTGCTCCTGCTCCTCCTCTTGATGCACACGGTGCAAGAAAAAGGTTCTCACCTTTTTGCCGCCATTGAACTCGCCGCGCACCTTACTATTCTCAAAAGCAGGTGTCGTAGGCGGCAAATCCGTTACGGACGTAACCAACACGTTTTGTGTTTGCTTCAAATGTGTCCCATGTTTATAGCCATGAAGCACCGTCTCCTTTGGGACAAAGTCCGGTGTCTGGGTTTGTTTATCCGCAACACATTGAGATTTCAGCTTGGGCTGTCCATCAGTATCGTAAGCCGACCGCTTCATGTGTCTACGGAATTCCTTGCGCAGATCCTCAATAGTTAGGGTAAGTTTGGCTATCTGCTGCATCTGCTCCTGGTTCTGGGCGAGCAACGTTTTGATGCGTGCATTTTTATCCTCCAACTCTTTGTCTTTGTCCAATATACTTTCGGTCTGATCCTGCATAACATTCAGATGGAGCACAATCATGCGCTTCAAATTGTTGTTCTCCACTATTAATGTGACCACATCCGAACCGTTACTGGCGTTTCCACAGTCCGGCATCGGTGCCGGCTCCAACCAGCCGCCACCGCACCCGCCACCACCTCTGATATTTGTAAGCTGCTGCTGCTGCGGCGGTGGCGGGGGCTTGTAATAGTTATTGCCATTATTGTTGTAGCTGTTGTAGTTATGATTGGGGCGTGTGTAGTTATTGTAGGGCTGCTGATAGGCGGATCTTGGTGCATGTTGGCCGTAGTTTTGTTGATCCACATAACCACCTCTCTGTTGGTTCATTGGCCGTTTAAAGCGCTTATCCATTTCGCAGTCACACACGAGACACACGCTCTTTTATTATTATTGTTTACAGAATGTTGTTCATAGTGTTTGGTCGTGTTTTGTTTTCGGCTTGCGCCTATCCACCACGGCACGCCAACTTTTTGACAGCCGCAGCTGATGGACTAACACAGTAAAATGCGTAAAACGGTTTTATTCACCACACTCTTAATTTTTCTGCTATCGCTTTTTCCCAGAAAAATGCGTTTTCGCAACAATTTAGCGTATTAATTACATTGACGTTATGAACTATGGCAGTAACATTTAGTTTATTTGCTACGTTAAAACTTTATAAATACTTCTTTTACGTGCTTTTACTGTTTTTAAATTTTATGCGGATAATGTAAACTGGCCCGAAAAAAGCATTTTAGAAGTATGGCGTTGTTGGTGTTGCCAGGCTACACAATGGCAGGGTTGCTAAATATCGCCACGCTGCCAACTGCTAATATTCACCACTTGCTATTGTTTGCCAATTTCGGTCCACTGTTCAAAACGTTAAACAAATATTCCCATTTATAATTCCTAACAACAAATAATTGGAATTAGACAGCAGCCAAGCACAAAAATTATATAACAAAGAGGCGTATTCCACAGCGCGAGTTGGCATTACGTGTGCACATTCGCTGTGAATGGCAGCAGATAGAAGCAGAAAAATGGCGGCAATACAGCTTGTAATTCTGGACTCTACAGTGGTGGCTTTGTGGACTTCAATATTCCGCGATGACATCCATATTTGGTGAGGATGGGGTTGATGACCTGTTCAATGATAATATTGGCATCGACAACGATCAATTACCGAGTGATGGCGAGGTTGATGCTGGCGAAAAACTGTTCGGTGACGATGAGGATGCTGCAGATGGGGCTGGCGAAGGTGAACAGGACGGCGTCAAGGTAGAGCCCAAAAAGCGTACGGTGCGAAATCCACGGCCACGACTCACTGTGGACACACTGCGCGGACCACGAGGTTTGCACACGATCGAACACTATTTCAAGGACATTAAATACAAGGGCAAGGGGCATGAAAAGGCCGACTTGGACGAGATTTTGCGCCGCTTGCAGCACTGGGGCCATCGTATGTATCCAAACTACACGTTTGACGATGTCCTTAACAACATCGAACGTTTGGGAAAGAAGAAACCACTGCAGGTACACATGACACGCTATCGCCTGAATCAGTTGGAGGAGTTATTGGAGCATGACGGCGAGCTGCAGGACAATGCCGATGATGACGACAATGATGGCGCCGCCGAGCCGTTTGATGAATTTGATGCCCTATTGGGCGAACAAATTGCTATGTCAAAACTGGCGCCGCGAACACCGGCAATCCAGCGTCGCAGCTTGTCCACGACAAGCAGTACACTAGTGACGCCTTCATTTTCACGCAATGCTATTGTATCCACACCATATTCCGTGACGGTGCCCGCGATAGCTGACGACGACAGCATCAGCGATTATGGAAAACCCTTGCCGCCATCGCAACCAGCAACGCCGGCAGCAAAAAGTGGTCAATTGTCCGCCGAGCAAATGGCGCGCATTGCAGATAATCGCCGCCTGGCACAGGAGCGACTACGCGCCAAGCAAATGGAGGCCAGTGCAGCTGCAGAAGTTACATAGTGAAACAAAGATATTCTTTAAAAAGAAGACTTATTTATTGTAGATTAAGAAATAAATTAAGATTCGTTTAGAAGGTTGTTAGAGTCGTTGTCTATATATATCTGTATACATGATGTGAACACGATCAGTGCGAGTCGGGCTTAAGAGAAATACTATTAATTCCATTAACTACAAACTAAAATTGCCTGCTGGATGCATAGCTATATCAAGGTACAAGCGTGTTTTGTGTAAGCTGTTCAGGATTTATGTGGTAAAGCGCAGGGCGACGCGTGGCAACATCTCGAGCAGCCCCTTGGCGCCCCTGAGTAGTACAGCGACAATGTTCAATGTAAGTAGATCTGTATTTGGCAGGGCTTGCCCATCCATATCTCTCGGTTCGGTGCTCCGATCAATTGCCTCGCTTATCACATGCAAGAGGCGTTGATAAAGAAACGATTGGCGGTAAATAGGCTTGGAGAGGCTGAGATGATCATCTTTGAGCAAAAAGAAATCACCGAAATCGATGCGGGATGATTCCTCAGTAACGATGCGCAACGGAAACTTGAATGTGGTCAGCATGGTGGGTGATCCTTCGGCCAGACTGAGCACATTCACGTGACGCAGGCAGGTGCGCAGGCAGCCCATGAAACGGCGATGCATCTCTAGCAATTTCGGTGAATTCTCTTCCATTTCCTTTACCTCAATCGATGGCGAGAGTATCATTTGCATATGCTGTTTCCATTTGGCTATCGGCGAGCCGCGATGCGGTGTGCCCAGAAACACAATACCCTGCGTATTCTTGGCAATCTGTTGCACCCTCTGCTCCACAGAATCCACAGATTTTAGCAGTATAAGCTTGGTAAGCAGACCACCCATGGAATGCCCAATCCATACCACTGGCCGGCCATTGCCAACGCCGGCGGTGGCAATGCGTTCCAACAATGAGCTGGCACGCACATCTATATGACCCTGGCCCTTTTCACATGGGCAATACTTGGTGAAATTGGCCGACCACTCGGTCACCGCGGATGTATAGTCAATGCCAATGATTCTGTAATAAATATTATAAAATTAATCAATTGGACAGGTGCTTTGATTAATGTGCTTACCGAGAATCAGGATAGTCATCGGGCAGCCACTCCATGGGCCAGCAGTTTGTGTACTCTTCGCTTGCATCCTGATTGCTCCACTCATTGCCGGAGACACTGAAATTGCCTTGACAATCGGCATTGCCCTCCAGCGGGATATCTGGATGCACTACCTCCCAATCCGAATCGAGCTCAGCCTCGCTGTATAGGGTTTCTACAAACTCTTTGGTGGCCGCATCGCTTATGTTCAGACGTTTTTCCTCCACCTTTTTGCTGGTCTTCAGCAGCGAATCTGCAAGTATACGAACGTTAATTGATAATACGAGAAAGCAAAAATTTCTTTTGGTAATACCTTTCATGGCATTGGTTTTATTGGCGTTTGTCTTGGCCGCATCACTGGTGTTGGCTGGTATCTGGGCGGGAATCAACGGTCTGCCCTGCTGCCTTTTATGTTGTTGTCTACTGCCATTGCGCTTCGGTTCGCCCACGAGAAAGACATCATCCGTTTCGCTCGTATAGAACGCATTCTTGCCATACAGACCCAGTTCAGTGGGCTTACGATCCCGCTGCCGCCAGGTAATAAAGACGCCACCCAACAGTCCATGTATGAAAACAATGTCTGCCTTGGGCTTGCGGCGAGTGCGTACACGCGGATGCAGGGGATATACGTTTGGCGGATAGGTGAACTGATTGGGATCATCATGATCCAGATTGGCCATTGTCTTGGCTGAGATAACCTGGAGACGCAAGTCGGGGCATTGCTGCCAATCGGCCAGCGCACCAACCCAGCCAGAGACGAAGAAATGCTCGACTGCATCCGGCACCAACGATAGGTTGGCAAGCACTTTGCATAGCGTTGACAGCGTCTCGTTGTCCTCGGCGAAAATCTTACGCAACTCCATTAAATGCATCAGTCCGCCATCGTGTATGATTTTGGCCGCAATCTTCGGATCCTTGGTGATGTGATGCAGAAACGAAATGACTTCTTTGAGTAAGTCTGTGTCCTGCACAGCCAGCGCTACGTTTTGCTCCTGCGTGAAGAATTCGTTGAGTTCCTCCTGAAAGCGGGATCAAACTAATTAGCTTGGGTTATGTTCAACTGCTTACTTTCGGACTTACGATATTATGCTGATCTGGAAAATATTTGCTAAAGAAGTGATCCACACAGGATAAGGGACGCAGCCGGGCAAGCATTACGTGCAGCTCGCTGAGCAGCATTTTGGGATTCCTAATGCAGCCGCGGCGTGGCACCGGCATAAACCAACGCATATCGGCGCCGCAGCGGGCCAAGGAGACGGAGGTGCGTGCATCACAGATCTGTGCCAAGTGCCGAAAGTCCCAGTCCTTCAAATGATCCATACATATCAGCTGTTGTACTGCCTTTAGACGTTCCGCCTGGCTGCCGTTTTGTGCAATATTCAGCAGACGCCAGGCAACCGAATGCTTCGCTGCCTTCCACCATTTGCCAATGGGATTTATGATGACACTTATCCACTTCTTCTCGTCCTCCTGCTTCTGCTGCAGCTTGCGCATGGATTCCCGATAAATGTGATATTTAATGTAAATGTATTCCGTGCGACGTTTGTCCGGCTCCTGTTGTTTTTTGTCCACATACTGAGAGAAATATTTACGGATTCGCGGTGACTCGTAGAGTATGATGCCGGCGCTGAAAATAGGATAGAAATTGTAAATTAATACACACGTGCTGTTGTTCTTTTACAATTTGTTGTTGTTGTTGATGTTTTTAATTGACCCAAATATCAACAAGCTGGGAGCTGCTGCCAACAATTTGTTGTTGCCATAAACTTGCGATAAACAACAACAACTTTTATTATTTGTATAAAAGTGGGCGTGTCACAAATACCTACTCAAGCAGCGCCACACGCGCCAACCAAAATTCCCAGAACCAACAACAATAACAAAGATAACAGTGCTGCCAAGTTTTTAGCAGAAAGCTAGTTTTATAGTGAAAAATAGCTAAATAGCTTAATTTTATATGTAGTACGAAAAAGGTTTATAAAAATTTGATGTTTGGATATTTTTTAATTTATAATAAGTATTTCCAAAATAAGTATATCAAGCTCTTAATTTACCTAACTATAGTCATAATTAATTAATTACAAACATTTTTGTGAAAATCTAAACTAAAGCAATGTTTATAAGTTGCATGGTAAAGTATTTAATTTTAAATTTTGCATGACATTTTTGGTAAATAGAGCCGACAAAATTATTAATCCAAAATTCGGCCAATACATATTCCCGTGGTTTTTAGTTCTTCCGCTGCTAACGCATTTTCAAAATAAGTCGAAATTTGACTGGAAATAATCGGAAGTGGCAGCACTGTCCAATAACTACAAATGTCGCGGGGGGTCCGTTATTTTGCGAAAACTACTGCGCACTATTTTGATGGCCAGTTTGTTTTGTTTTTGTGTGTGCTTGCGTGTGTGCATAAGTGTTGGTGATCAGGGGAGGGCCTTGAACAGCTGTTACGCACAAGAAGCAGTAGGGTAAGCGAAAAGCAAACAAGCAACAACAACTAACTCTATCTTGCTATCTCATTTTGACAAAATCGTACGTTTGTTTTGATCGTGTTGTGTTAATATCAACAACAACAACAACACTTGGCAGTTGTTCAGCGACTGCAGAATGAATAATTTCTTTTATTTGTTTTTTACAATTTGTGTAAACAAATGACGTCACAGGTGCAATCGCCCGATATCTGGCTAGAATGCGGAAAACGCACTAAAGACATTTTAGTTCTAATGTCAGGCAACTAACTGTTCAGGGCCAAGTGGCGCCACATCGTGTATGCTAAGAATTTAAGTGACAAGCCCCCTTTAGATGGAATGGTTGTATGTATATTAACTGTAATTGCTGTTGCGAGCCAGAGCAGCTGTTGCAGCTGCTTAACTGATTTTACTTACGTGGTCAAAATGCCAAAACCTCCAAGCAGCTTTGGAAAACGGCGTATTGTTGCTTTAATATCCTCTAATGACATTGCCTGCTGTAGTTCTGTTGTGTGTTGTGTAGCCTGGCGAACTCACTAGTAAAATTTGTCAAGTAGTTGCCAAAAGTTTACTTTGTTTTTTTTTTTGTTTTTACACAATCACACTTTAAATTTAGACTATTCTCGTGCGTCGAACTTATCACTTTGACACTTTGCTTTTAACTATTCAGAATTTATTTGTATTTCTAAAACTTGTATTAATTAAAACGGTTTGTAAAGTCAGTAATAATTAATGAACGACCGACCCCTTTGGGGTCTAAAAGTTTGTTTTTTCGAACTTTTGTGCTGTGATTCAAGTTGTTGAATGACTGATTTGTTTTGTTTCGTCTCTTTTATCTCTTTTTCGTAGTCGAGTGGGTTGCCACACTGTCTTACAAAAATCAAAGTGTTGCCACATCATTTGCTGCGAATATGTTAAATCGGATAATTAAAATGTTATAATTCATGTTTAATTGTATAACGTAAATAATAAAAACCATTATTAAAGAAAAATTAAACTAAACTTTTCCACTTGTTTCTTATCCTCTTAACCAACAACAATGTTATGCTATTTAAGCGTTGAGAAAAAAATGTTTTAAACCCGCTCACTGTTAATAACAGTGCGGCAAAGGTGATTTGTACTCTCACGGCTATGCTGCTGTTATCATTTAGTAGATGGCTTGTGCGCTGCGAGTGTGCACGCACTGGTCTCGCGATTTGTGTAATCAGGAATTGTATCAAATTAATGTACTATAATGAAAATACATTTTCGTGAACAATATGGCACCAAAGGCGAGGAAATACTTTATGTGACGCCGGCAGGTGAGTATTAAGAATACACAAAGCAACATAACAATTATGCAAGCATCCAATTTGTAGATCAAAGTAATATTGTGCGTGTGCCTCTACGTGGCGACAGGCTGGTCATACAGGAGAAGTTCCTGCTGTTCCGTGTGTTGCAGAATATCTTTCTGCCCAAAGGATATCCGGACTCTGTATCCGATGATTATGCGGCGTACCAAATATGGGACACGGTGCAAGCATTCTGCAGCACCATTTGCGGCACACTCTGCACACATGCCATACTCAAGGGTATTGGAGTGGGCAGCGAGAATGTGAATGCCTATTCGGCGACAGTTACGTGGATATTGAAGGAGGGCTGCGGGCATTTGGGACGCATCATATTCGCCTGGTGGCAAGGCAGTCAGCTGGACGTTGATTCAAAGAAGTGGCGACTACGCGCCGATTTTCTCAACGATCTGGCGATGGGCATTGAGATCTATGTGCTTCCCAAGTATCCACATCTTAGCACGCAAATTCTTTGCGGCTCCACCATGCTGAAAGCGATAGTGGGCGTGGCTGGCGGCGCCACACGCGCAGCGTTAACACAACATCATGCTGTGCGTGGCAATTTGGCGGATGTCGCTTCCAAGGATAGCTCACAGGAGACGTGCGTCAATTTGATCGCTTCCTTTGTGGGCCTCTATCTACTCACGATGATCAAGAGCCAGGCTATGCTATATACCGTGTTTTACATTGTGGTCACGCTGCATCTCTATGCGAATCTAAAGGCTGTGCGTGCTGTTTGCCTGCGCACGTTCAACGAGTCGCGATATTTAATAGCCCTAGAGGAGTTCTTTAGGTCGTCGCACATGCTGACACCGCAGCAGGTGAGCTGCAACTCAATTCAGTTTATCTCTAGTCAGTTTAAGGATAGCGCTAATAACTGTCCCTCTTTCAGGTAAACAAATTGGAACGCGTCACGGTCGGTCAGATGGTATCAGTATCGCTCAACATACGCCTCGGCTTGAGCGTAAAGCATCTCATTGATGAGTATAAAAGCAGTAATGTCATTGAGAATATTGTCTCCTCGTTCGATCCACATGAACGCTTCATTATAGCGGAGAGCAAGAAATATCTAGGTGTATATTTGCATTTTGATACACGACCCCAGGATGTGCTGAAGGCATATTTTTTCGCTGTCTCCTATCTGCAGGATAGAAATCAAATTAAGGAACAGTATTGGGACATACAAGGCAAATGGCAGGAGTTTCTAAATTTAGCGCAACAAGAGGGTAACTCATAGTCAATTTATAATTATATATAAGATAATTATATATTTAAACTATCCACGCAGGATGGCTAATCAATCAACACTTGCTGCTGGTTGATGAGTATCGCTTGGACTGGAAGGCTTAGGGGACCGACTAATGCCCACCAACTGGACCAAAGATGATACAGCGCTCAGATGCTTGCTATGAACGATATTATTTGAGTTTTATTTAGCCTAGTACGTTTTAACAACATACACACATTCTCACATATCTCACATGGTAATACAATAACCATAAGGCAATCGTTGATATTAGCAAATTATTGCGATGATACATATTTACACATTATAGATTTAGTCACATAACGCATCATTCGCATCAATCTTAAAATATTTTGAAAAACATTCAATTCGAATATAACGTAACATCTTCCAACTATGTAACTCTGCCTTAGCACAAAGTAACGTTTGAACCGATATTTAATAAGATATTCAAGAAGCCCATCCTAGACTATCTTTAAAGCATTTTCAATTCAAAGGATGTGCTTATTTAGGACTCAAAAATCTAAAAAAAAAAAATAATCTATTTTGTAATAACTTACCACTTGTATATTTCGAGGAGGTACTTTTTACCAAGAGAAAAACTTCGCAACGAACGAGCCGCTTCAATTGTAACCCATAAAATTGTACAAAGTTTTTAATCGTAATTTAATTGGACTGCACTGTAGAGTGCAATTTTATATAAAACGTGTAATATTATTTATAAGCTTTGAGTATAATTTTAATAATTAATATGGCAAATTGCAAGTCCATTAGCTTAGCACTTAAAACTAGCTTGAGAAATGCTTTTTATATTATGCGAAATAGTAGTAAAAACACAATTGATTTTAATAGGAGAATAAATAAAATTCTTCGACATTTTATGCTAAATATATTTATAAACTCTGTTTTGTGGAATATGTTAATATGTTAGTAGCAGAAATGGAGAGCTGTCCATTAGTAAACATAAATATATATATATATATATATATATATATACATATATACTTTTTTTATTTATACGTATCTATGGTATCGGTATCTATTGTTTATATATGTTTTTATGCTACTATTGTTTAGTTAGCATTTTTAAAAAATTATAAAACTTTGTTTTCATTTTTTTTGGATTTGTAACCTACATATATTAAAATTTCTGCGCCTAATAAGATAACGCAGGAAATTTTGTGTTGTTTAAAAATGTTGAATAATATAATAATTTAATTGTCACCATAGAAAACACGCCACACACATAACTACGGTTGCCCTGCTAAAATGGCTGAAAGTAGTTCAAATGTAGTGTGAACATAGCAATTGTAAGCTAATAAGTATCGATGCTGTCTACTGATAACATTTGAAACATCAAATGTATTCTTGAATTTGTAGCCTACATATATTGAATCTTCTGCGACTAACAAGAACACGCACGATTTTTGAATTGTTTAACAATTTGAATAACATAATATAATAATATAACTGCTGTTGCCCTGATAAATTGGTTGAAAGTAGTTCACATGTAGTGTGAACGTAGCATATTCACGCTAATAAGTATCGATGCTGTATATCGATAACACGAGCGATTATTTCTTATTTTAAACCAAGCACGTGCGCCTGACAAACGTGTTTTTGTTTAAAAAACAATTTAGAAGCGATTTATAAAGTATGGAAGATGCTCACCCAGAGGATGTGCCAGCCAACAGCTTGGTCACAGATGTGGAGGCAGCAGCGCACCTAACTACGGCAGACGAGGCCACTAATGCAGAGATCGTCGTGACCGAAATGGTGCACACAAAAGCAGCAGCTGTTGAGGCGGAAACAAATAAAAGTGATTCAACAACCGTTGTTGATGAATTAACCACAAATACGAAGACCACATCTCAAATAGATGCACACAAAGAAAACGCAGCCGAGACCTTGATAAGCAGCCAGGTGGAAGCACTTGCTAGGCCCCAAACAGGTAGGCTTAGTCGAACCTAAAAACTTTTATTTTACCTATATAGCTTTTATATATTTTGTCCAGTAGAAAGTCTAAGTGCTGTGCCTGCTGAGTCAGTAGAACCAAAACTGCCTATAAATATCACAAACCCAGTTGACGCAGAGCTGAGCTGCGAGGGAATAGGTGCTAATCCTCAAGTGGAACCCACAACGGCCGCGACTGCAGTGATTGATGCAGAGATGAGCAATGAGCCAATAGTTGCTAATCCTCAAAAGGAACTTTCAACCGTCTCGACTGCAGTGCTTGAGGCAGAGCTGTGCGTTAACGAAATCGTTGCTAATCCTCAAGTGGAACTCACAACACCCTCGACTGCAATTCCTGATCCTCAATCGGCAGTGACAGCCCTTGCCACTGAAGTGATTGACACAATGATGAGCACTGGGGATGGTAATCCTCAAGTGGATCTCACAGTAGTTGGTGATCCTCAAGTGGAACTCACAAACGCTGTAACTGCAATGGAATACGAAACGTTGCCGGAGGCACCAGCAAACACGGCAGCAGCGAAACCATTAAACGGGCTCAGCTTGCTGGCTGGCTACGGCTCTGATGCGGATTCAGATGTGGAGGATGTAACCCAAATAGAAGATAGCGACAACGATGATATAGTTGAGGTGCCCGTCAACAGTTCCAGCATACGTCGTCGAGTTGTTCCCGCGAGCTCGGATAGCGACAGCAGCAGCAGCAGCAGCGACTCGGACTCAAACTCTGAGGCCGAATATCTCACGGTGCTGCGCAAGAAAATAGAGAAGCGCATCAATACCGTGGATTGTGATGATGATGATGACGATGAGGATGTGGAGGATGATGCACGACCGCGTCGTCGTCAGCCGCCAAAAGTGCGCGGCGAGATGCTTTTGGATGAGCTGCCGCCCATACATCAGCTTGAGATAACCGTGCCGGAGGATGAGTGCATTGAGCTGGGCAAGGTGCATTCGATAGTGGATCAACTGGTGCTGGTTAGTGTGTTGCCCAATTCGATGCTCTTCGATTTGGACACTGTGCTGTTTCTGGAAAAGGGACGCAAAGTGCTGGGTCAGGTGTTCGATGTGCTCGGCCAGGTGGCCGATCCGCTCTACTGTGTGCGCTTCAATACCAATCAGCAGATTAAGGAGCGCAACATTAACATTGGCGACATTGTCTACTGTGCGCCGCAGACGGAGCACACACAATTCGTTATACTGTCCAAGCTGATGCAGGTGCGCGGCTCGGATGCATCGTGGGAGCATGATGTAGAGCCGCCGGCGCGTTTCATTGATTACTCCGACGATGAGGCGGAGCGGGAGGCGCGCTGGGAGCAGCGCAAGAAGCGACAACGTGAGCGCACCAATTCCACGGACTCCGTGGAAACCACGGTGACCACAACGAACACCGAGGCAAGTGAGCAGCCGGTCGCGGCTCCTCGCCAACGTGGTCGACGCGCTCAACGCCAGTCGCAGAACTACTCAAATGGCAATCAGCCAATGGACCAGCACAGTCAGTCCCGTTCGCAATCGCGTGAGACGGAGTACAACTATCATCCCAGCTACAATCCGGGCAGCTGGCACTCCAATTATTATCACAATTATCATCCGCCGGCGGCCAATTTTAATATGATGCCCGGCATGGCGTTTCCCATGCCCACACATGGCTATGGCTACATGCAGCCGCCGCCTCCGCATCCCTATGCCATGCCGCCGCCCATGCCCATGGCCATGCCCCCGCACATGTACCCAGGCTACGGCCAGCCCCCGCAGCCCCCCAATTAGAACTTTATGCGCCTTTTTTACTTTTTACTTTATTCCAATAAAAAAAATTCGTAAACAATTTGTATTTTTTTTCTTTTTCTCGTTTGTATTTAAAAAGGTTTTCGTTAAAATGCTTGAAGATTTGTATAAAAAGGTACTTAATCTGTGTGGGATCTCAACAATATGTTTGTGTGTTTATGATGCGCCTTGTAAATATTTCTAGGTATATCTATGGCTGTCTATGCCCAATTGACAAACATTTCATATAAAAGGAAAATAGCTATATAGAACAAATTCTGTAATCTTATATAGTCGATTTTTAGCTAATGTTATAGATCCATGATTTGTGTGTAGCTATTTTTTCTGTTCTTAAAAATACATTTGTACAGTGATCGCTCGGTAAGTAGAACTTTTAGTATTGGAGAAATAATCCAAAAATTAAAAACTAGAAATTAGGAGTTATTTTCAACAATTTATACTGAAATAATTGAATTAAAAATATGTTTCCGATAGAAAATTCTGTAGTTTATTGCCATTTGCATTATTTTCTTTCAATTGTTTTCGGTTTTTTAACACTTTTTGACTTAAAAATCGGTCGAAAACAATAATATAAATATAGTATTCTTATAACTTGTGATTTTGATTTAAAAAATTCTATTAAATTTTTTAATATAATATTTTTGTAAGCCCCATAAAACTGGCCAATATAATTCAGGAAATTTGAAACAATATTTATCAAAAATCCTTTGAAATTGGCCTATAGAAAAACATCAAACATTAATTAATATTTTTTTTAAACATTTTTGTATATAGAATTTTAAAAAGCCGCCTTGAAATTGGACTACAGAAATTATTGCTATGTAGAACTTTTCCAAAAACATAAATATTTTTAAAGACATAATTGTTTTATAGAAATTAGTAAGTTTTTGTTTTTTTGATTGGCTTCATAAAATTAAAAATTACAATTTTGTTTGAGCCCGAAGTATTCCAATTTTCGAGCGACTACTGTGTTTTATTTATAGTCTAGTTATAGATTTTTTTAGGCTTATATCTAATCAAGTTTGGCAAGGGATCGAATTTAATGATTTTAAAATTCAATTATTTAAAATTTAAATTTTAGTTTTCATTTAGTTTGTGATAATATTTGCACTAGTTACGTGAATAATTAAAAGATGACTCGTAAAATCGAGCAGTTCGTTGGATTCGCGTTAGTTTGTCAACTGGGCAGGTTAAAAAGATATATATATATATATATATATTCTTTTAGATGTGAATATATAGTTGCCTTATGTACAGCTTGCTAATCGGGTGGAAGCACTGCGAGCTATTAAAGCGGCCAAAGCAATGTTAACTATTTTGTGTTCGTATGTAAATATATGTATATACGACGCTTGTAAAATGCATGTATATATACGATATATATACTATATATATTGCTATATAATCGGGTCAGGCAAAATATTTGTGTTTGAGCTTATTCGAGAGGCAACCAAGGGGGCGTGGCTGCCGGGAGGCACATGCGAATGTGTGTATCGAATCGAAAATGGGCGGGCTTAAAGCTATTTACACGACATACAAATACAAATACAAATAAAATATATAAATGGAAAAACAGACAACAAATGCAGAATAACAATTACAAACAAAAACTCAATCGATTGAATTAACGTTGATTGATTTGTTCGCGCGTCTTGAGCAGCACCAGGACAACGGTGATATTATCCTGCGAGTCACGCTCCTTGGCAGCCTCCACAAGCAGTTTGGGAATGTCGTCTAATTTGGTTGTCACCTCGGCGAGGCACTCGTAGACAGTGTCCACAATGAACGGTTCGGGCACATGATCCCACAGCCCGTCGCTGCCGAGTACCAGAAAATCATGTGCTTCAGTCAGCGGCACATCGACGAAATCGGGCTCCGCAATGACCGCTTCGAGGCTGTAGTCGCCAATGGAACGACCCACATTCAGTATGCCATTGACACGCCATTGGCCCTGGGCATGGATGACGCTGCCGCCGCTCAGTTCTATGCGGCGCCTTTCATCGACCGCCTCGGGCTTGTGCGGCTTCACCAGCTGCAGTTGGGTGCGCTTGCCCACCAGCAATGCCTTGGAGTCGCCCACCCAGGCGACATACAGCTGCTGGCGATCGCTGTTGATCAGGGCACAGACGGCGGTCGTGCCGCTGGTGATGCGTTTACGGGCAAAACGTTCGTCGGCCTGCAGAAAAGCCATCTCGAACGCATTGCGATAGAAATCCACGTCGCTCTCGTCGGGCAATCGGTTGCGCTGCAGTTGCACGGCCAACAGTTGTGGCAATTGGCTGGTTGCATAGCAGGCGGACAGTGCGCCGGAATGGCCATCAAAGACGCCAAAGAAACGGCTGTCGCTGTGCTCGCCCAGCTGATACATGGCACCAAAGCGTTCCAGGCACACATGACGATCCTCCATTTTGCGCGGCTTATTCTTAACAGCGGACGCACTGTGCGCCGGCGCAGCAGGCTGAATGGCGCATGGACAGCACAGAGGCTGCTCGCACAGAGCCTCGTCGTCGGCATAAAACTGTAGCTTTTCCATGGCCGCATTGTCGGTCAACTTGAGCAGCAACTTGTCCAGCTGATTGCTGACAAATTTTTGCAATTTCAATAGATCATATTGCGGCGGCTCACTGACATCCACTTCCGTCAGCTCCAGCTCCTTGGCATGGCTGATATCCTGCTCCAGTTGCGCGGTGGCCGCGTGCAGCAGCTTAAGCTGGAATGCGCGCGGGCATCCTCTTGCAGTAAGCTGCTTCCAAATGGCTGATATGATTTCGGCGCGCTTTTCGTCGGCGCTCACCTTGTAAGTGTCATTGCTGCTGCGCGTTACACAATTTCCATTGCGCGTGAGTTCATTGCCAGAGGTCAGTTCGCTGCTGGCGGCTGTTGAGGCCAGAAACTCCTTGAATTCCAGCAGTTGGGCACATTCCGCTGCACATTTCAGCGGATCCGCGGCTACGTCTGTCGACATAGTTTCTTGTACTCAGCTGTTGCTGTTGACGTTATTGTTGGCGCGCCTGACACATGTGTTAATATTGGTAATAACGATGATTCACCCGCGCACTCGCATTTTTTTTACGCAATGGTTCTATTTGTTTATATATTCTATGCAGTGTGGCCGCATCTGGAAAACATGAATATACCGCTTTGCTCACTTAAGCAGTGTGATGCCAGTGTTGTTTATATTCTATGGCACTGCTGGTAGTTGAGATGGTCAACAGCACGCAATCAACACACGCACACGGCTTGTTGGTAAATATACATATTTAATTTTTAATGGCAGATAGACTATATGCCAATCTACTACATGCTTTTTTTGTTTGACATTCACTTAAGAGTTGATAAGCAATAAAACTTTTTTTGTTGCAGCTTTTTTTTTAACATTTGAAAAATATTGTAAGTATCAGCAATAATCCTTAATAATTATTTTTAGTTTCAATATTTCAGCCACTTTTATGAAATTGAATTTGTCATTTCTTGATTTATAAGGCGAAAACGTCGTTTTGAACTGTGGTCGTCGTGTCACGAAAGGAACACGAAACGCGCCAAAAATGTTTTGTAGTATCGATACTTTTGTGTAATATACTTTCGACAGTTGTGATTGGCGATGCGTCTTCTTCTTCTGCTGCCGGCAGCACTCAGCTGTTGCTTTGTTTTGTTGCGACATAATAATTTTATTTTTTTCAATTTTGCATTGCTTTTTGTGAAATGTGCGTTGTTTAAATATATTCAGTGAAATTTAAACAGAATGTCGACACCGCTGGAACAACAGACAGATGAGCGCGAAGCCCTGCAGTCCATTTACGAAGGCGATGAAAATTTCAAGGAAATTGACCTGACCACATTTCAATATAAAGTAAGAGCCGCATGCAAATATCAAAGTTAAAATCTAATTAAATTGTATAACGACTTCAGTATGGCGAAGAGGACAACTATAAATCATTTCTGGTGGAGCTGAAATGGGGCGAAAACTATCCCGACGAGGCGCCCACGATCAATATGAACACTTTCTACAATCGCAATCTGTGAGCACGTCTGAAGTGTCTATGCTGGCCATCTTTTTATGGAATCGTTTTTTTTGCAGCTTACCCGCAGTCAAGGAGGAAATACAAACGGCGCTCAGTACAGAGGCCTCACAATGGTTGGGCTGCGGCATGACGTACACCCTCTTCGAATGTATTAAAGACAACATTGAGCAACTGACTGCCGCACAGCCGGAATGTGCGCCCACTGCGGCAGCTGTGGAGGATGGTGTTGGTGCAATTAAGATATCGGATACCCAAGCGGATGCTAAGCTAAAGGAGCCGAAGAAGGAACAGCTAACAAAGTCGCAAAAGCGACGCCAATGGGAGCGCACCGATCACAAGGGCGACCGTGTACGTGGCTGGGATTGGGTGGACATTGTCAAGCATTTATCGCAAACGGGCAGCAAAGAGGACGCTGCAGCGGCCATGGAAAGTGCAGCGGCAGCAGCAGCAGCCAACCCAGTGCTGCATCCACTTAACATTTAACAACGACGCCTGCCAAATCAACTAGTTAACTAATTACAATATCAAAATCTGGCACTCTAACGAATTCAATCAAAAAGTCAAATGTGATCTGCGCTCATGTGTTCTCCATTAAAGCCGATCAATTTACGCACGCCCGTCTGGTTTTTCTTTTTGGACACACAAGGTCAGCCACTGGCTCGCTGGGGTCAAGCCCGTACGCATGGAAAATAAACTAATTTTTTCAAGATTCAAAAGCGCCTTGCCTAGTCGCAAAATGTTAATGCACTGGGACAGTCGTTTGTACGTGTTGATGATGTAATTTAAACGCAATTCTGTTACAATTTTTATTTAAATTTTGCATTGCTTGAGCGTTCAAAAAATATTGTCAGTTGATTGTGGACATCGCGCGTGTCGAGTTCCAGTTAAAACAGAATTTCGATTGACTTAGAGGGGGGAACATATCATTGCCAGAAAACCTGTTTAACCAACTGAGAATACCTGACAATGGGTCAGAAATGCTCTTGCCTAAAACTACGTAAAAATTCCAACGAACAGTCGAAATGCGAAACGGACGCAACGTTGCGTATGCGCAATATCAATGCAAATCTCTTGACAGCTCCGGGTGAGTGTTTGTTTATAAATATTTGCAATTATTATTGTGTTTTGCTTGGTATTTACGTGTGAGTGAGCGACAATTATTACCTAATGCCAATATTGCCTTTTTTGCATGACAATTTGCCGTGTGCTGTGGGCGTACGTGTAAAATTCCGAAACTGGCTGCCCACAGACTTTACTTTTATTCACATATATCTAGTTAAATAAGCTTGCCAATAAATTCAGCATGCTTCACAGTGTTATTAATCAGTTTTACTCGAATAGCTTGCAATTGAATATTAAATAAATAACAAGCACCTGGAAGCTGTTCGCTTAAACAGCATGCCCAAAAATTTCATTCGTATTTATTGACCTATAAATAGCATGAAATTGTTCAATTTGCAGATCTGCCAAACCTTATTGGATACAACAAAAACAAAAAACAACCATGATATTAATCATTTCATCTTTATAAGCAATTTTTTCTAGCTTACGAGCTGTACCTGAGAGCATAGGCATAGTTAGCTCAAATTTATACCCTTTCTGGGATTATTTATGGTTATATCTGCAATCCCATAACGTCTATATATTCATGAGTATCTACCCTGAATGTTCGCAATTAGAATTCTAGGGTATATATGTATATAAGTCTGCAAGGGTATTCAGCCTTCGGATCTTTTCTTTATATATCTTGTATACATGGTAATTCATATATAATCGGTTTAGCTGTGTTATTAAATTCTAGAGCCCAAAAAATGGGGCTTGGCTCTTGGCGAAATCAATAGTTTGCTCTTAATATTAGACATTTAAAATTGTTCCAAGTACTCTGTTAAAAACAGCTAGAAATTGTGCATAAATAAAACATGCAAATTAGCTGATGATGCCATGGGGTCCAGAGCTCTAGGCCTAGCTGCTCGCACATGAATCAATTAAATTGGTCTCATTCGCTGCGCTCATGTATCAAGATCCGACTCTGACTGCGCCCGATGACGTAGCCACAGCATCAACCAGATGGTGGTAGCTTCTATTACCAAAGCCAACGCCAACGGACAGCCAGAAATCGCTTCCCGTTCATAATTAATAATAACAGAGAGCGCACGAATCTCGGCTAACGGCTTAGTGCTGTTGTTTTGGCTTTAATAAAGCTAGCTTAAGCTTTTTGTAAAGTCTGGCTGCTGCGGACTAAATAAAAGTGATCGGAACTAGTCTTGAGCACTAATCATCTATCAAAAGTAAAATAAGTTATTAAATTTAATATTTACATCATTAATTCAGAATTAAATGGCTGATTATTAAGGTATATAAAGGCCACTTAGATTGGCAACCTTCGATATAGACAACATTACGTCAACACTTTAGAAGACAGCTCTCTTATAATTAATTAGCTGGCCGCTTAGCCGTTTCAGCTGTTTTTAGCTAGCTTCAGCCTTCCCTAGGCTGGCAACACTGCTAGCTAACAGCTAGCTTTAGAGCACTGCAAGAAGAAGAGCGCCAGAATGAGAGAGCGTTCGCTCTTCAACAGACAAGCGAAACTATCTCAATCCCCGATATTGATCAGTGCGGTTTGAGGCGTCGCGGCGTTCGGTTTTGATTTCAAAAAGTAGCGCTAGTTTCGAAGCAACAAAAGAATAGAAGAGAACGATTTTAAAGCGCAGTTTCCGTTACGTTTTGTGTGTGTCCGTGTGTGTGCGTGTGTGTGCGTGGTCTTACAGACACGATGAGCCATTGGTACCGCAACTATGCGCCCAGTTGGATACAGCGCTGGTGGCATCCATCGCCGCCAGCCAGGCCGGTGAATCCCTTTCGCAGCATACGACCCGGTCCCGATATTGCAAGTAATTAGCTGCACTCAAAAAAACCAAAGAGTTGACTTTTGTTTTAAAATTAAACAAATTCGGTCAAATTCAAATTTGAAAATGTTGTAAAGGTTGTTAAGACTTTGAGAAGAATTGTTGAAAATTTGAATGATTTCTGGATCATATGGATCATATGAAAATCATATGTATTAAAACCTGGAGTCGGTTTTTTATAATCAACATCAAAATCTTCGGTTTTCTACTGATTATTAAAAAGATTATTTTATTGATAGAGAATAATTTTTGCATGTCGATTTTAGTAAATTTTTTGTATTATCATAAAACATTTCTAAGGATCATATAAAAATCATATTTATAAAAACCGGGAAATCTTTTCTACAATCAAAATAAAAATCTTCTGTTTTCTAGTGATTATTGAAATAATTATTTTTCTCATGTAGATTGTAGTACATTTTTTTTATTATGACTAAAAAGGCTTTGTTTTTCTCAGTGTAAAGTGTATTCTGTATAAATCCTCAGGCATGGCATTTATTTTATTTTTTCGACTATGACTTCACGCGTTTTGTTATTTCACTTGTTTGTTTTTTTTTTTATTTCGTTTTTGTATCTGTTAGTTGTTTGACACGTTTTGGGATTCTTTGGCACTTCGCTTAAATTAAATATTTATATGCATATATATGGATTTTTACACACTTTTAGTTTCGTTAGCATTTATTTCCTGCTTAAATGATGATTAATAAATCATTTGGAATGATTTTAGGCTTTTAAAGCTTCTTATCTTATCGCTCTCTATTTTTACTTATATATATAAATTTAGCATCCTACGTTGAGACCCGAAACACTTTAAAGGTTAACATCAATTGAATTTGAAATGAATCTTAAATTCGAGTGCAGCCATGTGGAAATGGAATTTTAAATATATATATCTAATGGGCGGCATATCAAAAAAAGCGTTCCAAATGAAAGATTTTTCTACTCTACTTTTTATGGCTGATTATTTTGAGATTCGTTTTCAATATTCAATATTTTAATGGCATGCTAAAGTAACTCAAAAGAATATTTTCCATTTCAAAACATATTGCCTAGATATCTATACGAATCTATTAAAAAAATAGATTTATTTTAGTGGCCAAAAAAAAAACTTATTCTAGTCATAGGACAACAGCTGAACAGAAGCTAATATATGCTTAGTACAGTGGTCATTCGATAAGTAGAACACACTCTACTCTTATTATTATAAATAATTAAATAATTGCTTAGCTTAAAAGCAGAATGGAGACTTTTTGCCTGTAGATAAATTCTCGACAAAATTTGTAATAAGTAGAAAAACTTTTAAAAAGCTTTATTTTTATCTATGACAAATTAAGTCTAGATCTCAGTTCGACTTGACGTTTTTTATTTAGAATAAAAAGTTTTTTTTTTTTTGTGGAAATACAAACAAGTTTTGTTATTATTTTTCTATATTTTCTAAATTATGAAGACAAATTTTTAAATTAAAAAATAAAATATACTTTTTTGCAATAAATATATATACAAGTAGTTTTTACTGAGCCTTCACTGTACACGTATATATATATCTATTCCTAGTTAGCAGAATATGTACTATTTATAAATATACTCTTATTTTTGTTTTTATGTAGAGAACTTGATCAAAAGTTAATTTCTGGCAATTGAAATGTGTCCATCAGCAGGTGTTTATGTTTCTGCAGCTAATTCCCATAGAAGATGATGATGACACTTTTGGCCACTTTTAAGCATGGGCCATGCTTTTGATTGTTTCTTGTGGGCGTTGACAGCAAATCGCGTATACGCCCGATTGTCCACTCTATGGGAATTAATTGACTTGGCATTGAACTTTTTGGCCACAGCGCCGCAAACTTTGTGTGTTTATGGCCAAAGGCGATTATTTGACAAATTCGCTTCGGCTGCAACATGACAAGCGATCGGATTTGCCTCATGAGATCATCATCGGACTGTTACAGGCGAGCTAATCCGACTAGGGGATACCCTGAACCCTCTTGCTTTTGGCTTAGCAGAATTAAAAAAAATAATTATAAAATGAAAGCTACTTGATCTGTAAACAATACATTTTGATGATTTTGAGCTCTTCAAAACCGAAGAGATTTGCTCAAAAAACACGATTATCGATTTATCGATTACTTGGCAACGGCGCAAGTTATCGATCATCGGAAACAAAGTCATACTGCGCGAGCACTAGGAGCAGCTATGTTTAAAATTTCAAGTCTCTAGCTCTTATGGGTTCTAAGATCCTTGCGTTCATAAATATGGACGGACGGACAGACAGACGGACGGACATGGCTGGATCGACTTGGCTTGTGATGCTGATATACTTTATGGGGTCGGAAATGCTACCTGCTGCCTGTAACATACATTTGCACAAATACATTATACCCGTTTTACCCATTTTCAATGGGTTCAGGCTATCGTTTTTTATCGATTACTTGGCAACGGGGCAAGTTATCGATCATCGGAAAGAAACTCGTACGGCGCGAGCACTATGAGGACCTACATTCCAAATTTCAAGTCGCTAACTCTAATAGGCTCTGAGATCCTTGCGTTCATACACACGCACGGACGGACGGACAGTTCAGGGCAAAAAAAAAGGTCGATGGTTCAGTTCAGGGTTCGCACCGGGCCTGGGTTTTTTCCCATTTAAAATATGAACAAATTAAAATTTATGCTGAACCACAATCTTTTTAAAAATAAGTTAGACCCAACTTTTGGGTACTTGGTTAAGGATTAGTTAAAAGCAAGGCTTGAACCGCTGCGTTTTACCTGCTCCTCCTCCTTTCGTTACCTTGTCTAATGCCCATTTCTGTCTGAACCCACAGATGCCGGCAGCTCAGCGGTGCTGGGCGTGCAGCGTGTGGATCTCTGTTTGGCGGACAACCATGTCGAGCATCACACGAGTCACTTCTATGCGGCGGCCGCGAAGGAGGCGCTGATCGTGCGGCGCGGCGAACCGTTTCGGCTGCGGATCATCTTCGACCGGGATTATAGTCCCAGCAAGGATGCGATTAGCTTCATTTTCAGCGTGGCCGATGACAGCAAACCGAGTCCGGGCCACGGCACACTGACGGCTCTGGTGCCGCACGACGGCATCGATTATCTGGGCGATCCGCTGGAATGGGGCGCCGGCATTGAGTCGCACGAGGGTCAGATACTCACGGTGCTGGTGAAGCCGCCGGCCAGCTGCTCCGTAACCGAATGGCGTCTGGATATCGATACCAAGCTGCTGGGCGATGGCTCGCGCAGCTACCAGCTGCCCCTGCCCGTCTATGTGCTCTTCAATCCCTGGTGTCCCGACGATCAGGTCTACATGGCGGATCGGGAGCAGCGCAAGGAGTATGTCATGCACGATACGACCTTGATCTGGCGTGGCTCCTACAATCGCTTGCGTCCGTCCGTCTGGAAGATAGGCCAGTTCGAGCGCCATGTGCTGGAGTGCAGCCTCCGTGTCCTGGGCACCGTGGGACGCATTCCGCCTGCCTATCGGGGCGATCCGGTGCGCGTGGCTCGTGCGCTTTCCGCTCTGGTTAACTCCGTCGATGATGACGGCGTGCTGCTGGGCAACTGGACGGAGGATTTCTCGGGCGGCACAGCGCCCACCAAGTGGACGGGCTCCGCGGAGATATTGCAACAGTTCCACAAGACACAGAAATCCGTGAAGTTTGCTCAGTGCTGGAATTTCAGCGGCGTCTTGGCGACCATAGCCCGTGCTCTGGGCATTCCGGCCCGTGTCATCACTTGCTACTCCTCCGCCCACGATACGCAGGCCTCGCTCACGGTCGATGTGTTCATTGATGCCAACAACAAGAAACTGGAGGCGGAGACAACGGACTCCATTTGGAATTATCACGTGTGGAACGAGCTGTGGATGCAGCGGCCGGATCTGGGCATTGGCCAGTTCGGTGCCTACGATGGCTGGCAGGCGGTGGACGCCACACCCCAGGAGGCCTCGGACAATATGTACCGGGTGGGTCCCGCCTCCGTGCTGGCCGTCAAGCATGGCGAGATCCTGCGCCCCTTCGACTGCGGCTTCGTCTACTCCGAGGTGAATGCGGATAAGCTCTACTGGCGCTACAACGGACCCGCCCAGCCGCTCAAGCTGCTGCGCAAGGACACCCTGGCCATTGGCCATCTGATCAGCACCAAGGCCGTGCTGAAGTGGGAGCGCGAGGATATCACCGACAGCTACAAATACGCGGAACGCAGCGAGGAGGAGCGCAACTACATGCTCAAGGCGCTGAAGCAATCCAGCCACGCCTTCAGTCGATACTATCTCAACGACAACTTCAACGAGGTGGAGTTCAGCATGGAGCTCAAGGATGACATCAAGGTGGGCGAGAATTTCACGGTCGTCCTCAAGGTGAGCAACAAGAGCGCGGAGCGCACCCATCAGGCTGCCGGGCAGCTCAATTGCGATGCCGTGCTCTATACGGGCGTCGGTGCCCAGGAGGTGAAGATCATGGGCTTCGAGCTGGACCTGAAGCCGGAGAGCTCCGAATATGTGCGCATGGAGGTCACCTTTTTCGAGTACTTCGAGAAGCTCTCGTCGCAGGCTGCTTTTCAGATATCCGCCGCCTGCCATGTCAAGGATACCGACTACGATTACTATGCCCAGGACGATTTCCGTGTACGCAAGCCGGACATCAAGTTCCAGCTGGGTGAAGGTGGCGCCGGCGGCAGCATCGTGGCACAGCAGGAAACGGATGTGATTGTGCGTCTGCTAAATCCATTGCCCATACCCCTGCACAAGGGACTGTTCACCGTGGAAGGACCTGGCATAGAGCAGCCGCTCAAGTTTAAGGTACGTATTTATACCCTACTTTTCATAAGCTGGGATTTTTCGTAAGGAAATTTTTAAATATATACCCAAATTGTTTAACGGCTCTGGGAATTTTGGTACTTTTCGTAAGCTGGGATTTTTCGTAAGGCAATTTTTAAATATATACCCAAATTGTTTAACGGCTCTAAGAATTTTGGTACTTTTCGTAAGCAGGGATTTTTCGTAAGGAAATTCTAAATATATACCGAAGTTGTTTAACAGCTTTAGGAATTTTGGTATTTTTCGTATTAGAAAGATACACAGGTTGCACACACTGCAGTTCCGTTACGCGCTGCTGAGCACAAGCGTGTGACGTCACAAATGTGCTGCGTATGCTTTGCTTGCAATGTCTAGCTAATTATTGCGTATGAATGAATCATATTTATTTATTGTAGTGATTAATAACTTGTATGGTATTCGCAAAATGAAGCAACAGTTTAAAAAAGCCCTCTCTTACACATTTTAGTACTTTTCGTAAGCTGGGATATTTGTAAGGCAATTTTTAATGTATAACGAAATGGTTTAACGGCTCTAGGAATTTTGGTACTTTTCGTAAGCTGGGATTTTTTGTAAGGAAATTTTTAAATATATACCGCAATTACTTAACGGCTCTAGGAATTCAAATGAAACAAACATTGTCTGATTAAATCGCTTTAAATCGATGCATTTCTAATTGATTTATAGATTGCCGAAATACCTGTTGGCGGCACGGCTGCAGCGACCTTTAAATATGTGCCACCTTATGCCGGACGTGGTACAATGCTTGCCAAGTTCTCCGCCAAGGAGCTGGACGATGTGGATGGCTACAAGCACTACGAGATTGAGCCGCGACCCGGCGATGTGCTGCAGCCCAACGGGAGTCACCGGAGCAGCAATATAATACGCCGGCGCACGGATGTTATTCCCTGAACCAAGTGAACGATGTCCTTCTGCAAGTCGTTATTTTTTGTATTTGTAGGTTAGGTATTGCATTTAGGTTTATAGTTAATGATAATTATTGATTAAATAAGTTAAAAACATTTTAATTGGCGTCCACGTCGTAGTCCTTGGGCAACATATCGTCCATGCCGAGTGCGTAGCTGGGCTTCCTACCCGTCTTGACCAGGTAGATGCCACGTGCCTCGCGTGGCACCAAATCGCCCATCAGAATCTTGCCGCCGCTGCAGTTCCGGCCCCTCAGCTCATCCAACGAGCCGCAGGGCACGCCATAGAAGCCTTTCTCGCTGTTTATGGACTCCGCATAGTACTCATACGAGCGACCGTGACTGCAACCGGCTGCAAGAACAAGAGATTAGTTCCACGAACCACAAGAGACTTCTTCTCCTCCGCCGTGCTTACTGAAAACCTGGGAGAGCTCCTTGCAGCCGGGCTGCGGTGGTCCGCCGCCATTCGGATAGAAGTCCACCATGCCGATGGGCTTCCGGAAGCCCAGATAGCCCGCACAGCTGTGTATGACATCGACAAAATTGGCGTCCGTCTCGTCCAAATGATTCTCCGGCCCAATGCAATCCTCGAAGGCTGGCCGCGCCGGATCCAGGCCCGTTATGCGGCTCACCCGATACTTGGTATAGGAGCCGGCATAGCCCATAATATGCGCGCCCAGACTGTGTCCAATCAGATGAATACGCTGCGGATCCGCATCCTTCTCCTCCACCAGCAGATCGATCAGCTTGGCCACGGCGCGACCCACCTGCACGGTATACCGTGCCGGGGTCAGATAGTAAATATTATCGGCCTGATCCCGCCAATTGATCGCGAATACATTGACCAGACCGCGCTCTATATACGCGCCACGTATCGACTGTATGGAGTTGGACATGGTGCTCGATTTCCAGCCATGCACCAGGATCTTGGTGTCCAGCTTCGGGTCAAACTTCTCGGCCATTTCCTGCCACGTGTCGCGCTTGCGACGCGCACGCTGGAAATCGTTCTCATCTATCCAGAAATTGGAGCTGCGCACATCTTCGGGGGAGGAGCTGAGATCGGGGAGAGAGTTGCTCCTAATCTTCTACTCCCTAGTCTAACTTATCGAAACTCACCCGCCGGAAAACTCAAACTGTATTATCTGCGGCAGGCTGATGCGATCCTCTGGCGGCGGCTCCACAAGATACGCCACCTCGGGCTTGCCATCCCCGTTGGGCATATAGATCCAGGTCCTGTTGTAATCCTCCTGATTGAGTGCCACCTCGCCCCTTATGCCAACTGCAAGGGAATATCAAGCAGAAGAATGATCAATATGGAATTTACCCAATTCGATTCACGCAAATTACAAAGTAGGAGCACGGGCCGCACGACCTGAGCCAGTGCAGCGAATCCTGTGACCAGCCATTGGATGACCACAAATGTGGTGGACACCTCATTGCGACAGGGATTAATCACATTGCAAACGCAGGCCAGAGCATTCGAGGAGCGCATCTTGATCAGTTGCTGTCTGCGTCGCGACTAAACGACTCATCTTTATGGATTCTGAGTTCTTTATTGGCAGACAACAGAATCTCATCTGTAATCCTTTCCCCCTACAAACCAGTTTGCCTGCAGGGCAAAGCTGGGCGGGGCTGGGCAGTAATTAATTCCTCAGATGTCATCAGCCTCTCGAGCTCTTCAATTAATCAGGCTCTGGAAAGTCGGTCAGGTAGACACACTCACCTGGCCAAGCAACTGTTAAGCAGAGCCAACTCAGCGCCAGCTTTAACATTTTCTCCAGCCTTTATTTTGCTGTCGTGACTAAAACCTTTTCGCTTTACTTGGCGGGATTTTATAGCCCAGTAAAACTCAGTTAAACTGCGACGGGGCCAGTTGTCAATCAAGACTGGCTGCCCGAATAAAACCGAATCACCTGCAAAAGGCAGCTTATCAGGCGCCACAGGGGTTAATTGGGTCAGACTAAAATTTAAATTCAACGGTGCATGCAACGGGTGCATTTTATTTGGAGTACAGTTGGCCAAAAAAAAGCTACTTTTGGTATAACGAACTATTTTCAAATTCATTAAATCATTCATTTTTATTATTATTCTTTCTATTTGTCAGGCTTTCGAAGCCCATTAAGCTATGCTTATCTTAGCAAAAGTATGCTACGATTTTAAATAATAAAACAAGTTCCACAATTCTTATCGAAATAAAATCGATAGCATTTTCTTGCTCTTTCGTATGAAAAATATAATTGTATTGTTTAAAATTAACAATTATTGCCCTCTTTAAACCTTCTTTAATTATTTAAGAATTGCAATTTTGTCAATAATATAATATGAATATGATGATAATATGAACAGTTTCTGTTTAAAAATATTTCCCCGTTAATATTCAAATTTTAGCGAACAATAACTTCTTATCTCAGGGTTGCCTTTGACATATATCGATATTTGCCGTTATGGTATTTTGGTACTTTCCAGATACTGTCGCATTCTTTTTGTGCGTCATTTTTTAGAAACGCCGCGAAACTCACTAAATTACCAATTTCATTTTATTGTTTAAGATTAGAAGCATCGAATTAATTGAAATAGCGATTAAAATATGTCGGGCACAACTCAAAAATACAAAAACTTTGTGGCGGAGCCCATGGGCGAAAAGTCTGTAACAGAGCTGGCTGGCATTGGCGAAACGCTTGGTGGACGCCTGACCGAGGCGGGTTTCGATAAGGTAAATATGATGACGCCATGTGCTCAAAAAAAAAAAACAACGCAATTGTTTACATTCGTAAAAAATGAATTGTGTTGCTTTTAACTATGTTTCAGGCGTACACTGTACTCGGTCAGTATTTGGTCCTGAAAAAGGATGAAGAGCTTTTTAAGGATTGGATGAAGGACGTTTGCCATGCTAGCTCAAAGCAGGCCTCCGACTGCTACAATTGCTTAAACGATTGGTGCGAGGAGTTTTTGTAAAGGATGTGAAACTAGTGGAAATCTTCGGACAAGCAATTCTTTTTATTCATACAATAATAATCTCCACACATTGATATATGTTTTGTCAACTGTAATGTAAGCTATCATTAAAATGTAAATTAATGTTAATTGGAATTGAATGCCCTTCGCCATTATTGGGCTACTTTAGGGAATACAGCGCGCACATACGCAAAGGGCAATTAAAATTATAGAATTCTTTCGGGTATTTTACGTTAAATCCAACGTAGGCAATCGTAAATCATTTAATTTTTTAAAAATTGTATTTAAATCTTTAAAATAATATATTCGATAAGTTATTTGTTTGGCACAACAAAAAAATCTAGCAACCGATAACAATAATTATATTTGTGGTCCGATAAGTTTTGGTAGTTGCCGGACTTTGAAAAAAATAAAGGTGAATGGAATGAAAGCAGCTGCGTGAAAAATTAATAAACATTTCTTAAACATAACCAAACGGTGATTTAAAGTGCAAAATAAGCTAAGCGTAACTGGCGCTAGCTTAATTGGTAAAACGCAAAAATATGTCACATTTCTTTGAATTAACAAAGTGAAAATAGTACGGCTTTGGGGTGCGCTTGTGTTAGTGTGTTTTTCTTTGTATATAGATACGTCGACTGGGATAGCTATACAGTCATGCGGCTAATAAAACGTGTGTGAGCGAGTAAAGCATATACGTGCAGCAGCAACTCTGTTGTTTCAGAGTTCCAGGCCAAACATTCTGTGCGACAAACGGCTGAATCGACTTTTTGTGTGCAATGCACGACGTTTGCATTAATTATATTCGTAACAAATCGTAAATAGCGCAATTACCAACATAGAAAAATATTTAATGTGATCCTATGCCGCGTAATCAAACAAAAAAGTCGTTTGTCTGCATTTACACTTTGATGCTTCTTCGCGTCGCAGAAAAATTGCGTGTGTGTGTGTGTGTTTTTTTTGCGTAAACGTCTCTAACCAAAATCGTAGTCGAAAAAACGGTAGCAACAACGTTTCCTTGGAAAAATTTGTAAATAGTCAACAAAATTTTCAAGTAAATGTGAGTAAAATTAATAGATTTGTGAAAAGTTGTATGTGCTGGAAACGTAGCTTCAATATGTGTGCCTAAATAGTAGTAAACGTCGTTGTCGTTGTCATTCAAATCAGTGCGATTGGGTGAGTGCGCCTGTATGTGTGTGCGTGTGTTGTGTTGTGTGTGTTTGTGACGTTGTTGTATCGTAAAAAGAGTGAGAGAACGCGCGCGCGGAGCGGGGGCGTATACGGTTCCGGTGAAGTGCGAACAAGAGAGAGAGAAAGAGCCAAAGCGAACCGGGAGACAGGCGGGCAGTTATTTAAGCCCGTATCCTTTTCCTTGTTTGCTGCTCGTCGAAAATTCAATGACCTCATTTGTCTTACGTCTGGCCAATTCTGTTCTGTCTTTTCCAAACAGGACCAATAAAAGCAACCAGCTAGAAAATAACACTCGAGGGCAAGCTTTAAGAACCAGACCAATTAACGTGTCCTACGCCATCGAGTGAAATTTTTGTCAACCCAAAAGCAATAAAAAGAGGATCAAAAAACAAATACAAAAAAAAAAAATAAATAAAAAAAACAAACAACAAACTGCAGTGACTGCAACAACGGAACCAGAGGCAGAGATACAACAACAACAGTTACAACGGCGACGACAGCATCTGGCTACGCCAAGCGACACAAACAGCAACCAGAAAAGCCAGCGTCAAGCCACAACAACAACAAACACAAATGGGAACCAATTCGGGAGCCACCGCTGGCATCAATAACAAGCCGGTCGGTGGTGCAGCCGTTCTGGGCGTTGGTGTTGCCAATTCAGCTATCGGCGGCGGTGTGCTATCCAACAGTTTGGGCAGCGGCGGCGGCGGTGGCCTCAGTATCAGCGGCCTGGGCGGACAGAATGCCAATGTGGGTGGCATAGTCACTGGAATGGGCGGCGTTGGTGGCAATAACGGCAGCGACGATGGCATGGGTGGACCCGGCGGTGGACCCAATAATCAGCAGGCCACCACGCCCCAATACACAATTCCGGGCATATTGCATTTCATACAGCACGAATGGTCGCGCTTCGAACTGGAGCGCTCACAATGGGATGTCGACAGGGCCGAGCTGCAGGTGAGTCCTCCTTAAAGCTCACTTTCCATTTCAATGAGTTTCTTTTTCTGCATTTGTACCGCGGAAATGAGTTTAGCTGGCAGCGCATAACAATTTCTAGTACCTAATTTGTTTTGTAACTTTATGGTCTGTTTGCTTCAGCTGCAACGGCTATCGAAATATTTATTTTACCAAGCATAAAAGTACCAAGTTTCGTAATTTATAAAATCAATCCATCTATCGCATTAGCAAGAACTTTAACGACATAGAAGGGAAATATTCTAGGCATTTCTGTTTATATTCCTGATTTCTATGTGAAGGGAAATTTTCTGGGCATTTCTGTTGTTGTTTACATTCCTCAATTCTATGTGTGCGTGCTGATCACCTTATCGATGCTTTTGTATCACGGCATGGGTCAAGCGGTTGCTTAATTCCTCCCTCCCTATCCCCCTATGCATCTCTTTCACCAAAAAAAAAATGCAATCGCAGCTTTAAACGTGCTATCGTTATCGATACTACGCAGCATCGATGCACTCAGTGTACATTCCGTTACGCTCTGATAAACAAGTGACATTCAAAACGTCACTGCACTCGAAACAAGTTGGCGACGGTGACGCTGCACTTTACCTACACACCGTACAAATTTGTCGCAAACATTTATGAACCTGTTCGCCTTGTTTGTGTTTTGCCAAAAACAAAAAAATGAGAAAAAGAATATGAAAATTGAGCGGAGAGTGGGTAGCGACTAGACGACGGCCCCCATACCATACCCAGCAGCAGCAGCAGCAGCCACTACATTGGAAGCCATTTTAGCGCTTTTGCATACACACACACAAACTCAGTATATGGACATGCCATGCCTATGTACGCATGTGTGTGTGTTATATGTCGTGCGCCGGGCTCCACACGCTGCGTGCGTCTATTTCTGACTTGCGGCTGTTTGTGTGTCAGTGTCAGTGCTGCACATGCAACGTCCTTGTGTTTGTGCCGGGCCCGGTTCATTGTACAATCTGTTAACTCCCCGCCCGCTCCCTCTGTCGGTGCTTTTTGAATCGATGGCAAAAGCCGTCAGGCCAGCTGTTAATTAGTCTTATTTGTTTTGCATTTGACGATTGATCGCTTCGATGTGAGAAGAAAATAAAAATGTCGGCTCGGTTTGCATTTGTCATTTCCTATTTTATTTTACGTTTTAATTTCTTTTCTCATTTCTTAGAGATGGGTGCGAGTCGTAGTTAACAAGCACGAACATTATGATCATCATGACTTTGACAATATATATGTATATGTATATATAAGCTCGTACATGTTTTGTCTAGAACTACGGTAAAATCTTGCTCGATTTTCAATTATAGTACGTTTTCGTGTCACGAAAGCAAACACAACACGGCCTAACTCTACCTTCCGCATTAGTTTTCAATGCCAAAAACAAATTCAATTATTCATATATTTTGAACCAACAAATGACTGTTGTTCTGCCGTTTGTATATTTTTATAAAGAAAGCAAAGAAAATAAATGAATATGCGCCACCTGCCGCCCACATTTTCTGCTTAGTAGACGTCATCGCTGCCGTTGCATGTCACTGGGTAGTTTAAAATGTGTTTAGCATAAACACACGAACCCATTGCGATTCCCTGCTCTTGTTGCAGTTGCCTGACTATCGTGGCCATACCATGGAAGTGTGCCCTTTGTCGCTTTTTGCAGTTGCCACCTTTTTCATTCAGCAGCCACTTCAGTACTGGCACGCGAACAGCATTCTAACATATTACTGGTAAATGCGTGCTTTAATTAGCAACTGTGCCGAATACGAAGCCATTGAATTTTAATTCAAATGCAGAACATGTTTCCATTAACAGCAACAACAATACCAATAGCACCAGCAGCCGCAACAGCAACTGAAGAATAATGAAACAAATTGTGTATAAAATCAAATAGCGGCACAGTTACGCGCTGTGCTCTCTCTCCCTCTCTGATGATTACTCCCAGTCGGCTGCTCTCTTTGCTTCTCTCATGCGCTGCTGTTTCTGTTATTAAAATGTAGAAATTGTTATTGTTGTTGCTTTGGGTGCGCAGGCCAATTGTGCGTACGTGTGTGTGTGTGTGTGTGCTTATGTGTATACACTATCCAGTTCTGTGATAGAACATTGAATGAGTTTCCCGAAGAGGAAACAAGCAAAAGTTTTTGTATGCGGTATCGTTACGCACCTGTCCTCTTTTTCTTTTTGTCCCGTTCCTGTTACTGTTGGTTAGTGCGGGGGCGTTTTTGCAACAATATTTTGCTTTCCCCCCTCTCACTAACGCAATGTGTTGCGCAGAAATATGCTACATAACCTTACATTTGTTACGCCGGATAGCGGTAAATGGTACTGATTTCGCTCTGGCTCTCATTTTCTATCCTTTTCACTCTTGAGCAACAATTAGTGGAGCAAGTCTGTAATTTTATATTACAATTAATTGAATTTAATTGTTTTTTTTTTTGTTTTTCGTTTGCTGTGGCGCAGCGGACCGTCAATTATGAGGCCGCCGCAGCGTCGCGCCAAACGCAATTGGAATGCAACGAGACGCACACATTTATCATTTATACACACACACATATGTTATATGCGTACATACGCGGAGAGCACAATGAAAGCTTTTAAGTGTTACATTAATGAAAATTAATTATACCCTGTAGCCAATGCAACATATGGATATACATGCATGCTTAATAGTTATGTATCTATATACATTGATGAGCTAAAATCCATTGAGATAGTTTTCCTCACCGAGGAACTCGATATGGATATGCTCTCGATATTTAGGCTTAAATCTCAACCTATCGAGTACTTTATTATGATTGTCCCGTTGCAAACGCACCAAAAAGATGGATTCGCTTTTAGCTTTGAAAAAGGAGCAAGTTAGCGATAATTATCATAAACAAAGTCATAAATTACATTCTTGATCGATAGTTATCGATATACATGTTAAAAATGAATTTGATTCCAAGCTTTAGCTAACGTTATAAAGGCGAGCTTTGAATAGTTATTAAAATATTCGACATGTTATCGATAGTTATCGATTTTTAAAAAATATTATCTGAACTAATCTATTTTTTAATATATATTTTTAGGCGCGTATCGCGATGCTGCTGGGCGAACGCAAATGCTTGGAGAGCCTCAAATCTGACCTGACGCGACGCATAAAGATGCTGGAGTATGCGCTGCGTCAGGAGCGAGCGAAATTTTATCGATTAAAATACGGAACCGATCCGCCGCAACTGAACGAATTCAAGCCCTCGTCAAATGATGATGGTGGCCTCGGTGGCGATGTGGCAACCGATTCGGAAGTGCCCTACAGCTCTGTATCGAACACCACGTGGCGGCAGGGCAGGCAAATGCTGCGCCAATATCTGGCCGAAATTGGCTACACAGACAACATAATCGATGTGCGCTCGAATCGTGTGCGCTCCATACTTGGCCTCAACAATAATGCGGATCATGATGGCGGCGGCGGCGGTGGAATCGGTGGCGTTGGCAGCGGCGGCATTGGCGGCGAGAATCTCAGTCCGAATATTAATGGAAATGAGAGCAATAAACGTGCCTCAGAGTCGGAAGGTAGGTCATTGTACACCCTCTTCCCCCCCTGTTGAAGATTTGAATAATTTGCTCACATTAGGCCGTCATACTCCCGCTAAAAAAGTGCAACAATCGAACGATGCCATCATACTGGACACGGAGGCGGCGGTCATGGCCAACTTTGAGTTCCTGGGACCGACAGAGATGTCCGACGATGATGAGATATCCGATGATCTGGAAATGGTCGCTACCGACAATGAAGATACCGATGTCAAAATGGCCAAACGGCCCAAATCCGGCAAGGATATGCTTACCGAAGGTATGTTCCATCGATTCTACATACTCGTAGCACATCCATGCTGCATCCACTCCCGTACACCAACTTAACTTAGCCCTCCCGCCGCCTGTCGCCTCACCTTATGTAGTGTGCATTTAAATTGTTACTTTGCAAAGTTCCGTTCCATTCAAAACAACCAAAAATCCACCAAAATTAAAAAAAAGAACCTCCCTCAAACCAAGAAGAAACGCTGTATTTGTCTTATGCTTTCCGCTTTCTGTTTCTTTCGCTTCTCTCTAATTGTCGATGCGATCATCTTTGCATAGATCTTGAGGCCGAGGTGGGAGAGCAGCTCTTAAACGATATGAATCTTATGACCGAAGGTGCTTTTTACTCATCAGCTTAACATACAACTTAACAAATTAAAGAACTGCAAAGCTATCGATGGAAATCGATAAAAATTTACAAATAAAATTATATCTTCAAATTGACTTAATTTATAAAAATTATATGGGCAATTCCTGTGTTAATTTTTATATCCTAACTAAATAAATGTGAATCCGTTATCGGTCTTTTTGAAGCTCATAAAAAGCTGAAGTTCAAAATTATATTAACCAAATCTCGCCTAAATTATCATAATATATTTCGTATAACGTGCGTCACGTAACGTTTTTATTATTAAAAAAAATAAAATAAATATAATGCAACAAAATAATTATTCATTAAACCGGAAGTCGAAAATAACTTTGATAATCCGTCATGTAACGTGTTACTATTTGATTAGTCATTTATTTGTTAATATATATTTGCAAATATCACGTAATAGACCTAGGAATTGCCCATATATCAAAAAAGTACAATTATCGATAGACATACGCATATCGATAGTTATTTGAAAAGGTAACTTATCGATACTGTCGCTGTTTCCGTTGATGGCTTTGCCTGCTTTTATCGTAGTCCTTTGTTTGCCTTGCCCAGTAACATTTTCTTTTGTTATTTTCTTTTCGCAGAGGTGGACGGTTCACTGGGACTGGGTGAGCTGGCGCAACTGACGGTCAACAATGAGTCGGACGGTGCATACGATGCGAATGCCAAGGACGGCACCGGCGGCAGTGCTGGCGGAGCTGGCTATCGCAAGACCTGGAATGCCAAGTACACGCTGCGCTCCCATTTCGATGGTGTGCGCTCGCTAATTTTCCATCCGGAGGAGCCGGTGTTAATCACCGCCTCCGAGGATAATACGCTCAAGCTGTGGAATCTACAGAAAACGGTGCAAGCCAAAAAGTCCGCTAGTCTTGATGTGGAACCGCTGTACACGTTCCGCGCCCATACCGGACCCGTGCTGTGCCTGGGCATGTCCTCCAGCGGCGAGACATGCTATTCCGGTGGCCTGGATGGCAACATCGAATGCTGGCAGCTGCCATCGCCCAATATCGATCCATACGATTGTTACGATCCGAATGTGCATTCTGGGACACTGGAGGGGCACACGGACGCCGTTTGGGGTCTGACCACCATGCAAAACAATATTGTGTCATGCTCGGCGGATGGTACCGTTAAGCTGTGGTCACCATACACCAAGGAGCCGCTGCTGCGCACCTATACGGCCGCGGAGGCCGAGGGCGGGCCCTCATCCGTGGACTTTGTGCGCAACGAGGTGGATCACATTGTGGTGGCCTATAATAGTGCACACTGCATCATCTATGATACGGAGACGGGCAAGCAGGTGATCAAACTGGAGGCATCACAAGAGATGTCCGGCAATACGGGGAAGTTCATCAATAAGGTCGTCTCACATCCGACACTGCCCATCACCATAACGGCGCACGAGGATCGCCATATACGCTTCTGGGATAACACATCCGGAACTCTGGTGCATTCGATGGTCGCGCATTTGGAGCCAGTCACATCGTTAGCGGTCGATGCGCATGGACTGTATTTGCTGTCCGGCTCGCATGACTGCTCCATACGCCTATGGAATCTGGACAATAAGACGTGCGTACAGGAGATAACGGCACACCGTAAGAAGTTCGATGAGAGCATATTCGATGTGGCGTTCCATGCAACCAAGCCCTATATAGCCAGTGCCGGTGCCGATGGATTGGCCAAGGTCTTTGTTTAAGATTAGGACTACCCAACCCCAATCCTCCCCCTAAATCCCCTCACACACACACACACGCATACACACACACACAGCCAATGCTGCAGCAGCTCTCAGCTAAGCGATTACGAGTTCGAGTTAAATAATTATACATATAAATACACTTATATATATACATTATACTATACATTTAAATCTAATTATACAATTATATACAAGAGATGAACAACAACCGCAAATTATGCAACACAACACATTGCTATATACATACATAAAAAAAAAAACTAAAAAAAACAAGAATAAGGGCAAAATCAACCTAAAAAATATATAATAAAATTTACATTATTATGGCATTTCCGAGCGTAAGAGCGAGCACATTTGTAATCTAAAAGATCACACGAATACGAATACAAAACCATGCCGCATATTAATCACACACACACACACACTCACAAATGTATCTATTTGTTAACAACAAATGTAAAGTTCTTGATTTTGTAGCATGTTTTAAGCCGCAAGCTCAACAATTTTATATAGTTTCTTTTCTTTTTAATGTAGACAATTGCCAATCGATGACAATTTAGTTTTTAGCTTTTAGTTTTTTGCCTAAACTGCGCAGCGATTGTGTCAATAGTTGCTCCAGTGGATGTTTTACTGTACATTTTATATAGAGAAACTTGCGCCTAACTGGCTAACTTTAACGATGTAATCGATGATTGATGATTGATGCATGATGTACGTACCTTTTTTATTGGCCACTCGCTGTGCAAGTTTTGCCATTTCAAATTTACTCATCTAACAAAACGTTCACGTAATGATATATAGACGATCAAATTTGTAGTCCATAAGTGGCATATATATATAAATATATTGATATATATATATATATATGCAAAACTCGTAACCCCCCTCCCCCGATAACACAAAGAGCGTGCAAGTTGTAAATTAAGATTAGTAAACGACGACGATAATGCTGATTGATGATCGATGTAGATCATGATGTTTATTTATTGAGAGTAGAAAGCGAGTGTGTGGCGCATGCGCATGATTAGTTGAAAGTAAACACAAACAATCGCCAGATAACTTTATTAAACACTAAGTGAAAAGTAAATGCTTCTATTTCTATAATTTTTCATACAACAAAACAAACAAAAACAAAACAAATGCAAAGAGTACGCAATGCTTGGGCCAGAGATCCACATATACAGATCCAGATTATTATATAAATAATAAATGCCGTTGAGCTATATGGTAACTGTATGCTAAGCTATTTATTTAATTTATGCCTAGTATTAAAAGAAAAAAAGAAGAGGGAAGAAAAGAAAACGGCGTCAATCGCTGATCCAATGGATTTCGTACACTTGTAGTTGAATATGTTTAGGATCGCTTAACGATTCGTAAATTGTAATCAAATAAACGTTAAAATGTGGACATGAATGCCGAGCAACTCAATATTAGTACTAGTATTAACAATTATTATAAAAGCGTTTCGTCAAAAACAAACAAAACGTAACGAAACGTGGCTAAAATAAAAATTAAACCCAAGTTGATATTCGATAAAAATTTAATATAAAACCCAAAAAAAAAGAAAAGGAAAAACATCAAGCGATGATTCATATATATATATACAAAAAGAAAATCCTCTACTATATATATATATATATATACATAAATTATGTGTATTTTAATTTGTACTTTAGTTGTTACAAATGAAAAATGCGATATCATATATAAATATACACCCACACACACATGTAGATCTATATGAAAATGGCGATTATGATATACTACTACTAATATGATGGTAATTATACGAACACACACACACACACACAGACACAGTTAGCAGAGTGATGCGCATATACATACAGAACATTAATACATTAAATCTATTGATTTTTAATTTTAACTGTACATTTTTGATTTTTTTATTACCATGTATTTTTATTTTAAATAAAGTTTACAAAATGAAGCCGTATCGTCACATTTGGCCTTGAGATTTTTAACACCAAGAGACTCCAATTCATTTCTCAATACAATATAATAAATACGAAATACGATAAAACACAATTTTCTAAAACGTTGTGAACCAGCGGGTTCTCGTTTACAACGATGCAGTTCATCCGTATGGAATCAGAACGAAAAAACAGAAAAAAACAACAAAAACCAATCCAATTTAAACAAAAAAAAATACCTTTGTTGCCTTTTCATTTGAAGAAAAATTTCGCTGCTGGCAGCATTTTCATTTAATTATTGATGAAGGGTCAAACGGGAAAACTCGCACAAAATGGTTTTTATTTTTGTACCGTTTACAAATCCACTGCCATATTTTTCAACAACAGCAACACGCATGCGTTACGTTCTAAAAGGAAACATCTTACAAAAAGATAAAAAACAAAAAAAAAACCGATTGTAAAACACGTATATACTTATTATTTTTACGCAATGGAATGCCACAAAATATAATATATATAGAAGCGCAAAACATTCAAAGTGTTATTCGATAAATGACAGCTGAATGCGCGTGCAAATATTGAAAAGCAAATTAAACATTAAGTCGTACAACGTTCATTGTAGATTTGAGCATATAGAGGAATGAACCCAATTCCCTGCACATAAGTTTATACGTATAGAAATTGAAAACAAAACTCATGCATATTAACGAAAATAAACACAAAAAACAAACTATATATATAAATACTTTTATAATAAATCGAAGAGAAAAACCATACATAATACTTAAACAACAGAACATAATGAAATCCACACAATTCATGTTAAGATATAATAAAAACGAATAAATAAAATATTTAATAACAATATAAGAAATACGTTACAATTAAGTAGCTTTTTACAACACTGTTTCTACACTTAAAGCACTGCAAATAATGTGGTGGCTTTTCGATATGTTGGCTACCGTTATCGAAAGCTCATATTAATAAGTTAGTTATCGACGTAAATACTAAGAATAATAATAATGGAAGCAAGCGCAACGTTTACGGGCGATGTGGATAAAACACAGATACCGCCGTTGAACCAAAAGCGCATTCTTGCCTTTGTTAATCACTTTTTAATTAGCACCTGCACATTTCTCAATGAATTCGCCTTGAATTGCGAGACTAAATTCGTGCGAATGGAACGACAGCTGCAAAGAACTGAAGCAGCTTTAATAATTCTAGAGGCTAAATTAGCTTCAATACCGGTAGATAATGAAGCAGATAATTCCAGCACGCCTCAAGTAAACATTGAAGCGACAATCTCTGACGAAATCGATAAGCCAGCGGCGGAAGAGCCCACCGAAGTTGAAGTAAAAGGCGTGAAGGTCTGCGAAGACATCCATTATAAGAAATTCTTTAAAATGCTGCACGTGGGCGTGCCAGCGCCTGCTGTTAAAATAAAAATGCAAACCGAGGGTCTGGACCCACATTTGCTGGAGTAAGTAGCATCATATGACGCACGTCTCTAGATAACTAACAATGAATTTGCAGCAAACCCGACTTTATGCTGGAGGATGGCGTGCTGGAATAACGTCTGCACCTTTAGAGAGCACATATTGTGATATAGCATACGGAATGCTACACTTTTAAATGAAAACATTTGCTTAAATTTACTTCTACAATTTGTTTTATTTTCCCACTTGTTGCACAGCCAGTTGAAACGCTTACAAAGCGCTCGGCCGGGCAAGGCAAAAGCAGTCGATCAAACAACTTAAAAACACTTCATTATCAAAAGGTAGCGGGCGATTATTAGTGAATCCATGACGAAGCTGGACACGCTTAGAACTGAATCATCTGTCCCTTGCGCTTCTTGTCACCACCCAGCTCGAAGTGCTTGCAACGCTTCAGGGGTGTCTGCTTGCGGTATTTGCATTCAGTGCACTCCATACGCAGCACAATTTTCTTGGTGGTCTTAGCCTGGTAACGAAAAAAACGGGCCACATATTAGTACAAGTTAAATTATTATCCTAATGTGTCTACAAAACGTATTTAATATTTGTTTGATGGTGCCAGAGCTTTATGCGCCCAGACGGGGGATGCATAGCTTAGATTTAGTCCGCCCTTAGGCAGCATCAAAAATTTACTTTTGCACTTATGTCCCAACGAAAAGCTGAGTGCTTTATGAGCGCAGCAATTCAGTTCTACTGGAAGTGCCATATTGTTTATCTTAAATATTGTATGTTGGTGCCGGCTCAGCATTATGCGCCTATAAAAAGGCTACATAGCTGTAATTAGATAGATGTGATACAGCAACAACAATTTACTTTTGCACTTATGTCCCAACGAAAAGCTTAGTGCTTTATGAGCGCAGCAATTCAGTTCTACTGGACGTGCCATATTGTTTATCTTAAATATTGTATGTTGGTGCCGGCTCAGCATTATGCGCCTATAGAAAGGCTACATAGCTGTAATTAGATAGATGTGATGCAGCAACAACAATTTACTTTTGCACTTATGTCCCAACGAAAAGCTTAGTGCTTTATGAGCGCAGCAATTCAGTTCTACTGGACGTGCCATATTGTTTATCTTAATTATTGTATGTTGGTGCCGGCTCAGCATTATGCGCCTATAGAAAGGCTACATAGCTGTAATAAGATAGATGTGATGCAGCAACAACAATTTACTTTTGCACTTATGTCCCAACGAAAAGCTTAGTGCTTTATGAGCGCAGCAATTCAGTTCTACTGGACGTGCCAAAAATTTGTTTAAAGCCATCTTTGCGAGCTTACCTTCTTCCTGAAGATGGGCTTGGTCTGGCCACCGAAACCTTGCTGTTTTCTGTCGTAACGTCTTCTGCCCTGAGCACCCTTGCGCTCCTTGGACTTCTTGTACTGCGTTACCTTGTGCAGCTTGTGCACCTTGCACTTTTTGCAGAAAGTGCGACGTTGTTTCGGTACATTCACCTATAATATTACAAGAAATATATTGATTATTATTTGCTCATTACAGCCTTTTACACAATTTGCCGCCATCACAGACTGGAGACGCAAACACAAAAGTTTGAAACGCAAGCAGAACGCATTTAAAGTACGCACATTCGGTTAATATTGCCACCAAATCACAGAAAACATTGTGTTGTGCAATATTTAATCATTTGTTTTACATTTTGAAAGCTGTAAACGCGGATGCTTGTTGATTTTCGTTAAGGCCACTCAGAACACCTACCATCTTGAATAGGAAAGAAAACCCAAAAAGACGGAATTAGAGATGTGCAATAGTTATGTGTCGCTGTAGATGGCAAAATTCAGTGTTGCCACACTTTGACACTCACCACGATTTCTGACAGTCACTCTGGGAAAAAGTGGTGATAAATTTTGCCCATCACTAATTGGTAAAATTAAACAAAAAAAAAAAGAAGCAGTTCTGCACATCAAAAAAATAGCTGAGAAAATAATAACTTTTTCAGCGGTAGACGAGTTTCCTGGTGGACAACGGCCTTGTGCCAGAGTTGTGTGCAATGTAAGAAGAGTGGAAAACATGCAGCACCACAATTGCAACCGGATAAACACAATACAAACGGATGTGCCCGACATTGTGTTAACACAATTAGCATAAAAATGAGATTGGGCTGCGAATGCGAGAGTGTAATTAAAATGCAAAGAATGTACGCACTGCTGCCAACCTTGACATTTTGGTTAATCTGCTTTCAATTGCCACTACAATCGGAACAGCTGCACATAACAGCTCCATGCGATCGCAGTCGCAAGGTGTTCACCGAGCCCTTCGGTGAAATAAGCGACGGGCCCTCTGGCTACAATTACACCCAGGACTCGCACTGTGAATGGCTGATAAAAGCGAAAAATGACAGTCAATTTATAACACTAACATTCCATAGTATGGGCACCGAGTGCTCCTATGATTATATCTATGTATACGATGGCGATTCCTTTAACTCGACCCTGTTAGGTAGCTTCAGTGGACGCACCCAACCGCAGAAACTGGTTGCACGCAGCGGTAGTGTAAGTAGCATGGAATTCCCCTCCTTGTTGTTCAATACTAATTCGATTATTTCCTTAACAGATGCTCATACTCATGTACAGTGATACGAACTATGTGCTCGATGGCTTTCGTGCTTCCTACTACATATCAAATTGCCTGAACAATTGCCACAATCATGGCAAGTGTGTGGGCCATCAGTGCGTGTGTCATGGCGAATGGGTGGGGCCCGACTGTGAGGATGAGGCGTGCCCCCAGAAATGCGGCGAGCATCAGGGCCGGGGCAAGTGCCAGAAGAGCATCTGTCATTGCTCCAACGGCTACAGCGGACGCCTATGCGATTTGAGCGATAATCCACCGGGCAGCAGCTGGCGTTGGCTGGCCACCGATGCCGAGGGCATGACGCCCCGGGCCGCACACACGGCCGTCTACATGGAGGACGAGGATGCGCTCTATGTCTTTGGTGGCTATGATCTGAACAATGTCATTAGCACGTTGCAGGTAAGTCAGATAACATAAGCTTTATGGAGCAAGAATTTAGTGCGAATATCTAATCGAACTGCATTTATTGCTTGCAGATATATCGCTTCAGTAGCAGTCAATGGGAGGATGAGTGGGGCCTAGCGCTGCAGAGTCGCCGTCATTTTTATCATCCGCACAAGATTGATCATACGCTGCTGAAGGCGGTGCTGGAGCACAAGAACGAGGACGAGGCCAAGCTGTGGGGCCTGACCAGCGATGTGAGCTTCTTTCGCAACATACTCTACACGCTGGCCGAGTCGAATTTGCATCAGCGACGGACGCGCTCCTCGCTGCCTCTGACCACGGTAAATGCCAACTCAACAGATGAGGAGCTTACGGAGTATCTGGTGGATATATTCGAGGAGGTGACGGATCAACAGCCGCACGGACGTTACGGGCATGCTGCAGATCGTGTGCCTGGCGGCTTTGTCATCTATGGCGGCAAGCATGCCAATGGCAGCTTCTACAATGATCTCTGGCAATATAATAATACGGAAAGCGGCGCAAAATGGAAGCAAATGGCTGTCAATTCAGAGCTGCAGCCGCCGGCGCTGGCACGGCACACCCTCACCACGGCTGCCGATTACCTGTACTTGTTTGGCGGGAGCGTGGAGTCGGGTGAATTTTCCTCCAGCATTTATCGCATACGACTTCCGCTCAGCGAGGACTCTCAGTGGCAGCTGGTGCAGCCGCGTGGCGGCAAGACCTTGGATGTGCGCCTCGCCGCACACTCCACGGTTTACTATGGTGCCACCAATTCGCTGATTGTTTTCGGCGGCATTATGACCAGTTTGGCACGCTTCTCGAAGCTATCGGATCGCATTTATGCCTTTCAGCTGGACCAGCAGCATTGGACCGAAATACTGTATCCGCGCACGGCCCTGCGCGACACGAACATTCCGCGGGAGCGCGCCTTTCATACGGCAACCATATCGGGCAATTATATGATCGTATTTGGCGGCTATACGCATCGCCATAACAAGGACGAGATCTGCTATGATAATCAAATGTATTGGTATCATCTGAGCTGTCACATCTGGATCAACCAGGTGGTCTCCGCCGACGACAGTCTGTATCCGAAGCATCAGGGCGTGTTCGCCCACGCGGCTGCACTGCGTCGCAATCACACGCTTCTAATTGTGGGCGGCTATCATGGGAATGTGAACGCGGATCTGTTTGCCTATGAGCTGCCGCAGGTGCTGCGCGTCGAGAATCCCCTCTACAATCACAATCCGGAAATGGCCTGTCGTTTGCACGCCTCACACACAGCTTGTCTCTCGAATCCGGAATGCGGCTGGTGCTCGGCGGACAGCAGCTGCTACGGCCGCACAATTGGCGCCAATTGCACCACCAATCTGCAGACCACCCGCTGTCCTGGCATCTGTCCCTCGCTGGGCGATTGCCATGCCTGTCTGGTGCATGGCACCCAGTGGGGCGGCGGCAATGGCGCTGCCTTCTCCGTGGCCAGCAAGCTGGGCCTCAACGAGTGCACGTGGTGTGTGCAGAATGCGCGCTGTCATCATCGCGACGATAACTATGGGATCTGCGGCGACAGCTCCGGCTGGTGGGGCGAGCAGGGCACCGAAATACGCCAGCCAGATATGTGCACGCGAAACGATCGTCGTCCCGGCTTGACCTACATCAAATACAATTATCCTGTTAACTTTACCATGCCCGATTATGTGGGCATTGTGAATGCCACCATGGTGGACTTTGCCTCGCCGCCGCCCACAGCCTACTTTGAGCAGCGGCAAGAGGGTGAAATGCTGGCTCGCCTGCTCGGCTTTGTGCGTCCGCTGCAGCAATGGAACAACAACAACTCGGCCATACAGGTCTGCAGCAGCTACTCTTCGGCGGTGCTGCGCGTCGGCCTCGGCATGAATCTGGATATGCTTGACAATGTCTCCAGCCAAAGCTCAAATCAATCCTATTGCAGCAATGTCCAGCTGCCCAGCACGGAACAGCCGTTCCTCATCGATTTCCAGGTGAGAAGTGAAGACCAATTAAGGCAAATTAAAGAAAGCAGCAAATATAATTTATTTATACAAATTTTGGTATCAAATCCTAAGCTAATCCCTGCCTTTTTCTATCCTATTTAAGGCCCGTCGTCGCATTGGTCAGAACAACATTTATAACACGTATCAGAAGACCAAAATGGAGCTGCAGCATTTGTATAACGGTCAGCTGAATGCGTTTACGTTCGAGTACCTGGAGCCGTATTATTCGGGCGATTGTACACATTATAGCAACTGTCTGCACTGCCTGACAGATGCCTCCTGTTCCTGGTGTCCACTGACCAGCAAATGTCATCTGAAGTCCGTTAACGAGAGCGCCGTTTGTGTGGCCCACGATCCGGAGCACGGCAGCCACTGGGCCTATCTGATCAGCCAGCCAACGCAGTGTGCCAACTGTTCCAACTATGTGACATGTCGCGCCTGCGTCTCCACGCCAGGCAACGGCGAGTGCGAGTGGTGGCTGGACGATGCGCGCTGCGGACGCATTGGCAAATCCAACAGCAGTGTGCGCGCCCTTGCCCAGTGTCCGCGACCGTGTCGCGAGCGTCGGGGCTGCGATCAGTGTCTGGGCGAGCGCGGGCGCTGTGTCTGGTGCGAGGCGAGCGCCCAGTGCTTCAGCTTTGCCGTCTACACCAGCGAGTATCAGTTCGGCATGTGCCGCGAATGGATCGACAAGGTGACCACGCCGCCAACAGCTGCAGCGGGAGCATTGGGAGCAACAGCAGCAACAGGCTCCTCTGCCACACCAACGACCACCTTGCTTATGCATCCGGCGCCAGCGCTGCGCTCGCTGCAGCAGTGCAAATCCTGCGAGCGTCATCGCAATTGCACCTCCTGTCTGCGCACGCTGAGCTGCGGCTGGTGCTTCGATCGGGACAATCCCATCGAGGGCATCTGCATGCAGGGCGACTTTAGCTATAGCGCCGGCAACTGTTCGCTGGCGCTGAACAGCAGCTCGCAGCACGATGCCGAGTGGGCCTATGCCCAGTGTCCGGATGTGGACGAGTGCGGTCTTGGACTGCACGACTGCCACAAGGAGGCCAAGTGCACGAATACCCAGGGCAGCTACAATTGCCATTGCCGGCGCGGCTATGTGGGCGACGGACGCTTCAGCTGTGTGCGCACCTGCTTCGAGTTCTGCCAGCACGGCTACTGCTCCGGCGCGCCGGACTACAGCTGCAAATGCGACCTGGGCTGGACGGGCCCCGACTGCGGCATCAGCTGCGGCTGCAACAATCATTCCACCTGCATGGATCGTGTGGGCAAATGCGACCAGTGCCAGGCCTGGACCGAGGGCGAGCGCTGCGAACGCTGTCGCCAGGGCAGCTACGGCAATGCCACCGCCAACGTTGGCTGCCATCCCTGCGAGTGCAACGGCCACGGCAATCAGGATCTGGTAAGCAATAGATCAAGCTATATATAGTCTATATACTCACTCCTCCTCCATTTACAGGGCATCTGCAATGTGAGCCACGGCGAATGCTTCTGCAAGGATAACACACAGGGCCTCAAGTGCGATAACTGTGCGCCGGGCTATTACGGCGATCCGCGTGACGGCGGCCAGTGTTATTATCAGTGCGAATCCCGCGGCATTCTGACCAGCATTGGACGCAGCGCCATCGGCTCCTATCAGTCGTATCGTTCGCCCTGGGGCGCCAGTTTGGAGGTGCGCGAATGCCTCTGGATATTGCAGCCAAAGACGTTGCAGGCGGAGAAGTCACTGCTGCAACTGGAATTCCAATGGAACAGCCTGGTCATGGACTGTGACGAGAATGCCGTCTACATCTACGACAGCCTGCCGGATCTGACGGGCGCCGCACAACAGAACCAGCTGCTGGCCGTCGTCTGCGAGCCGTACAGCGCGGCCCGCATCATCGAGGCACGGTCCAGCCACGTGACCGTCTACTATAAACAGGGCAGCGAGCGGCGACACTTTGGCTTCAATGCGCTGTACTCGGTGAAGAATTGCGTGGCGGGCAGCTGCCTGCATCCGCACATCTGCGATGTCCAGCAGCGCTGCGTCTGCCCCGCCGGCTATGTGGGCGCGCGCTGCGAGATCGAGATCTGTCCGAGCAATTGCCATGCCAAGCGGCTGCAGGGCTATTGCGACACGGAATACGGACGTTGCATATGCAGCAACAACAACTATGCTGGCGCCGATTGCGGCACTTTGGTGCAGCGGAATCACCTGGTGATGACGGAGCTGTTCAACACGCAGCTGCTGAGCGAGGCACTGGAGCATCTGCGCAAGACTATACCACGTTTTGGTCACTCGGTTAATGCGGATCGACGCGGCTCGCTGTGGATGTTTGGCGGCTATTCGCCCAGTCACGGGCCGCTCAATGATTTCCGTCAGTTTGACACGAAGAACGGCACCTGGCTGCAGGTCACCGTGGAGTCATCCACGCCCGAGGATCGTATGCCGCTCGGACGTTACTTTCACGCCGCCGAGATCTATGTGAAGAAGCAGAACATTTATATTTATGGCGGCATCGGCGCCAATTCGCGTCTGCTCTCCGACTTTTGGCAGTTCTCCATACAGAACCAGCGCTGGCATCAAATCGAGATGGATCCCGCGGCCCAGACGGAGTCGCCCACAGCGCTGGCCGGGCACACCCTAACCCATATACGTTATCAGGAGCGCGAGTCCCTGCTGCTTGTGGGCGGCCTGAGCTTGAACAAGTCCCGCCCCCTGGAGCTGTGGGAGTTCAACTTGGACAGCGGTCGCTGGCAGCAGCTGGCGGCGATGGGCGCACGCCTGCCGGTGCTTTTCGGGCACAGCGCCGTGTACCATGTGGAGACGCACAGCGTCTACGTTTTTGGCGGCTATGCGGCAGGCGAGGCGCAGAGCAGACTGTACGCCCTGGATTTGACAAAGCTCAGCTGGACGGAGCTGCCCACGTTTAGGGAGCTGAATTCACCCGCCTCGCTGCTGCCGCGTGCGCGCTATTTCCATTCGGCCGTCACCACGGAGCACTACATGGTCGTCTATGGCGGCCGGACGAGTCCCTATAATGCCACAGATGTGCTCATCGCCTATGTGTTTGCGTGCAATCAGTGGGTGCGCCTGACGGACGATGTCCAGCTTATCGGACGCCTGCCGGTGGCCAGCTATGCGGAGGACATGACCATCGATGCGGACAGTGGTACGATCTATGTAATTGGCGGCTGGGATGGCAGCGCCACACAGAGTCATGTGACCCGGATCAATATGCCCGAGGACATTTGCCAGCTGTGGAGCGGCGGCAAGTCCATGTGCCGCCATTATATGGGCTGCAGCTACTGCACCGTCCAGAGCACCTACAGCAACAGTTCGCATTGCTTCACCCAGGGCCGGGCGCCGTGCGCCAACTACAATGGCACGCTGATCATCAACAACGGTCCCGCCTGCAACGATGTGTGGCTCTCGAGTCGCAATTGCTCCAGCTTTGGCAGCTGCAGCGCCTGCCTGGCCGCCTGGCCCATACACCAGGAGCTGACCCCGGTCTGTCAGTGGTGCGACGAGTGCGGCATTCGTGGACGTTGCGTGCCCGCCGGCGTGGATTGCGCGCGGAACAGCGCCTGGTGTCCCAAGGAGCTGAGCGTCGGCGTGCTCGGACTGTGTCCCCTGCCCCAGTGCCATCAGCTGGGCTGCGAGGCGTGCATGCTGCACAGCGAGCAGTGCCATTGGGCGCGCAACGAACTGGGCCACGTGGAGTGCATTGCCCGCGAGCTGGTCGAGAAGAATGCGTATCGCCTGGTCGAACAGTGTCCGCCCGCCTGTCACACGCACACCAATTGCAGCAGCTGTTTGCAGTCCGCGCCGGATGCGTTTGCCTCCACGGATTGCAAATGGTCGACCATGTTGAATGCATGCTTGTCGCCCAGCGCGCAGCCGTTGCTCTGTGCCGGCGGCGTTTGTGGCCTGGTGCTGGAAGCTAGCGAGCTGGAACGTTGTCCCGAACCGTGTCATGTGTATACCCAGTGCTCCAGCTGTCTGGAGCATGCCCATTGCGGCTGGTGTGCCCGCGAGGGCTTCAATGGCGATGGCATCTGCACGGAGGGTGCACTCGAGCACCGGCAGGAGCATCCCTCCGGCTCCACTTGCGATTTAATCTACAGCAGCTGGCGCAACGATTCCCAGCTAACCCATGCGGATGTCGTCAGTTGGCATTATGTGCAATGCCCGGCGGAGAATGAGTGCGAGAATGGACACCATAATTGTGATGCCGTCTCCGAGCAGTGCATTGACCTGGACACGCCCACCCTGGGCTATAAGTGCGTCTGTGCCGCCGGCTATCGCGAGGAGCAGAACAGCTGTCTCCCGGTCTGCTCGCAGGGCTGCGTACGGGGCAACTGCATCCGGCCGAACGAATGCAAATGCGACTTTGGCTATGTGGGCGAGAACTGCAGCATCCAGTGCCTGTGCAACGGGCATTCCAACTGCGAGTCGAGCAGCCGGCTGGACATATGCCTGAAGTGCCACAACAACACGATGGGCGAGCAGTGCGAGAAGTGCCAGCCCCTGTTTGTGGGCAATCCGCGCGAGGGTCACGCCTGCCAGCCCTGCCTGGAGTATTGCCATGGCCATTCGGACGTGTGTGTGGCCTACGATGCGGATCCGGCTGTCTTCAATATGACACACTCCGAGCTGGAGCGCATCCTGCCCGAGGGACCCGCCCACAATGCCACCTGCCTGCGCTGTGCCAACAACACAGCCGGCGATCGTTGCGACAGCTGCCTGTTGGGCTATTTCCGCGGCAGCGAGGATCTGCACAAGCAGTGCCGTCCCTGCCAGTGCCATGGACACGGCAATGTCTGTGATGCCGTCACGGGCGAGAAGTGCAACTGCGCCAACAATACGGAAAGCGATGCCACCTGCACGGCCGGCGGTGGCAAGAACTCGGCCCAGCTCTGCTGGAGCGTCCAATGCTCCAAGTGCCGCGACTCGTATGCCGGCAATCCCACCGATGGACACCAGTGCTACAAGCAAATTACGGTCGAGTCGCGCATGTGCTTCGATGCCAAGCCAATAGGTGAGGAGGCTCTCCGAGTTGCGAGTTGCGAATTCCGAGATTTCTTAATCAATTTCTTTCCCTTTCCTCCACAGAGGAATGCAAATCGAAGCCGGCGGCGTTGAAGCCCGGCCAGACGGTGTTCTTTGTCATCCAGCCACGCTTCATGAACGTGGACATACGCATCATTATTGATGTTACCCAAGGCGAACTGGATGTGTTCATGTCGCCGCAGGATGATTCGTTTATTGTCGAAACGAATGAGACGACGGGCTTTCACGAAATCTTCCTGGACAATCGCTACAATTGGGGGCCCAAAACGAAGCGCGAACATCCGCTGAACGTGGCCCTGCCCCGCCACGACAATGTGACGCTGCAGAAGCTGTTCGCGCCGGAACGACGCACTGGCACGAGCAGCGCTGGCCTCGGGATGGGCCTTGGCAGCAGCAGCAGCAGCGGCAGCAGCAGCTTCTATGTGCCGCAGCTGCACGACTGCCGCAGCCATGGCGGGCACAGCTTTGTGGTACAGGATCAGTACGCCAAGGATCTGAGCACACACGTGACACTCAATCAGTGCAATACGCTGTTGCGTTTGTTTGGACTAAGGAATCGTCTGGTGTTGACGCTGCCGCAGCATGCCCACAATTTGAGTGCGACGCGTTTCTTTATTGCTTTGCGCGCCAGATCCGGACCGGAGCCGAGCTATGGCTCTGTGGTGTTTCGTCAGGATCAGCTGCACATCGATCTCTTTGTGTTCTTTTCCGTATTCTTCTCCTGCTTCTTTCTCTTTCTGGCCCTGTGCGTCATCGTCTGGAAGGTAAAACAGGCCGCGGATTTGCGTCGCGCTCGCCGCCAGCATGTTGTCGAGATGCTGCACCTGGCCAAGCGTCCGTTTGCCCAGATCTTTTTGGCCTCCGCCAGCCTGGACATGGACAACAGTCCACCGGCCACGTCTGCCACCACCACGCGCCACATGCGCCAGCGTGCACGCCAGGCGCTGCTTCTGCAGCAGCAACAGCATCTCCAGAGCGAAACCCAGCTGCACAACCAGCCGACACACAACACGAGCAGCACCCAAACCCACTCCAGTCACACCCACTCCAGCCACAGCCACACCCACTCGAGCCATACCCACTCGAGCCACACTCACTCGAGCCACGGCCACTCGAGCCACTTGAGAAGCAGCTCGCGTCCGGTACAGGCCACGGAAATCATGCTGGTGGCCATTGAGCCGACCAACGATAATCTCGCCGCGGTGGGCACCGTTTTTGTCAGCCTGCCCGGCCGCTCCAAGGCGCCGCTCAGCATTGCGCTCGGCTCCACCCTGATATCCTATCCGCGCCAATATCCGATCAATGCGCGCCACTTTATGCGCACCCAGCGTCATCATCAGGTCTAAGGGGCTCCAAACTCTCAACTCTCAACTCTGGTAAATCAGACGCAAAATGTAAGTGTTAATCTATCGTAAATCCCGCCCCGTCCCCGCCGTTCCCCTTCAGCCCCATATGCAGCAGCACTAGTGAATTATATATATATATATATGTACCCGCATATATATATTACAGATAATATATATAAATATGATATATATATCTATAATTAATATACATATGTGTACTTGTGGCATTGTACGCATAGATTAGGCAATTTTTTTGTACATAACGTTTAGCTAACGACAAAATAATACTTAAAAACTAAAAGATCTGAAGCGAAAAAAACAATTTAGAGCAGCTTCTAAAGGAACAAAACCAAGTGAAAAAAATCGAAAAGCAAAACAATTTCACACATTTATAAACAAAAAGAAATTTAAAAAAAAATGATGCAATGGTCGCTCGCAAATGGAAAAGTTAAGGGTTTCATATGTAGATTTTGCTCGACGCTTAAAATTCTCAACAAGTTAAAGCGACGGCAAAGAGACAAAGTCTGCTGATTTTAGAACCGAGAGGTTCTATAAACACAACCCGCTCACTTTTTCATCTAAAGCAAATGCATTTGCTCCGATATGAAAGGACTCTTAAATGCATTTAACAATAAAAAGAAAACCGATTCTAATTTCTAGCAAAATTCCAATTACTGAAAGTCTTTGTCAGCGTGCGACCATTGTCTGCTCTTTGGACTATAAAAAGATCAAACGGGAATTTAAACTATATCTTAAGTCTTAAGTTAAGTATTTGTGTATTGTCAATTTGATAGGGAAAAGCAAAAACTATTGTGTCGTGCATTTCTTTTGTTCAATTGAACGCACATCAACTTTTAGCAGCCATAAACAAACAAACAAAGAGCAAACTACAGTATAGATAAATGATAAAAGATAATAACAATTAACAACAGATACGTATTATATGTGTGCATGAATGTATTTACTACTAAATGTGTCCCCCCCCCCCCCCCCCCCCGCCCAGTTCCCAGTTTGGTGAAACATTTAAACGAATACGAAAACGAATCTCTAACTATGATATTTTCTATGCTATTGGTTTAAGGTATTACGATTATTTCTTGTATAAAGAGTATTATGTTATTCTGTTTTTTTTTTTTTGTTTTTTGTATATGTATTTCTTTCTTTCTCTCTCGGTTGATGGTTGGCATTTGCTCAATTTAGTTTAATTTAACGACAGCTCTCGCACTTTTTGCACCTACGTACCTATATATTAATTTAAGCATACAATAAAACAAACAAAACTATGTATTTATGTACTACGTACTACCCCAGCGCTCTCTCTACTATACACTCGTTATGTTTAAACACAACAACAACATAAACGACTATCGAACAAAACATTATCTCAGTGATTCTATATTTTCACCTCGAAAACACACTTAGATACTCTTATCAAAACAAAAAACACTCGAGTGACCAAAAGGTTGTAACAAATTTTTCGCTTTAAATTATAGCTCTCTCCTTATTTTTACATATTTTTTTTGTAATATTGTTATTTAAATTACAGTAGTCGCAGAGTAGAGCCTAATTTCATAAATATTCCAATTTCTAGAAGTCTCATTTTGCCAGAAAAAAAATTTAATTTTAATGAATTAAATTATTCATGCAATTTTAATAACTTTTTTAGACCAATTTAATGGTTTTTTATAAATTAAAATTTATAGTTTCTCATAGTAAGAACTTAAAGAAAAATATATAAAAGTTCAATATAATTTTTAAAAGTTCTCTCTCTTCTCGACTACTGTACTTTGTTTTTTATACTTTTGCGTTTAACAAAATTAGCATAAATTTTTAGAACTGAAATTGTAATTAAGTATACGGATTGATATTTACAAACGAATTATTTGGTAGCTGCGTACGTCCCCCCTTTTTGCAATATATATATATATATATAAATAATTGTGTATTATTTTGTATTTATATAACGATTAGTTTTCGTTTTTCGTGTTTCAAAAATAAAGTTATGATAATTCATATGAATAATATGCATAAAGCGTGTGTGCTTTCATTGTGCAAACGAATAATTTTATTTGATTAAATAGTTTTAGGTGATAAATATATAAGTATATGCATATAGATAGATATACGCTTATAAACGGATAGCGGCAGCTAATCCTGATTAGTGTTTAGTTGGGGTATCAATTTCTTTAAATATGATGAGAACTGCATTTGAATCTAACTAGAGCTGGTTGTGGTGGGCAGCGAGCCGAGCACCTCCTCAATGAAGCTGTCCGGCTGCTCGATCAGATCGAATAGACCTAAAAGAAAGAGATATTTATATAATGGAAATCCATGTATTTGTAAAGGCCGCAACTTACCCGCCACATCGCAGAACTCGCCAAATGAGGTGCAGGGCAAAAACTCCTTGGTAAAGGTTTGCAGTATGCGATCCGTATAGTCGAGCATGGCCTCATCATTTTTGCGTATATACTCAAATAGGGATGCGGGCCAGTCCTCCTCCTTGACGGTGCTGACCGTCCTGAAGAGCGTGTTGTACATCAAATCGACCAGCGCCCACATCATAAGGAACGGCTTATATACGCTATACTCTTTGGCCTGTCGATCCGCCGGCGACAGCAGCGCCTTGCACAGCACCGATGGCGATACATGGCGCGCCTGAGCCACAGCCACCAAATGTTTCAAATGCGCCAGCTTGTGCTTGTTCCACAACTCGCGACTGTGCAGGGAGAGGGATATGGTTAGCATGTAGAGTGGTCCGTCCACCTCATAGCCGCACTCCAGCCACTTGTCCGATGGCGCTGACGTTAAATAGTTAAGCAGCGTTTTGCTGTCCCGTGCAGCAGATCGAGAGGAGAGCAGCAAATAGACCGCATAGAAGAGCAGGTAGGGCACAAAGTGCATATTGGATTGGGGGCCACCGCCGCCGGCATCATCATGGAAGCTACGCTCCCAGGCGAAACGCATCAGCAACAGCTTCAGATCGTGCACGCTGCTGGCATAGGAGATGTCGCAACGTTGGGTGCTCTCCTGCATGTAGCTGCTGTGACGGGTCATGCAGCCGGAAAAGGCCGCCTCACCCACAGCCGGACCCCAAAGGGGCAACAGTCCGTTGCAGCGTGTGTTCGCATTTTGCAGGCTGGCGCGTTCCCATTCGTCGCGACCGCGGGTCAACCGTATGGCCGAGGTGTGACAATCCACATGCACCACATTAAAGTGGGTGACGGTGGTGTAGCCGATGGTTTTGCGCGACTTCAGCTCAAACTCCTCGACATTGCAGCGCTTGGTGAACGTATAGATGCCCAGCACCTTTTCCGGCTGGCAGGCGTAGCCCTCGCGACAAATAAAACAGGTGAGGCCCGTCTCGTCGCGCAGCTTCTCGATCTTCTGCAGTATGGAGCCCTTGGCCGTCACCTGGCCCTTCTCGTTGGTGCGCATGCCCAGGGCATCCAGTTGCTTCTCGCGCGTGGCCATCGCCAGGCGTTTCTTTTCGGCACGCGTAAAATCGCGCACCTGTTGAACGCGCGAAGCCGTCGCCGCATCTGTGCTGAGCGCCTCGAGCAGATTCTCGGCCAGACTGCCGACATGCTCGTCACTGGACACCTGCTCCAGGCGATGTATAATCGGTATTATGTCCTTGCTAATGGCCAGCTGTGTGGCCTCATGATGATTGGCCAGGCCGGTGAGGAAGCGCAGAATATACTTCAAGCTCGGACGCGAAATGAACTCCTTCAGCTCATCGGAGTCGGTGCGCAGCAGGGTGGGCTTCACGCACGGCGCGTGCTCCGTGATATAGGCCAAGGCGCGCTCCACAATGCCCAGGCCCACAATATAATCCTTCAGAGTGCCGCCAATGCAGTTGTGCTCGATCTGATTGGTCAGCACGCAGAAAAGTTCCAGCTTAAACTCTTCCTCGGTGGTGCGTTCGTTGTCAAAGCGATTAAAGTCCAGGGTGTGCTAGGAGCAAACAATAAGTAATGATAAATGGGAATAGCTAAAACCTCCTCACCTTGAAATGTTCGCAGAGCAGCGCCATTTTGACCTCGTTGCCGTAGACGAGCGCCGCCAGGACGCGTATAAGATGACGCAGCACGGAAGGATTATTGCGGACATTCGGGCAATCGGTGCAGGAGATCAATGCGCTCACATATTCCGGCCCGCCAAAGGTCAGCGAGAATTGCAGGAAGGAGTCGAGCGTATCACTGGCTGCCTTGGACAAGATGGTCTCCATAATCTCGAGCAGCTGTTCGGTGACGGCCGATTGTATGGAATCGTTTTCCGATTGCAAGCACATTTGCAGCACCTTCAGGAGGGTGTTGATGGCGCCAACCTCCGGCTGGCAGAGCACCTCCTGGCAGCGACGCACCTTCACACAGATGAGGAACAGCTTGAGCAGCACCTGGATGAGTTCACGCTGGCGCGAAATGCGCTGCAGGCTGCCGATGCGCTCCAGCATGACGCGCAGTCCATTGCAATCGGCTAGCACATTGGCCATGCGATACAGCTGCTCGGTGTCGACCTGCTCCTGGCTCTTGTTGTTTAATGTCTCCACGAATTCCTCGGTGGCATCGCCCAACAGTCCGCGCATGCGATAGACAATGCGCATGGCATCACGATCGCCGCCCTCGGCCAGCCACACCTTCTTGTACACATCCTTGACGGGCAGATCCAAGCTAATGATCTTGTTGTTCACCAGCAGCTCCATGCCGTTGTCATCCTCCAGCAGGGCAATCAGTTCGCAGTCGGTGCAGATTTTGTTTTTCACATCGCGCATTAATGGACCGAGGCCCACCTCGCTGGAGGGATACGGATTGCCGAGCATGCGTCCCTGCAGGAAGTCCTCCTGCTGCGGATCTTTCTCCAGCGTCATATAGAACTCGCTCTCATCGTGCTCCTCGGGATGTATTATCGAGTAGAGACGCTCGAATATAAAGACCGGCGTCTTGATGTCATTCATGCGCGTCTTCTCCACCGTATCGATGAGTATCTCCATAAAGGCGCGCGTCTCCTCCTCGGTGCCGCTGGTCATCTCCTCCAGCATTTCCAGCAGCTTCTCCTGGGCATCATCGATCAGACGCGTGCGCTGCACGACCAGACTGCGCAATGCCAAATAGCTCTCCAGCACAGGACCCAACAGACGCGTCTTGTAGGTGCGCCTGATGTTCGGGCACTCGAGGAACAGCCAAAGCAGCTCCACATACTGCCGCAACGCATAGCCCAGCGACAGATCCGAGGACAACGAATGCTCCTCCATGCGATGTATTTTACCAATTTCCACCGCCAGCAGTTGGGAGATTTCGCCGAGGACGCCGCGCAACACCAGATATTGCAGCCAGGGCGTCTCGGTGGCCACACTGCGATACAGGGTCAAGTACTCGGCGCTCGCCTCGCCCGCCTCGCCCACATGCCTGAGGAAGCCGGTGAGCATGTTGAGCGCCTGCTGCTTCCGTTCGCTGGTGCGGCACAGGCCGCTGAGCAGCGAGCAGGCCAGCTGGCGGCCGAAGCGCGAGTTCGCATTGAAGAGCAGCGGCTGTATCCATTTTGCGTTGAATACGAGCGGCTTGATGACCTTCTCCTTGTCCAGCACCTGTTGGCGCCAGCGATGTGCATACTTCTCGCCCAAAAAGGCGGCGCGCACCTCAGCACGTCGCCCGCCCTTGACAGGTGGTGCATCGCCCACCTGCGACTGTTGCTTGTTGCTGTTGTTGTTGCTGCTGATCCGCTGCTGCGGCTGCTGCTGCTGCTTGCCGCCTTCCTGGCGCTGATACTTGTTGGTGGGCATGCGACTGCTCCAGGCGCTGTACTCATGATTGCGATCGGAGCTGAGCCAGGCGCGATAATCGATCGTGTTGCCCTCCAGCAGCTTGATGCTGCACAGCTCCGTGGGACCCAAAGGCTGCTGTGGCTGTTGCTGCTGCTGCTGTTGTTGCTGCTGCTGCTGCTGCTGCTGCTGTTGTTGTTGTTGTTGTTGCTGCTGCGGTTGGTTATTGTTGTTCTTATTGCTCGGCAAAGCGGGGCAAATCAGGTTCTGCATGATGCGCAGGCAGGGATGCAGCACCGAAGTAACAGGACCACGTGGCAAACTATTTGAAGGAAAAGGTAAATATTATTATACAGATAAAATCTTTAGGACTTCAGGCGACCCACCGACAGTTGCTGATAAACAGCTCAAAGATGACCTTCAGCTTGTACTCCCAGCAGACGTCATCCTGGCCGAGCAGCACCTCCAGCAGCGTCATCTCCTGATGCACAGCCGCCTCCAGGCTAATCAAAGGTATAGCGCCCATCAGGGCATTCTTAACACGCGTTGTGACCAGCTGCAGTAGGTGCATGCAGGCCTCGGCATTGTCCTTGGTCAGCACGACGAGCAGATTGCGTACTTCCTCCTGGATTTGAGGCGTGCCACGACGCAAATTGTGCTCGGCCAGCTCGCTGACCAGACCCTGGCTGTAGAGCCCGACGCGACAGTCATAGTTGTAGGCCATGGCGCGCAGCAGAGTGAGGCACTGCTCGGTGGAGGCCAGGGCGCAGCCGTAGCAGCGATTCGTGGTATGATTCGATTCGGCACCCGAGGGCAGACTAACTACCGGCTGATCCTGCTGCTGGCGGTCATAGGCAACCAGTTCGCTGATGGAAAGAGACAATTGAAATGAAGATAATCCTTGGGATTGGATAAAGTGGGAGCTCACCTGCGGCAGGCCTTGACCTTTTGCACAATCTTGCTTAGCTCCTCAAAGCTGGTGCGCGACTCGACGCAGTATTTCTGGGCGAGCAGCTGTATGATCTTGTTCACCTGCGAGGTGCTGTGCACGCTGCCCATATTGTCCTCGACAAGGCGATCGCTGCTGCGATGCTCGGCCACCTTTTGGATGAGCAGCTCGAGCATCTGCTTGTTGGTCAACAGCTGGCGATAGATGCGATCGGCACGCTCCAGCGAGCTATGTATCAGCTGCACAGTCTTGGCGCGATCCTCGGCGGATTCGATGGGATCCACGGCGCAACAGACGCGCGCATACATGCTGAAGTCAAATTTGGCATACTTGCAGAAGCCGCACGAATGGCACAGGAACGGATCCTTCTCGTCGTAGTTGATGGCGCGGCACTTGTGGCATTGGAACACATTCTCGCCGCAGTTGCCACAGACGCCCGGATACGCTGGCACCGCTGCACTGCAGCGTGGACACTGCAAATTCTCGCTGGAACCGCTGACCGTCTCGTAAAAGTCAGCGAACTCGATCATCAGATTGCACGCGGTGATCGGCAGCGGGAAGTCAATCTTCAGCTCCGTCTGGCCCGACTGCAGGGAGACGGAGCGTGCCTTGTGCCAGAGCGCCGGACGATTCTTGAGCTCGACAACGGCCTGAACACTGCGATTGTTGTAGTACACGTTGATGGTGCGCACCATCTTGGAGCGCTTGAGATCGGCAATGCGCACAATTAGCTTCGAAATGGTGTGGCACTGCACGAGCTTGTAGATCATGGTGGTGGTCGTGTATTTGGAGTCCGACTTGACCGAGGGCAGCTTAATATTCGCCATGGGCACCTCCGGATTGTTGCACACCAGACACGGCTCCGATTCCAGGTAGTAGCCGTTCACCTGGCAGGGAAATTGACAAAGATTTGATGAGTATTTATTTGGAATATATTCCTGCCAGCACTCACCTGCAGTATGGACTCCAGCGTGGTATAGATGGGCGCATTGGGATGCTTGCAGAGCAGCTCGTTCTGCTGGCGCAGCACCTCGACTGCACGGGACACAAACTCCGGCAAACGGTCCGTAATGCTGCGCGTGCTAAGCGTCAGATAGCCGAGCAGATCAACAAACTGTGCCGTGCGACGACCATAGCTTGGCACCAGGGGCCACAGATTCCAGAAGATGCTGAGCAGCTTCTCGCGCTGACGCTCGTTCGCATGCTCAAAGAGACCCGTCATGAAGGAGTGCGCCTGCCAGCGCAACTGACTCACATTGTTCTCCAGCAGAAAGATGCGGACAAAGCGTATGATGAGCGCATCGCTGGCATAGCGAAAGATCTGGTGGACAAATGTGCTGCACTGGGCCGGATCAAATTTGGAGTAGTACGCGGTATCCGTATCCTCGCTCTTCTCGCGGTCGCCGCGCAGCTTGCTGCTGGTCGAGGCCTGCTGCGATTGCTGCTGCTGCTGCTGCTTGATGCCGGCCATGGGCTGGGGTATATTGCAGACAGCTGCTTGCAGCAGCTGAATAATGATGGGCGAGACGCCGTCGTCCAGCTGGTAGCAGGCGATCTCCATTAGCATGGCCAGGGCATCCTCGTGGACCACGCAAAACTTTTGCCAATTGCCGGTGCGCATTTGGCTGATCTCCTGGCAGGTGCGCAAATGCTCCGTCAGCTCCACCAGCGCATCGTAGCTGAGCAGCGGCGGATTGGCGTTATACGGAGCGCCGTTCTGCAGGAAAAATAAAATATATATAAAATGCTGCTAATCATCTAAAGAACTGGCACTTACCTTGGTGCTGACAATGCTGCAGACGCGTTTGACCACACGGAAGTGTGCATCCAGCGAATGTCCGTCGCGATACATGCGGAACTTCTCCTTGCTGCCGCAGATGTACATGAGGAGCTTGCGCACCTGGCGACGCAGCAGCGCATTCAGATTGAGCATCATGTACTCGCAGAGCGTAAAGGTCATCGCCTCGCAGAAGCCGCTGTCATAGTTGTCCGGATGGGCGCTGCTCAGGCGCAGAATCTGATACGGCAGACGCACAATAATCTCCGTGAGCAGTGCATCATACGACTCGAATATGTCCGGATAGTTTTTCAAATAATTGTGCGGTATGAGTATCGATATGTCCGGCTTGGGTCCATGCTTGATGGGCTTCAATAGCTGTCCCGCTGTGCCTGCGCCCGTGCCGGACGCATTGCCGCTGGCCGGCTGAGCAACTCCCGTGCCGCCGGCAGCATACGGATCACCGAGCACCTGCTTCCAGTGCACAAGCAGCGTATTGAGCGCCTCCAGGGCATAGACAAAGGCGCCGCTCTTGCTCAGAACATTCGCCGTGGTGCTGGCCACAAACGAGCTGTTGTCCTTGAACTGATGCGGCGGCGATGTGGTACCCGTCTGCTTGGACTTGGTTTTGCCCATCATGACGCCGAACAGCGAGAGCAGCGCCAGACGCACCTCGTTGCCGGGGCACTTGGTCTCCATCTGCAGAAAGTGGAAAGTTCAATTTATGTTGGGATTTATCAAAAGGATTTGCTCTCACCTTGGTGGCTGTGCCACGTTTGCCAATCTCCACGTACTCGACGAGCGCGGCGAGCAGATCCTGCAGCACCTGTTGATCCCGCTCGTTGTTGCCATTCAGATCCGTGGTCAGCATCAGGATGACCTGAATGAGCGGAATAGCCTGCAGGCCATTGCACAGATCAAACGTGCCTAGATGCTCGATGATGCTCTCCAGCACGGCGATTCTGTTGGGGATTGATTAAAGTTAGTTAAGTTAATTTATTAATTCGATTTCTTGACTTACCTCAGATCGTGCAGCTTGCTCAGCTTCTCGTCCTCGTTGATCTCGTTGTCCTCGCTGCTGCTCATGGCGCTGAGTGCTGCGACGCAGCCGCTGCTTGTGCCCGGCTGTTCTTGTTCTTGTTCCTGATCCTTGCTCTGGCGCGGCGGCGAGGCATTCGCATGATCACCAAAGTTGCTGCTGCGCGCCGAGGTGCCGCCAATGCTCTCGACTCCGCTGCCGCCGCTCTCGGAGCCACCGCTGCCCGCCGGTTCGGCGGGCGAGGTGCGCAGCGTGGAGCCATCTGTGGCCACATTGGAGCCCTCATCATCATCGGAGCCGGCTGCATCGCCGCTGGCCGCAGCATTGGCCGTGGCCGCCGCCGCCAGGCGTATGCCCTGCAAATTGGCCAGGCCCTGCTGCAGGGATTGCAGCGCATTCGCATCGCCGCCGTGCTGCTGCAGACTCAGCGCAATGGCAATGTCCATGATGGCCTCGTCGTCGGCGTCTTCGGGCAGGCCGAGCAGTCGCGGAAAGCCGCCGCCCATGAAGGCCTCCAGATTGAGCATCTGCTGCTGTCGTTGCTGCTGCTGCTGATTAACGCCCGCTGCATCCGCATCCAGCAGAGCATCAACGCCAGCGCCAGCGGAGGCATCTACAGCCGCTGCGGCGGCCTCCTCAATTATATCGCTGGCCGCCTGCGAGGCGGCGCCCTGCAAAGCGCTCAAATTGTGGCTGCTGATGGCCGAGGCCGACGGCGTGGGCGTCGAGCAGGCGGGCGGCGTGGTCACAATGGCCACCTTGCGGCGCTTCATGCGCGGACTGAGCAGCAGAATGAGCGCTTCCTTGGCGCTGTGACTAATCACGCTCGCGTCGTGCTTGAGCAGCTCAATGAAGTACTTGGTCATGCGACCCACTTGACTGGCATCGGCCAGCGCAAATCCGTACATAATCTCCACCAGGCAGTGGACAATCGTCTCCGTCTGGCAGAGACCGCGTCGCACAATATTCGTGGGCTCATCCAGCGCCGGCGTCACCTTATGCAGCTCCAGCACCATGGCCATCAGGGCTGGCACAATATCGTAGCTGCACTCGGCGCAGATCTTGGCCAGCGATTGCGGACGGGCGTTGGCAATGCCGCGCACGAGCAGTATCAGGCGATAGAAGGCCTCCGGATCGATTTCCTGCAGCGTGTCCAGCTGCGTCAGTTTCGGCTGCGTTGCCTGCAGCTCGCCGTGCACAAATTGCAGCAGAACGCTATCCTTGTAGGCATGATAGGCACCACGGCTGCCGTACAATGTGGCCAGGACATAGCGTGCCTGTGTCTGCACGGGATTCGGTGTGGGCAGCAGCAGCAAGGCGCTCGCCGTCTTGATGGCCTTCTGGCGCATGGCCAGCGCGACGGCGCCGCCATTGCCGAGTAAATTGAGCGCACAGTCGAGCACCTCCAGCAGATGGGTGCACATGCGATCCAGTTGGGTGATGCTATTGAAGCCTTCGCCGAAATTGGCCGCGCTGGCGGGCAAGGCAACGGCTGCGGCCGTGCTGGCGTTGCCCGCTGTGGCCGGCAGCTCCTCGCTGTCGTCCGGCCAGCCGACCAGCTCCTTGGACTTGCCGTACACCTCGATGCAGTCGAGCAGGGTGACATGCTCCGGATCCTGAGACTTGGCAAAGCACACCTTGAGCAGCTTATCCGACTGCAGCATCTCCTCGCGGGTTAGCGGTATATCGAACCAGCGTGCCCGGCGCACGGGCGTGGCCACCGTGCGTCCCAATATGCTCACGGATTGCGGTGCGCGTTGAGCATCCTGTGTGCCCAGCAGGACGCGTATGCCCACCATAACGACATTGGGATCATTGTTGAGCACCTCCAGCGTAAAGCCATTGGACCGGGTGCTGGCCACGAACATGCCCGTGGAGAAGAGACGTGTCTTCAGCTTTTGCTTGTTGTATATCTGGAGCAGATCGTTGCCGCCAAACTCCACATCGGCCAGCATGTTGCAGTGCTCGAAGAAATCAATGGGGAAAACGGGAACGCCGCCCGATGTCAACTGCTTTTGCTGACCAGCTCCAGCTCCGACTCCAGCAGCACCTGGAGCATTGCCCGAAGCACCGCCACCAGATTTACGTGGCAACTTGTTGGGCTTGCTCGATTTGGGACTCGTGGCGGACAGGGAGCTGCCGCTTTTGGCCAGCAGCGTGGCGGAGTACAGCTGATTGCCCAGCGGCTGGACGCGCGGCGACAGCCAGAAGCTGGTGTGCTCCGGCTGGGCAGAGAAGATGCGCAGGCTGCCGTCCTCGCAGAGCAGCAGCAGCGTGGTCTTCTCGGTGCCGGCCACGGAATGACGTATGCCGACCACGTCCATGATGCGCGACTTGGCCGACTGCGCCTTGATCTCCTGCATGTAGATGAGCTCCGGCGTGAGCATTAATATAATTGGATTATTTGAGGTCTGCATGTTGGCATAGATGAGGCCGGGATGGCCGGCGACCTCGGTCCACTGCACCAGCGGCTGGAGCGGACCCTTCGATGAGGATTTACTAACTGCCGAATTGGTGTCCAGATGATAGATGCCCTTGACGCCCTGATTGACGTTCGTCAGCGGCGAGACAAAGCTGCGACCAGAGGCATAGCTATAGAAGAGTAACTGCAGCGCATGCGAGTAGTAAATGGAGACACCGCCGCCGCCCACCTGCCCGTTGACATCCTTGATATGATGATGGCTCAGCTCCAGCGTATTGGTCACATAAAAGTCACCGTGCACGGCCAGACTCTGTTCGTCCAGGGCCTGGTAATAGATGTAGCCGCTGCTGGCAAATGTCAGCATATAATAGGCGCCCTCCTGGTACATGAAGGTGCAGTCGCGTATTTTGCCCACCGCAACAAGATAATAGTACTTCGGACTGTATGCATCCAGTGCGAGGTCGTAGATCTTCACGTAGTCCGAGGTGACCAGCGCGAGCAGCGTCTGCGAGCCGGGCAGCCAGACGGCCTTCTTGATGTAGTTGCCATTGTCCAGCTGCGGCGTGACCACGATGTGCTCATTGGTGCTGCCGCTGCTCGAGAAGGTCAGCACATGGCATTCCTTGAGGCCGCACACGGCCAGGCAATCCTCATTGCAGGGATTGGCGGCCAGCGAGAGCACGGTGCACGCTATGGGCGCCGAGCTGAGCTGTGTGAGCGTCAGCTTGCGCTTGGAGGCGTCCGCCTGTTTGAGCAGCGCCGACAGCTGCAATATGGTAACCTTGCCCTTCTCATGGGACACGGCCAGCTGCTGGCGTCGGCCATGTGGCGACGACAGGCAGCAGAAGGCGACACGTCGCACAACGCCCGATGAAATGAGATGTTTGATTGTCTGGCCCTGATCGCCCGAGTAGTTCATGCGCACATTCTCGAAGGCGCCCTCCTGGGAGCCCAGCGTGGCGAACATGAGCTGATCCGTGACCTGAAAATAAAGGAAACCAATTAATATTAAACCATCTTTAAATGGTTGCAGGGCACAACATGAAATGCTGGTCAGACTACGCACCTGGAAACTCTGATCCAGCTGATGCAGTCGCTCCAGTGCGGCCGTTGCGCGCTTGTGACAGCCCACAATCGAGTAGAGAGTGCAATTCTCGCGAATCGAGGGCAGCAGCACATCAAAGTACTCGAGAATGCAGCGCACGACGAGCAGCCATTGATCGGGATGCTGCAGTGCCTCGCGATGCGGCTCCAGCAATTTGCCGAGCAGAGCAATGCGCTCGTTGCTCAGCGAATCCTTGCGTACTTGTGTGGGCGGCGATGGACGCTTCTTGCCGGCGGCCAGCAGGCTCATGTGAGCCGAGACATAGCCATCGCGTGCATCGCAGCCGCTGGTGGGCAGACGGCGGCTAAGCGCCTGGCAGGAGCCGTCCTCCTTGGCGCCGCAATCGCAAAAGAAATTGCCGTATTTGGCATAGCTGACATCGTGACCCTTGTGACAGACGCGGGCGCAAACGGAGCAGACGCCTACGGTGTTGATCATGTTGCAGGTGTGGCAATGATACCAATGCTGGTTCATGAACTCCTTTTGGGTCTGCGAGAAGGTGCACAGCTTGTTGTTCAGCGTATCCTCATCGGAGTCGTCCAGCAGCGAATCCTGCTCCTGCTGGTCATCCACCAGCTCGTCGTACAGCTCATCAATGTCCGACTGCAGCTCATCATCCCAGGGCGGCATATGCTGACGGCTGCCCCGATACCCAATGCCCTGCAGCAGCTCGCTGAGGTAGCGCAACAGAGCACTTACATTTTCCGCATGACGCAACTGTTTGTCCGGCAGCTGCAGCTTGGCCAGCTCCAGCCAGAGTAGCGTCGTATTAAACAATGCCACATGGCCGCGTGCGGGCGCTGCATCCGCCAGCGTGATCATAATCTGCAGCACGTCCGCAAAATCGCAGCCATCCTGCGGCGGCGTTATCAACGTTTGTCCCAGCTGCAGCAGCGCCTGGAAAAGCGGCGGCGCCAGCTGAGCAGCTGCCGGCTGATCCCGCACCAGCGATTTGACAAAGCTCAGCAGGAGCGCGCCGTTGCGCGGCTGTGTGCTGGCGCTTGGCTGATCGCAGGCCTGCGAGGAGTCCTCGGACTGATTATTGGGCTGATTTGTGCCCTGCCACAGACTCAGGATCTGCGATGTATTGGGCGCCGCATTGCCTGTGCCCGCGCAGTCATAGTCAATGTCCATGGCATCCAGCTGATCCGATATGCTGGGCATGGCCGAAACGGTGGCCATATTAGTTGGTGTCTGTGCATTGCTGCTCGAGCTGCTCGAGGGCTGCATAATGCTCGTCAAGAGCTTGCAGGAAGCCTCGCAGCTGCTGCTGTTGGCCGCGGCGCCGACCACATTGGGTCCATAGATGATGTGCGCCAGCCAAAGCTTGAGACGCGCCACATCCACGCTGGCCAGGCCGGCAAAGCAGTCGACCAGTTCCTCGTGCTGGAAATGGGCATCCGGCTGTGCCGCCTGCTCAAACAGACGCTCCACAAACTGCAGCATCTTGCGGGCATAGCTCAGCGGCAGCGTTGTGCCCGTAAAGGAGAGCAACAGGGTGGTCAAGCTGCCGGCGCGCTGCTCCTTGAAGAAGTGCCGCATGGCCTGGACAGCGGTGGGCACATCCAGCATTTTAATCATGGTCTTGAGCACGGCAAACAACATCGATTCATTGAAGAGTGCGCGCTGCTCCTGTTGCTCAGCAACAGCTCCCGTTGCCGGCGGCTGCTTCAGCTCGGCGGCAAATTCAATCAACATGTCATAACAGTGTCCGATCATGTGCTCGAAGAGCAGCTGCTTGTGCGCCTCGTTGGTCAGGCCGTGCAGAATCTCGCGCAGGCACTGTTCGCTCTGGCTCTGCAGATAATCGGTGCGCATGTCCATCATCGAGGCAATCAGCAGCGGCTTCAGCTGCGTCTCCACATCGCCAATCGCTGTGCAGAAGGGCAGCAGCAGCTCCAGCAGATGCAAAATGGACTTCAAGCAATGCTTCAGCGTGTGCAGCGTGGAGTACGTCGTGGACTTGGTCAGCTCTGTGATGTGCGCATCGATAACGTTCAGCGTGTAGGGTTCCACGGGATGCTGTTTGCCATTGAAGGCTTCGTCGTTGACCAGCAGACATTTGGGCCACTCGTTGGCAATCAGCTGCTTGTCCTCGTTGGGCAACAGCTTGAGGAAGGCCGCGTGCAGCTCCAGCATAATCGCCGGCTTGTCGCTCACCACGGGTACTATCAGATTGAGCGTCTGCTCCGGCGTATTGCTGGACAGCTGCTTCAGCATCTGGGCGCGTACAATATTCGAGATGAGACTGTAGGAGTCCATCAACTTGAGCAGCAGCTCGTTGCTTAGCTGCGTGCGCTCGAGCAGCTCTCCCGGCGTGAGTATGTTGTCCTCCGTGAGCTTCGATTGCTGCTCATCGATGGACTCGCTGGAGGAGTAGAGCTCCGGGTCGGTGGCAGCGCTGGAATTCTCACGCTCGCGACTCTCTGATGTGATGCTGTCGCTGTCGCTCTCCTTGCGCTGCACCTTGAAGCCCTCCTTGTCGGCCCAGGCCACGGCCTGCATGTGGGCAACCAGCGCATCCAAAAGAATCAGATCGGAGAGACGAGGATTTTGTGAAGCTGTAAGACGAAATATTAATATTAATCATGGTGAATATAAAAGATGGTATATCGAATTATTTTCCTGCTTTTAATACCTTTGTTCAGCTGCTTGTTGAACGCCTCCACGCCCAGAATGGTCTGTTTGAGGCTGTAGCGTATGTCGGCGGTGCGATCGCCGACCTGTGCCCACAAGGACTCGGCATACTGTGTGTACATGCCCTGCTTGATCAGACTATTGACCACCAGGTAGTGCGAATAGACCAAGGGGCAGCGTATGCTCCAGAGCAGCGAATGCAGATTGGGCGCACTTTCGGTTTTCAGCGATTCCACATGCGATGTGGACGGCGGCAGGCCGAGCAGCAGTTTCCAGGCAATGCTAAAGCAATACTGCATCGCGCACAGATTGTGCAGGTTGTCCTTGTCCTTGGTGTAGGCGGACATGTCCGTAATGGCCAGTATATCGATGAGTGCATCCACCAGCAATGGATACTTCAGTTTATCGGGCGTGCACAATATGAAATTCCAGGCTAAGCCATCCAATTTGAACTCCTGAGCCCAGTGGGGCTTAGCGGGATCTGCCGTGACCAGCGAGTAAAACGTGGGACGAATGCCTGAAAAGAAAAGGAACTATCAGTGGGAAAGTCTCTTAATTATTAAAGTACTCTTTACTTGAGGTCAGGTCGCCCACAGTGGAGTTCCGGAACTTTTCCTCGATGTCGTGGCGGCAATAGGAGGTCAACTTGGTGCGACTATTTAGAAGATCGGTAATCTTTTGGGTATCCGGCATGCTGCTCACGCTGAACAGATTCCAGCGCACCTGATCGAGCAGTTCAGGAGGCGCATTGTACAGATGCTTCATGAGATACTCCAGGAAGAGCAGCAGACGGGAGAGCAGCATCATCTGGCTATTGCGCACGGTGCGCTCGCCGCTGATGCCGCGACAGACGTCGGCACAGCGGATGACGCCGCCGGCGGTCAGCAGCAAAATGGACTTCTTCTGCATCAGATTGAGCGAGTGGAACAGGAAGAGCAACAGCTGCGCATGTTCAATATTTAAATCCTCGAATTCCGTGTCGCTGGCATTGGCAGCCGAGCAGACGCCATCGACCAGCGTGTTGATCAGACGATGCCAGACGGACAAGCAGGCCGCCTCCTTCTCATGCGTTGGCTTCAGCAACAGGATCTGCACCAGCACCGACAACGTGCTCGGATAGACCTGCAGTGGCCAGCTGTTGGTGTCCGTGGACCAGGGTGAGATCGCCAAGTGCTGCAGCAGATTTGATTGCAGCTGCTCCGAGAGCAACGACGTCGAGATCAAGTTGTGTATATAACGTCCTGCGGCGCCCGAGAAGCGTATCATGGCCGATTGCCAATTGGAGCAGTTGCCCTCACCAGAGCCCCCGCCGCCGCCGCCGCTGTTGCCACCAGCCTCCTGACGCATAACATCACGATCAAAGTCTTTTATAATGTTGGCCATGAGCAGCATTTGCTGATCGCTGACGCCCGCCTTCACATAGCGCTGCATGTAGGCATGACGATTGGCCAAAAATTGATCCAGGAAACAGAAGATGTCTGCAGCCAAGTCCAGATATTCATGTGGCTCGTCCAGCTTGGGCACCAGCGCAGATTTTTGTTCGCCGCTACGCTCCTGGGCATTGGCATTGTCATCGTGCGTTTCCGGCGACAGGGTTTCCTTGAACCAATGCCCCAAATAGCTCTCGCTATCATCCTCCTCTGAATTGTCCGAGCAGGAGAGCGAATCATTGAAATAGGTCGTCGAATCGGAGTAGCTAATCGGTTCGCATTCGGTGCGATCTTTGGTATTGGCGCGCTTCAAGGTGCACGCCTTGCGATAGGCCACAGTTGCCAGGAACGTGAAGAGCTGATGCAACGTGGCCGTGTTCAGAACGCGTACAATACGCTGCAGGGCCGTGTAATTTTGCAGTATATCAAATTGTGCCGGCTCCACGTCCACGCTGGCGCTCTGAGCCGATGCAGTGCCGCAGGCAGATTCAATCTTCAGATCATCTATCAGCTCGGAGAGCAGCTTAATGCTGTGGTTGGCAATGGCCGCATTAAGCTCGCCAAAGCCTTGCTGCACCTTGAACAGATTAACACGCGCTATGGGCGTACTGGGCGTGGCAGTCGGAGTTTCGGTTGCACTGGCAGCAGTTTTCCCCTGTGCCGCTGCGCTGCTGCTGCCAGATGCGCCCATGGCACCTTGGATGCCGCTGATGAGCAACCAGGAGCCGTAGCACAAATGATTCTGATAGACATGCATGCGTGCCGAGGCCCTGAACATCTCGCCGATGCTCGTGTAGATCTCCAGCGCCTTGTTCACAATGGTGCAGGCCTGTTCCTCGAAATCGTCGTGATCCTTGCCGCCGCCAGCTGAAGGATTGCTGTTGCCGCCGCCGCTGCCCTGGCTTGTTGATGCAGCTGCTGGCTGCTGCTTCTGCGATCCGCCGCTGGCCTGGCACATGCTCAGCACACTGGCAGCTATGGAGGTCAGCACAGCATTGTACAACGCCGCAATGCCGCACATCGACAGCTTCTCGATGCGGCTCGGTGTCAGCGGCTGCAGCGCAATCAGCGAATGCGCCTGTCCCAGTATGGACAGATCGGTTAGCATATGTGCCATGGCCGACTTGACGGCGCTGGCTTCCAACTGGGTCAAAGGCAAATACAGCGGCTTGCCGCCCACAATTGTCTCCTGGTATTTGGAGCGATAGCGATTGAGTATAGGCAAGCCCACGCCCACATCGAGCAACGTGTCCACGCCGTTCTGTTCCTGAAAGTACTCGACATTCGCTGCCAAGAGTTGTTCCTGCGAGAGAGAAGATTGTGTTGTGAATGAAAACTTGACAAAATAAAAAAAAAGTGGTATTTGGCGAGCCAGAGATTAAAGATGAGCTGAGAGAGATCATTAGCTCAACTCCTTCTCCTGCTCAATAATATGTGTACTTATATCTAACAATTATAATATCCTCTGCAGGATAAATATGATAAATTGCTTACGGTGCAATCGCTGATCTCTTCGCTCAATGGCACCCAGGTCATTTTGCCGGGCTCTAGAGGCGCCAGCAACTGTTGCAATATAACCGTTGAGAGATCTGAACGCGAACGTTTAATCTCCGATTTGGGCGACTCCTTTTCGGTGCCGGGGCCGCTGCTGGAGACGCTGCTGCTGCTGCCGATGCTCTTGCTGTTGGATTCCGGATGCTTGGCGCTCTTCAGGATCGCTGCCACGGCATTATAGTCGAATTGTGTGGCGCCCGAGCCTGGGGCGACGCTCTCGCGACCCTCGCACAGCATCTTCAGTGCGACCAGCAGCCATTTGATCTCATACACAGACACCTTCGGCAATCTGAAGAGTATGAAACGGATGAGCACCGCGCTGGCATCGTGCAATTGTGATATTTGCGTCTGGCATACTGAGAAAACGAAAATATACAAAGAAAATGCATAAGTACGTATAACAATGCGCGACTAGAAGATATCCTGTACTCAGCTGCGAGCTGCCGTAATAAGTATATATATATATTTATAAATTTTTTTTTATGTATATACTTTTTCACATAACCAATAGGATTCATGGGTGCACCTTAAAACAAAGGCTAACCGCATGAGTCATGCGTTAAAATTGCATATCTCTAGCTAATTCTGGGAAGAAAAAAAATCATTACGAGGGGGGGCGAGGAGGTGGGGATACTTACTTGACTTGATTTGCATGAGCTTATCGGCTGCCAGAGCCGCAAATGCTGTGTAAAATTGTGTGTAATTGCTTTCATCGTCGAAAAATTCATGTTCACTGCAAAAATCCAAATTGGAAATAGAAATTTTATTGGGAAACTTAAAAAGTTTCGTCACAGCAGGTCGCCATATTTAATTTTGCAAGTCACCTTGCAGGCAAATTTTCAACTGCGCCATTTCGCCATCAAATGTAAATTTTAATTATTAATTTTATATGCACTCACCATCTGGTAATCGCTTTTAGTAAATTTGATATTTCATTTTTGTTTAAAGCGCTTGTACGGTTTGATAAAAGTGGTTTTACAACCGAATTCCAATCCGTACCTCCGCTGTGCGCCGACATTTTTTTAACTCTGACGTCCCTTTTTTTTTGCTCGTCTTCTTCTTCTTCAAGTTCGATTGCTTTGCGACTGTCAACGGTGCGCTTGCTTTGGTGCTTGATTTAGCGGTACCTTTGTTGTGGCGTATTCTTTGTTTACGTATGTAACGAAAAAGGGAAGACGTATAATTTTTGGAGAGTTGTGTGTGACACACCTTTCGTGCACAGCCGTTAGTGTTGGTAAAGAGATTTGCAAATTTCCACAAAAATTAAATATTAAATTTATGTAAGTACATTAGATAAAAATCATAACGCGTACAAATAGTATAAATATTCTATTACCTACAAAAATAAATAGGCGACGCATACTTTGTTATTGAAAAATAATAACGTACAATCGCATTGACATTTGTTTCCCCATTTTTCATTGATATGTGAACACTGTTTTATGCTACGCGTGTTTTTGTTTAACTCTAAGAACTGGTCCAGCAGCAATTAAGTTTATTAAATTGAATTAAAAGAAAATGCAATTCCATTTCAAAATTGCCGAACCGGATCCCAATGCGCCAGCCGTCCAAAATACCAGTAATCCCCACAGTACGCTACAGCCGCAACAGCCTGCCGTGCTGACCGAGCCCAAAGATGCACAACACGAAATTAAATTACAGTAAGCTCTCGCTAAGCCAGCTTTCATTTGGCCTGCCGTAACTGTTTACTTGTAGAAATATTGTGGCTACCTTCTCCGTGGACTGTGAACTCGATTTGAAGACCATCAATTCACGGACCCGCAACTCGGAATACACGCCCAAACGCTTTCGCGGCGTCATAATGCGCATGCATTCGCCCCGCTGCACTGCGCTCATCTTTCGCACCGGCAAAGTGATCTGTACGGGCGCCCGCAACGAAATGGAGGCGAACATTGGCTCTCGCAAGTTTGCGCGCATCCTGCAGAAATTGGGATTTCCCGTCAAATTTGTTGATTATAAGCTGCAGAATATTGTGGCCACTGTCGATTTGCGTTTTCCCATACGCTTGGAGAATCTGAATCAGGTGCACGGCCAATTTAGCTCCTATGAGCCGGAAATGTTTCCGGGTCTCATCTATCGCATGGTCAAGCCACGCATTGTCCTGCTCATCTTTGTCAATGGCAAAATTGTGTTTACCGGCGCCAAATCACGCAAGGATATCATGGATTGTCTCGAGGCCATATCCCCAATATTGCTTAGTTTTCGCAAAACTTAGAATTTACTGTTGTTTGCTATAATTAAGGTACTTTATAATATTTTTAAGTTTAAACAGCATTTACCGAACAAGTCAACAAAATAATATATAAATATTTATGACCGTTTTTTGTAAAAAAAAAGAATGTTCCCATTTTCTTTTTCGTTTGCCAACACCCACCAGTGTGACCACACGTTTTTCCGCCATGTTGAAATTCGTTCAAATATTTCGTTAATTTCATTTATTTGAGTTTTTTTCGTTACATAGAAAACGTAAATTACACTTATTTCATTTTGTAGATTCATTTCATTCGCTTACCATAAAGGAGGGACGGAATACTTGATTTTAAGATTCGTTAGCTAGTTGGTACATGGCTATTCTTTGTAGTTTGTATTTAAATATACAAAATCAATATTTAAACAGTTCTTGTCAAAATACAAATACGTATAAAACTTGCTTAAGTTTGGTATTGGTTGGTTTCATTTGCTTATTATTTATTTCGTTTTGTTGTTTGTTTTTGTTTGCATCGTTTAAAACTTAAATCGTATTGGACGGTTGATTTCAACGCTAATCATAATCATTATCTTTTATAATAAAATTTCCAAAAATTGATATGCATGCAGTATCCAAAAATAAAAGGTCACATATATATATATATAGAGAGAGATATTCACTATCGATTTCTAAAATCTAATAAAGGCAATTTGTGATATTTAAAAAGACACATTCTTGTTACATTTCTCGCATAAGGCGGCACTTGAAGCGCCCAGTTTAAATTAAGGCAAACAGGCTTGAGGCTCTGTTCCTGGTCCGAAGGGCATACATATTATATATTATAATATAACTGAACGCTAAAGACTAAATTGCTATATGAATATATATATAATGTTAATGGTTTGTGTACTTCAAAACCAATTTGTCCAATTGGATGCGAATTTTTTTGTTGTTTTTTTTTTGTACATACTTTGAGATTACGATTAAACGCCGAATTACAAAATAATAATATAAATTTAGTTATTGAACACAAAATAAAAACCTCTGGACGGAATGTTAAAAAAAACAAAAGAAAACATCAACTAATAAGCTAATAAGCGACTGCGCATCAAATAAATAAATACGCTAAAGAACAACAGGGAGAAGGACATGGATGCACGCCAGCCCATGTTGTAGATGGAACAGTATGGACACTGCGAACTGCCGCAGACCTCGCAGATATTCAGCAGATATGTTGGCAGCGCGTCGAAAATGGACTCGTTGAAACGCTCTGTTGGAGTAGAAACAAAAAGGCGATTATAAAATGAAGTTTGGAATTAATTGTGGGATTGGCAATTACCGGGCGCATAGTAGTCGTAGATGCGCACGGGCAGATACCGCGACATATTGGCCACGGGATACCAGCGCTCGATGGTGAAGTTGACGCAGATGTCCTCCTGATCCAGCTGTATGGGGGAGAAAACAATTTATTTGTGAGTATTTCATTTGGCTTGGACTTTCCTTGCACTCACATAATCAAAGTAGAAGACAATCTTGCGTTCCAGGTAGCGTGCACGTCGCAAATTGCGCACACGATTGCTCAGCACATAGGTGTCCAGTTTTTGCTGCTGTATCCAGTAGCCGGTGGGTATGGCCACATCCAGCACAGCCATGCCCGAACGCTCCGATTCCTGCAAGTTCACCCAGCTGCAAAGGTTCAAACGCTATGATTATAGTTCTATCAAATGGAGTACTTATCGAGAACTTACTTTTGGCACGCCACGTAGGAGATATGCGACTGATTCCTGCCATGGAATATGGCCTTTGTGTGCAATCCGAACGCTGGCACCGGCGGCTTCGTTTGGAACTTTTCAATATCCACATTGTACTGCACGTGCATCTGGAGTATGGCATAGCCGGCGCCCTTCGCCTGCACCTTGATCGTGCCCCAAGCATCAGGTATCTGTGCATCAGATAATTAAATTGAATAAATGTATATTTGTACTAGCTGGAATTTATCTTTGCAACCCACCTCGATGCTCTGCAGCCTGGCCAAGTTGGTGTCATCGATGTGCAGCTCCTGCGTCTTGCCGCCCTGCGAGGATGCCTCAATTTCGACGCTCAGCGAGGAGACCTCACGAATTCGCGAACGCACCGTATACTCCACCAGAGCACGCAATGCAGCGCTCGTATCCTGCGTGGACGCCCAGCCGCCCTCGTTCAGACGCTGTGCGTTCAGCCAACGGACAATGGGATCGACAAAGAACTCGCGACGTGCCACATAAACGAGCAGCGCATAGGCGGTCGTCTCGATGTTCAGCGAATCGTATTCGTAGGGCAACCGGGGCAGGGAGAACCATTTCTGATTCTCCAGTTTGCGCGGCGGTTGCGGCAGCTCCTGATTGCCCCAATACATAAAGTCGCCAATGGTGCGCGCGTGTTTGCGCAATATACTAAACACATGCTCGGCAATTGGCGAATTGCAGAGCTGGAGCGCGTATGCCGTGATGGCCACATCGTACGGTTCCGGCGTATCCTTGAGGAACTGCATATTGCGCTCGATCCAGGCGACAGCACGTTGCGTCGCCAGCGCCACACGTGAGCCCAGCGTGCCGGACAGATCCTTGACCGTGGCCAGCGTGATGAGCACATGCGAGGTCAGTGTTATATTGCGATTGCGCAAGCTCGTGTAGCTGGCGAAATTGGTGCGGTTGATTTTACGATCCGGCAGCCAGGTGACCTCGTAGAAGGCGCCCTCCGGCGTCTGATGCTGCAGCAGCCAGCGCATGTTCTTCTCAATGATGGTCGCGTCGATCCAAATGAAGTTCTCCCACTCGTAGAACGAGGCCTCCTGGAAGATGCGCAGACAGTAGCTGGTCAGCCAGACCGAGGATGCCGAATTGTTCCAGTCAGAGCGGAAGAGCGAGAAGCTGCCGTCGGCGCGCATAAAGCTCAATTGCCGCTGATAGCCAATGTTCATGTGGTAGAAGGCGTTCTTCTCCAGCGTCTTGTTGCGCTGATTGATCAGACGCATGTACATGATCGTATAGAGATTGGCGGCAAAGCTGAAGGCATTCTGCTCGGCCGACTCCATGGGCAGATACAGCAGCGAGCTGGCGTTGACGGGCATCGTCGGGAATATGGGTCCGACCACGTCGCCCACGACGGAGATGCGTGCCCGATTCGAGCCGTAGACGAAATAACGATCCACCTGGTAGGGTATTTCCGGTGTTTGTGTGATATTGACATGCATATATTCCAGGACATAGGCGCGATTCGACAAATCCAGCAGCACCGACTGATGCCTGTACTGCGGCAGACCGTCCGACTCGACGTGCAGGGTGCGGGTGACGGTGTCTGTGCCCAGCAGCGTGGCCACGTGCAGCGTCACCTCGATCTCGCCCAGCCGTTGCGGCACCACCGGCACATAGACCACCGTCGTGCCCTGTGCATCCAGATAGATGAAGAACTGATGCTCGCCGAAGCTGGTGCGCGGATTGTAGCTGCGCACGATGCCGTCCTCTTCCACGTGCACGAACTTGTAGTTGGGACTGCCGTGCAGCACGACTATCGCCTCAATGGGCGTGGTCATGTAGTTGAAGACGGTGACACGGATGCCCACCTGCTCGCCCTGGCGGCAAACCGACGGCATTTCCACATTGATGAAGAACGGCTGGACGCCGACATACTCCAAGGCGCGGTTGAGCATGCCGAAGCCCTTGGAGGGGCTGACACTGAACGCGCTGACCATCCAATAGGCCGGACGATCCGGCACATCCACATTGAATATATAACGACCGTGCGGCCCGATATTCACGTCCTTCCACAGCCAAACGTTCTCGTAGTGCCGCAGCACGCGATTGAAGCGATATTTGCGATAATTCAAGAGCTCCGTATCGTTGCGGACATGGCAGCCAATCTCGTCCGTGCCATCCTCGCAGTCGAAGAGTCCATCGCAGCGCTTCTCCAGCCGATAGCAGCGTCCGCTCAGGCATTCGCCGTAGCCGAGCGTGCGATTGCAGTTGTCCTGGCGACGCGGCACAAAGCCGTCCGTGAACACAATCAGGCCGCTGTACTCGAACGTGCGATTGGCATCGATGCCAAATGAGGAGGCC